CTGAGACTTCATTGATAAAAGTGAGATCAGTTGGTTATATGCAAAACTAATTCTGAAAACTGAAGAACTAGTGGTAGGTTTTGAGGTTTTTTAGAGAATGACTCAATTTGGTTACGAATATGTGATGAGCAGATGATAGGGACAAGTGAAACGTACAATTTCAGGAAAATAGCGGCAACGAGACGAATTTTACCGAAATCTTGTAAGCAACTTCAGAACGTGTAACCATCGGTAGAAGCTCGGAAAAATATAAAGCTAGACAAGTTTCCAGGAAAAACAGTCAATTCGAAGTTTTCACGTTCACCACTAGCAATGTAAGACATAAAATCCTGAATAACATATCTAGATGTATTACTGCAGTTTCATGACACTTTGGAGAGCCGAAAACTGCTCAAATGCTTACTATAATTAAAGAATACTACGTCACAAATTCCACAAAACAAAATACGAATTCACCAAACAGAACATGCCAACTTTTTTTTCTGGTTCAAACTGTCCTTCCTGCAAAACCTGCATCATTTTTTTCTCTGAACACCGCCAAAAAGTGTCCCCCAAAAGAAAACATCTGGTAAAGAATGCAAGAAAAAAGCTGTATCATTGACTTTTTCTCAAGTCAATGATACATACATGCTGCCAAACGACGTGAACGATGTTTTCAGGAAAACTCTAGGAGTACTGTTTTCCAAGCTTGCCGTTATGGGTGAATGTGAATGAGAGAAAAGAGAATGCTAATGGGAGTGATGATGATGTAGACAGTAGACTTATACACAGAATCTATTCAAATCCCAAGAGCATCGTTCATTAGTCGTTTGGCTCTGCGACGATTTAGGTTTGGCTCACCGATCAATTGAAATGGTCTAACAAAAAGTTAATGTGGTAATGGTAGTTGGTCCTGTGTACGTCAAGTCGAAACCTTTCAGTTGTTGTATTTGCCTGAAACTGGACAAATTAGTGAAATCTATAGTAAATGTGAGAAAATAGAGAGAAGAGGAGAAAGCAAAAAACAACATTTCTTGCCTAATGCGTATCTGAATTGCCATAGATACCAAAAGGAATTGTGCGAATCGTGCAAATGATGTCTTCTTTAGTACTCTTCTAAGACATTTAGAAATTCAGAGGGCGGGGGGAGGCACTAACGGCAGGAAATTACTGTGGAAATGAATTCGAGGAATAGATGATGACTCTTCAGTAAAAACAAAAGAAGAGTAGAAGAACTCACTACTCAAAACACTTTTGCCGACGAGAAAAGAAAGAAGCAAAAAAGAAAGTAGAACCAAGTACAGCTCTGCCCCCTCCTTCTCAACCAGTTTCTTTATAATTACGCTTCAAAAAAAGAGTCACCTCTCCAACCCCGCTTTCTGCTGTCCCGAACGATGTCGTTTTCTCATAACTGGAAAAGCCGGAGCCGGAGCCAGAGCCTATCCTCGTCTCATTTTTGTCGGATTTGAATGAATGACAAAGAAGAGGAGCAGGGACTGCTTCCCGTAATTGATGAACCGAGGCAACGCCAATTGGGTGTGAAATATGGTTCTTGACGGCGTAAAATCGGGAAAAGATTGATGGGCCAGGGCAAGCAAGAAGCGAGAAATGAGGAGGAGAAGAAGACAAACGGGGTACGGTAGCTCTGCTTTTTGAGCAGGAGAAGGGAAACAAGGAAAGACTTATCAAGCGTAGAAACATGAGTAAGACAGGTTACGAAATTCAATTTTTTCGGGTGGTCACCGGAAGTTTTAAAACTCAACGCTTTGCAATCAGTTTTCTCCAAACTTGGATCTCGCCAGACATGCTTACTGTGTAGTTGTCGACTATCAGTTGCGAAAAGACTATACCGAACACTTTGCAACAAATTTTTTTAAGAACAAGGAAATTCACTACTGATGAACATTTTGTAACCGGGCAGTCTCGATTTTTGGACAACAGTTGTCTAGACACTGTTGCAGATGCTTGTCTGGCCAGTTGCCAAACGTTCATCAGCGTCAAAACGCCCGAGAGTTCTGAGAGCAGTTGTTCTCCCGAGCCGGGTGTCATATGCAATTGGCATTCTCAAGTGGAGAGGCTAACTGATGAATATGACACCAAAAATCACTGAAAAACTCTACCAGCAGAGAAGCTATCTTTGAACTGAAGTCAAAGTTTGTCAAGTTATGATATTCGAACGCATCCGATCCGTCGGCATAAGAAGATATTTGATTGAATTTGGGATGTTACTCCCTTCTCCTCTCTATCCTCACAAAATTAGTTTTACAATAGAGAGATGCGCTGGGGCTGGGAAGAAAAGTTGAGGGTTGGACCAAAATGTATGTAACACATCAATAGGCAGTCAGTCGTCGGGACCATCCGTCGGGTCTCATCGAACACACAACAAACAACTAATAATTCCGTTGGGCCGAGGAGGCTTTGCTCTCCGTGAAGAGTCAACTTCTCGTCATATCCCCAGTGGCTCACACTGGACTCTTGCAGAGACGTTCCGTCCATACTTCTCTCTCTCTCTTTTTCTGCTCACGTCTTAGAGGGTGTTCTCAATTATTTTTTGGCACAGAGTCATGTTGGCAGTCAGAATAAATGGAATAGAATCCGTTAAACTTGCCACCTAAGGAAGGAAACTTCAAACACAATGATCATGATAAGAAGAAGATACTGCTTTGAATCGGAGTGAATGAGGATGAGAAAAAAGACATGGGCGAAATAGCGAGTGTTTCAAAGAAACGTTATCAAAACACATAAAACAGAAGAGCCGCAAGGAAGAAAAATGGGAAGCTATGAAAGTTTTCGTCAAAGTGACAACCCCGAAGAAGAGGTCAAATCGTTTAACTTTTCGAAATTTTTTGTTTCGGTACGTCTCTGGTGGGCTCAGTCCTAAACAACTTGTGACTCGAAGAACTATTGTCAGCGTACACTTCAAAATAGAATTCACTTAGAATTTTCAGTTCACTTCACTAAATGAGAAATGAAATAGAGGAGAATAGGAGGGGAAGAATAGCTTGCGGAGATGATGCTCACTGATAAAGGTGTACACTAGGCTCAATGGTAATGAATGCGGAGAGCAGTAGTGCAGCCCTCCCGAGGTGACGTGGACCCCACCATCGAAAAACGACTAAGTGCCACTGCCTGGCCTGCCCTCAAGCCAAAAACGAACGAACGTACAAATAAGTGGTTTTGAAAAGCCAGAAAGGGGTAGGCAGATTATAAGGTTTGTTGAACCTACACCACCAGCAGCAGAAGCTCCCCGAGCAACCCAACCCCATAAACCGCCGCCCCGTCGGCAAGCGCGAGACTCGTTCGCGAGGGCTCCCTGACTGGTTCCGCCAAATTTGACTTGACGTTGTAAAATGGGTTTTTGTTCTTTTTTTGGCAAGTCCTCGCACGAAGCCGGAGAAAACTGACACTAAGCGTTTGGAAGGTGATGGTATAATCAACTCACTCTAGACATTTTATGTAGAGGACCTTGGGGAGGCGTGTAGACGCTTGGAACAAAACTAAACTCATTTTGGGAGAATTGACAGTTGGAAGACAAGAAACTCAAAGCTTTTTGTCTAACCTAGGTTGTTGGGTTCTTCAATATATTGCAACGACACACTTTTCAATCACATTACAGGCATGTTTAGTTTTACTCTCAGAGAAGGCAACCATTTTCTCGAGAGATAGAATGAGAAAGCAGAAAGTGGGCTCAAAAAGCATGTGAAAGTACATGTGTGTACAAAAAGACTAATCCGGAACTCGCACTAAACCGTTATGAAAAATGAGTCGGGCCCACGGAACTGGGGAGCGGGAGCGGCTTCAACAAGTGCCGTTTCGAGCGAAAAGTTATCATTTGAGCAAGATGTCGGTTATTTGAGATGAGATGATTTCGGGAAATAGGAAGAGAACCCCTTCAATAAAATCTAGTCGGGAAAGTGGAAAAATGGAAGGAAAAGTGTAGAGAATAGGATAACGTGTGGGGGCATATTACTTTTACGACTCTACTCTCAAATGGTAATCGTTTTGCTTTACCTCTTACGAACATGTAAGGAAAAAAAATGAAAAAGGACTCAGCGATATTCTACAAAGAGAGGGAGGAAAAGAAGCGAAACACACGTTGTGGTTATGTGAAGTCATTAGTTCTTCTGGCGGCTTTTGACGTCCTTTTTCCGATGGGCACCACAAGATATCCATTTAGCACATAAGCTCCACTCAGAACCAACCCCCATTACTTGTTTTTGAATCTATTTTATACACAAAGAGCAGTAGACGGTAGTAGAAAAGCAGCGAAAAAAGTGAAGAAAGGAGTGGGGTAAGATGAGATAAGGGGCCAAATGAAATGAAGAAAATAAAAGTTTGTTTGGATGTAGGGGAAGTAGTAAAACAACAAACTGGGGGTGTACGGTAATTGAGTCGAAACAAATTGAATTGGAAGTTAAGACGTGCCTGAGAGAAGGAGAAGGAAGAAGTTTAGGAGGCATTGAATTGTGCGTGTGTCGTGCAACCCAACTCATTTCGGTGAGTATCTCATCTAGGTCCCGCTTTTTCCACAATGGACTTCCAAACACAATTATCAACTATTTTGAGAGCCTCCTTGGCCATGCCTTGCCGTCTTCGGTCTCTGAGTGGCACCCCGAAGATTGTCACTTTGCAGGATGAGACAAAATCAATGTTGTTGTGTTTCAAGTTGATACATAACAGAAGAAAAAAGACAAATTGCACAGGTTTCAACTTTGAAAATGAAATAAAATAGAGCAAGTGTAAGAAAAGCTTTCGTTGTCATGAATGATATCTTTCGCCGGTATTCGGTTACATCAACACATGCAATCGAGCTCGGTCCCTTCGCCTTCAACGTTTTTGTCCTCAACCGTAGAGACATAGAACTTGATGATATTCATTCGACAAAGACACTCGTAAAAACATGAGAAATTGAGAAAAGATCAGCAAAAAATGGTAAAGTTTGGACAAAGGAAAAGATGAGAGGATGAGAGAGAAAGAAATTATACAATTATACATGTTTTTACAGAGAAATTGATTTCCGCTTAATTCTTGTCAAGTACAAATGCAGGGGTTGTTGAGCAAAAGTCCACACCCTCGGGTCCCGCAACTTCTGAAAGTTCCTCTCGGGAAAGCGGGGTGTTGGTGAAACTGAACTTGGAGCTCACGAAATCCTGAAATATTGCGTGTGTTCAAAAAAAGACGTAATGGCTAAAGATTCTTACCCGTGAGTGGATAGAACGCAAAATATAACAACGGTTCTTCGTTTCCACCTTGAAAAGAACCACTTTTTTGTGAGTAACGACCAGTCTGTTCACTTTTGAAGTCATTATCTGCAGAATTTAGTTGTAATTAAGAGAGACGATGAATAATACCTCTGCTGGCAGTTCTATTGGGTCATAAACTCCATGATACATGTAGCTGGCAATCATCAGCGTCAAAACTGCCGACGAAACTGCGATGAAGATTGCGGCAATGGTTATGGACAAGTAGCCACATTCTTCCGATTTTGACTCGACTTGTTCCATCTGCAAGTTTAAGTTTCGGTTCAGGTTTTCAGGTGTTGAGGGGGATAGGGAGATGTCTTTGCTCAAAGCCGTTTCTTGGTTAAAACTGAACTGACTGGTTTAGTTTTATATTGGACGTGGTTTTTATCCCCCAATCAATGCGTCAGCAACTAAAAAACAAGATTTAGTGCACTCGAATGCCCAACTAGCTGACCAAACTGTCTAGATAAAAAATTACCAGATGTTTCATGAAGCTGGACTGTCGCGGGATTGTGAAACGTTTGAATGACGCGTTTTCGATTATTTTAGGTTGACTCCGCCTGTGAATCAGTTGTGGTAGAAAAACGAAAACACCCGCCCATTGAATGATGGTCTTCTTTGCCCGATGACTTCTCCTTCTTCTTCTTCTTCTTCTTGGATGGTCAATAAACACATTGCGGACAGAGACGGAGAAATGCCGCCGAAACGAAGTGTAATGGAAAGACCATTGTAGTACATTCTGGGTTTCCGCCGTCTCTTCTCTTCAGTTTTCATGAGTTTGACTTGAAATCCGCATTGAGTCCGTTTCGTATCAGCCTCGAGATCGCAGACGATGGATGATGAGTGATAAACAGTTAGCGGTGACAAAAAACGGTTCCCTTAGAAGTCGACGAAGAAGAATAACACTTGTTCAAGTAGTCAGCTGACGAACGCGGGATGTTAAGTGATCAGTCATATGACACATTCCTGTGTTGATCTCGTCCTTCGTTATCATATCTAGATCTTGTCCGATTACACGTTTTCAAAACGAAAATATTGTCTGCCCTAAAAAAGTTTTCTAAAGTATGCAGTCATCTTTTTTTTCCATCAGAAAGTGGCTGAAAATCATTTCCTATAAGATTTTGAGGAAATGTTCCTGGTTAATTGCGGGTGACCTACTTTTCCGTTAATTTTCAGAAAATTCTCATAAACCAATTCAATTATCACACTTAAATGAACATGCCGAACCTAATTCAAATTCACAAATCTTCCTTTGTTTCAATCCCGTTTGACCACAACAAAGTAATTGAGGGGTGTTTGACCAATTGTCTACCCTTCCTTTCGTCATTCCTATTCTTTTCTTTTCCTAATACCCACCTCCCCCTTCCCTTTCTATGTCTAATGGTCATTTATTTTAGTAGTGCAGTGACCCTGTCAGTTTAAAACGTCCTTTTCAGCCGAACCGGTTGCTTTTGTCCACTTTCAACAAAGAGAAAATTTTCAATGCTTCATATTATGCGCAATGTTGATCATTGGGAAGGATATGATACTTATGATGGTTGTAACACGGCTTGAGGATCAGACTGTGCCAAATGTAGACGGCGGCAAGCAACTGCTGGGCGACGATTGAGAATATTGCAGCTAGGACTCTAGTGTTAAAGTGTGCGATTTCCACTACGAGTAACCAGCACAATGAATGACAGAGAAACACAAAAACAACGGAACAGATAAGAGATTTCATGGTGACTGTGGCATTTGAGCGCAGACGAGTGTAAATTGATGTTAAGATGGTTGCCGTCCACGCCTGGAATGTTGTTAGAGAAAAATTATTAAACATTTTCAGGGTTGATGTTCATGTTCAGATCATGGTTGGGCTGGGTAAAAAACTATTTAGGGACCAAGTGACAAGCTTTCAATAGGAGTCGTATAGAAAAAACTTGAAGCTTCGTGGTAGAGATTTTAGTGGTACAGGAAGCTTACCGTGTTTGAAGTGTAGAAGAGCCATGCTGCAACTGGAGCAGCGGATGGGTAAGCCAATTTTACCGCCAAATAAGAAGAAAACAAAAAAATCAGATGGGCGACTAGATGACTCTCCTTACTACTTGCTGGCTTTATTGTGGAACTTACGGGTACAAAACGTTCAACACTCTGAAAAAACAAGTTGCGAAACTTGCTTTCACAAAATCAGTCAAACGTACAAATTTAAGTACGACTAGACTCAGAATAAGAACAAAATTTGCTGCAGCAAGAGCTATACAAGTATCGATGTCGGTACTTGATCCTTGTTCCATTTCATGCCTAAAAATAATAAAAAAATGGATGAGAAAAGTTCACTGCACACCTAGACAGAATTATAAAGTCACTCTATTTTTGCGTTGTTCTCCAGAAAAATGTTTTCCCGGAATTTTTCAACTGCACTGTCCGGTTTTTTTCTATCATTTTGTGGGGTTCCTGGCATGGATTACTGTCTGAAAGACCCATGTCGGTATCACTTTAGGTTCTGAAGAACAACGCAAAAAAAGTGGCTTTATAATTATGTCCAGGCGTGTATAAATGAAATTTACCTTGCATCTAGCCAAATCCAGTTGAGATCAAACAACGGATATGTCCACCATAGCCACGGTTTTGTCGGACCCATAGTATAATGAATGATATCTGGATCCACAAGAAATCTTCCATTGTTCAAATAGTACATTCCAATGTCATAATTGAACTTAGCTGACAACCGTTTCATGGTAAAATTGTGACAGTAAGAGTCTTTGCGTGTGGGCTCGTACATGGGCGCGTACTTGAGATCATTGAAGTAGGTATTGAGAAATCCTTGGTCACCCCCGTCGTAAGAAACTGCAGTTTGTACTTTCTGTTCCATATCCTGGAAAACCTGCAGGGAACTTGCTAAGTTTTATATTTCAAAATGTAAGGTGAATGTACCGTTTCATTAGTCTTTAGAACGAAAACTCCTGAGTTGAACATGTCGGAATGTCGGAAAACTGCACAGAATGATCCACATTCAAATAATGAAGAAATGTCTCGAGTTGGCAGTACATCCAGGTCTAGATGGACTATGACGTCGAATTCCGTCATCGTCCACAGCCTTATTTTTGTATACTGAACACAATTGGTTGGATTTGATCCCCGACTCAACTTGGCAATTTTTACTTACTTGGAACTTCCTATCTTTATGCGTTTTGATATAAGGTGTATCAATTTTTGTGTCATTCCGAACTTGAACTCCACATTCTTCGAGTTCCTTGACGGATTCGGGCAGAATGTCTTCGGTGACAACTATTATGTAAGGAATGGATGAATTCAACTTCCTTAGCCGATAAGCTAAAAACACCAATGAACGTTGTGAGCAAGCAGGCCTCTTGTTTGCGTATTTGAACAAGAGACCAGAAAATTCCATGCTCAAGCATGTCGAGACGTAGAGTTTATGTTATACAGAACTCAAAAAATGGTCTCATTCGCTCACCTAATACTTTTGCAGGAATCAGAAAATCATTCGATGACAGCACAGATACATACGCATATTTCTGCGTTATCACATTTTCAGGTGCAATGATGAGAAGTAAGAATCCTAGAATGAACACATTCATTCACTTCTGAAAATTGAGAAAATTGAAAATTGAGATGTTAGAACTACTTTTAGAGCATTGTATTTTTTATTTTATCACGTATGAACCAATGAACCTAACATTAAAAACACTGAAAAGTTCACGAGCAAAAAACGCAAGATCAGTGTCAAGAAATTGGTAGCTACATAGGTAGAGCAGCAAAAAATTGAGGAGAGAAAGCGAAGACAATGTTTATTGTCCGGTGCACTTGTTTGTCTAGAGAGGAATATTACACAACAAGAGAGTTGAGTTCAATTTGTGATAAATCAAATATGCTCTTTGAATGTTTCGTTTTCGAATGAATCAGTAGGCAAGAAGTGAGCTCGGATAACTAATTACATGCATGCAAAAGAAACACGCCACAACGTTTCCATGACGTTTTTGGTGTTGAGCTTTGAATTCGAAAGCAAGCGCGGAGCACTTTGGGAAAAACGCCAAGAAAAGTATATACGTTTTCATAAGGAGACTTGTGTGACTTATACATGCAATGGTATGATATGATATCAGCTGTTGACTCAGACACAAGCACGGGCACACTTATCAAACAGTGCTCAATGCCGCCTTTTATGCTTTAACACAGTTTGATAATGTGCACTCGTTTGATGTGGCAACAACTTGTAAGCCTTCCTTGAGAAATGTGGGAATCAAAACATGAGGAAAATTGCAACAAAAACAAAAACAACACAATACATATAATCTCGAGAAATTCTAATTAGTATACCGCTAGAAACGAAGCAATTCAATTAAATTTTTAAGCCTCCTAGATTAGCTTAACCAAAAGGGATTCTGAATTGCAACAAGTTGCGTTTTATTTCATTTCTATTCCATGACTTCCCCCTATCCACCCTAACATCATCTAAAAATGTCCTTCAACTCTTCGGATACCCCTTCAACTCTTTATTCTCTAGTTGATGAGCAAGGCGGCGGCATTTTATCTCCCTGGATCAAATATGCAAGGTCTTCGGGAGATTACAGTATACTCGAGGAATATTTGGATACCGCTGTAAGTCAAGAAACAAAATCTTGAAATGCTTTTGTGTTCTAGGTCAAATCGTATCTTTACAATGGTGGTAAGGGAAAGCTAGTACCCATCTCGCAACTAGTAACGATTCGAAACAAGCAGAGAAATGCAATGCTTGGAGCACTTCGTAGAAAGAAAGGACGTGGAAAAAGTGGTCCAAATATATTGGAGCACATTGATCAAGACGCCCTATCATCTGGAGACTTTTTGAAAGCGTTGAAAGTTTTGGACGGCGGAATGATTAAAGGGAGACGTAGTTTCAAGTACAGGGAATTGGTTTGGGATATGGATCAGAGAGGTTCCAATCAAAATTCTTCGCAACCGACTGAAATGAACTGAAATTTTTAGGAAGACTCGGAGAAAACCTGCTTCATGTGTGCATGCTACTGAATACAGCTGATATGAATGAACTTGTCAAGCAGATGACCTGCAGATTCCCTAAAATTGTCAATGACATATTTTTGTCTGAGGAGTACTATGGTATTTTACTAGTTATTTAAGATGTGTAAAAAAGTTTAAATGAATTTCAGGGCTAAGCCCTCTCCATCAAGCAATTGTCAACGAAGACTTGGAAATGGTTTATTTTTTGTGCAGAAAAGGCGCTGATGTTCATCAAAGGTATCAAAAACGAACTGAAAATAGAAAGGTGCATTCGCTCAGATGTTATGGTTCTTTCTTCTGTGCAGATGATCAAAAGACGTCAAGAACAGACTCACTCGAGCATGAATGGGTTGATCTGGTACAGAATACCAAGTATACAGGGTAAGTATTGTATTACTTATATTAAAGGTTTTGAAGAGAACCCCTAGTATGCCGCTGCAAAAAATGTCTTGAGCCGGTAAAGTGAGCAAGCAATTGAAATAGGAAAACTAGCTCGCGCTAACTTTTTGATCTGCAGCCACGCTTAAGCGTCAAGCACAAACGTCAAAAATTTGTGACCACACGGTATACATTTTAAAGACGAATGGTATTTGTGGTCTACTATATTCAGCTCATTAATTTTTAGAAGAAAGTTCAAAAAATGACATTATTTTGAAGGAGAACACTACACAAACAAAAACCATTTTCCCCTTGATATAATACATACATTGAAGACAAATGTACTGGGGTGAGTATCCATTGTCATTCGCCGCGTGCACAAACCAAGTGGATTGCTTCCGGCTCCTTCGAGCAATGAAAGCTGACCCCAACATGCCAGACACCAACGGAAATACCGTCTTGCACCTGACAGTCATACATGATCTCCCAGAAATGTTCATGCTCGCCGTGGAACTTGGAGCCAATCTTCATGTACGGAATAACTTGAAACTCACACCACTTGCGTTGGCGGCGAGACTTGCAAAAAAACAGATCTACGATCTGATTCTGGAATGTGACATGGACATATCTTGGAGATATGGGCCTGTTGTGTGCAAAGCATATCCGCTGAACGATGTGGACACAATACAAGAGAGCGACGGTTCTTTGAATCCCAATTCTGTGATCGCCAATGTAGTTTACGGAGTGAGTCATTTGAGTTGTTTGACCACACAACCACAATTTATTGCACTCAGGACAAAGTGGAGCATTTGGAGTTTTTTGACGGACTCATTGAGGAAGTATTGGAAAGTAAATGGCAAACGTTTGGCAAAAAACACCTTTTCAAGTCGTTGGCTGGATATATTTACTTTTTGACGGTGTTTTATGTTGCGTTCATGACTAGAGATGCTCATATTTTGGTAAATATACTGTCAAGACAAATTTCTCGAGAATACTTATTCAGAATGCTAACGATGAGGAACCAGAAGATATTGAGGCAGATTTTTCGAATTTCACTAATATTCTAAGCACGGGGCTCAGTTTGAGAGAACATTTAGCGATTGCCAGGTCAGTTTCTAGAAGCGATTTACCTGCTCACTGTCATTTATGGAACTATTCTTCAGGTCCGTCCCAACAGGTATCTAACTATCTAACATTGTTTGCGTCCGCTTACTTTGTTTTTTCAGGTGCGTATGGTCAGCGAGTTGTTATGCCTTCTCGCAGTTGCAGTTAGAACCTTCAAGGATTGTATAGACGCTCATAGAACTGGTCTCAGTCGATGGTGGACTTCTATTGTCAGCTTATAATTATTCTCTGAACAAAAAACCCTCAAACTTTTTATTTCAGAAAGCTTTCCCCGAAAAAGTGCTTCACAAGTTTTGTCAGTTGCTTATTCTATGCACAATTCCTCTTCGATTTGGATGTTATGTGAATGATAGTTTTTTAGTGATTGAAAACTTCATAGTTGTCTGTATTGTGATCATGAGTACACTACATTTCTTATTCTACTGCAGGTAAACCACATTTTACGAGTTCTCTCGAGTTCAGTCTACAGAAGTCTAAAATTTGTCGGACCTTTTGTGTTGATGGTGTACAAAATTATTGTGAGAGATATGCTCAGATTTTTACTCATTTACTCATTCTTCCTAATGGGATTTGCTCAAGGTAACATGGCGCATCGACCGTACAGTTCAAAGAGAAATGAGATTTCAGCTTTTTTCGTCATATTCAAATCATGTGAGAGAGCAGAAATAGATTTTCGCGCTCGTAACAATCTTACAGAAGATGATGATTACATTGAAAAGTTTGACTATTGCCTCAATCTGATATAATCCAATAATGTTAAGGTTTGAAAATATAATGGAAGATGGCTGGGAAGCAGTGATGAGGATGTTCATTATGAGCGTCGGTGAATTTGGTGCATTGTACAAAAATTTGAACGAATGCAAGAGTAGCATAGCTCCCCAATCAAAGGTTCCGTTGAATTCTCACTGTTTCATCCCACATTTTTCAGGTTTTCTTCATTTTGTTCGAACTGATAGTCACTGTGATGCTTCTGAATCTTCTAATCGCCATGATGACAAGAACATATGAAAAAATTGCGGAAACTGAAAAAGAATGGAAGCGACAGGTGATTCTACCGCTCTGAAAAGAAAATTTATTCATATTTATTAAGTGGGCTCAAGTTATTCTCATGCTTGAACAGTCTATGTCGGCTTCCGAACGTTTGCTATCACTATATCGGTACACTCGGCCAATTCGTTCGGACAAAAGACGTCGGGCATTTGTTGTCAAAGTCAAGGCATCTGTAAAAGATCATTAGGAATCTTCAATCCTTCAATATTCTTTCAGGAGCGCCAGATTCCTCAATTGAAACTGATTGCCCCACGCGGAAAACCGTCTATACGTCTTTCTAATAATAGCTCCATTCATGTCTTGCATGTTTTATCCAAAAATGCTTAAAAGTCAGATACTTTTGCTGTATATATTTATATATATATATGTAAATGTGCTCATTCACCAAGTTCATGTATATAATACACATCTGTACGTCCAGAAAACAGAACAAAAGGGACGGTGCAGTATTTGCGTAAAGTATCACGTTATGCGTCAGTAGCAACTCGGGAGAGGCGCATCTTTTGTAGCGACCTTTTTTTGCATTGTTTACTGAGTTTCACCAGTTTTTCACCTCGACATGCATTAAAATCTTTAAAATATAAAAAGAAAAACGTATCTGAATTGTTCTTATCGATTCATAACCACATTTAAGAGAATATCATAAGTTTCAGCATGCTCAGCCGCAACGTACAAGCTGTCCGTGAGGCTCACAAGGCTGCTGCCTCAATTGTCACTAAGCCAGTTGAGAAAGTGACCAAACTTGGAAATGGACTGACTGTGGCAACCGTGGAAGCAAATGGACCACTCACCCAATTGGTAAAGTTCATAGTTTTTGTGATTCTTCTAATTTTGTGCAGTTTCCAGGTCCTTGCCTTCAGAGCGGGAAGTCGTTTCGAGGAACCAAACCAGGCTGGACTCTCCCATACCGTCCGTAATTTTGTTGGAAGAGATACCCAGCAATACTTTGGAACTAGCGTCGTCTGGTCGTCTTCCGCTTCAGGAGCTGTCCTGGTGATCCAAAACTTCTCCAAAGACTCTTAATGATGTATTGATTCTTCAGAAGTCCTTCACTACCCGTGATCTGTTCGGTGTGGCGTTGACAATTCCACGAGATGAAACTTCAACTGGAGTTTCCATTTTGGGACAGTCCGCCGCTCTCCCGGGATTCAAGCCATGGGAGGTTGAAGATGTATGTAACCAAGTATTTTTACAAATTCTGATGGTCAAATGACGCTCAGGTGCTCCCAACTCTGCGCGCGGACAATGCATTCAGAACTCAGTATGACTATGTGGTTGATGGAATTCACAAGGCCGCTTACAGGTGCATTTAGACGCGTCATTTTGCGTTGTATCATTGTTTTTTTCAGAAACGGAGGACTTGCGAACCCAATTTTCTCCCCATGCTCAAAGATTGGATCGCTCAGCACTGAAACCTTGTCTCGTTTTGCTGTAAGCAATTCTGATTAATCTTAATTTGCAAATTTTTCCTCCAGAACAAGCACTTTGTCACTGGAAACGGAGTTCTTTTTGCCACCAACGCTGTTCACGAGGATCTTGTGCTCTATGGCGAGAACTTCTCCCCAATTCGTCAAGGAAACAGTGTCTCGACCCCATCAAGTGCTTATAAGGTGAGTATTTGAATGAAAAAATTTATTTGAATCAGGAAGCATAATAAATAGAACAAGAAGTTCACCAACGTCTCTGGTAAGATCCAGTTTGTGGTGGGGACGGAGCTTCGTATCCTTGCTCGGATGGAGTCTCTGGTGGGGACGTGTAGCTTGGAGTAGCCGGCTCGGCTGGGTAGCTTGGAGATGGGTAGCTTGGGCTTGGGTAGCTTGGGCTTGGATAACTTGGGGATGGATAGCTTGGAGAAGGAATGGCTGGCTCCTCGGTTGGCGATGGGTATCCAGAATCTGATGGAGTGGATGGCTTCTCTGTGGCTGGTGGCGATGGTGGGACACGAGTTGCTGGCGGTGGTGGTGGGGCAGAAGTCGAAGAAGCACGTGGTGGGGATGATGGTGGTGGAGCAGCAGTCGAAGTGGCACGTGGTGGCGGTGGTGGGGCGGCAGTGGAAGTAGCTCGTGGTGGTGGAGGCTGTGGAGCAGATGTGGCCGATGTTGGAGGTGTTCTGTCGTCCTGTCTCTGTGGGCATGGGCAGTAGTTGGCATCCTTTCCTAAAATCTCAGCGCATTTTGAATTAATTTCCTACTGAAATTCTCACCTGGTGCTCCTGGCTTTCCAGACTGTCCCTGAGTTCCTGGGAAGGCATCGTGTCCTGGGTTTCCTGGCGTTCCCGGGGCTCCCTTTGGTCCCTCCTCTCCGTCCTTTCCTGGCTCTCCATGCTTTCCTGGAAGTCCTGACTCTCCAAGCCATCCTGGCTCTCCTGGCTGTCCTGGCTGTCCTGGGAAGTAAACAGTTCCTGGTTGTCCGTCTGGTCCATCAGCTCCATCGTATCCCTTTGGTCCTTGCTCTCCCTGCTCTCCGGCTTCTCCTTCCTGTCCTGGGGTTCCATCATCTCCGGATGGTCCGATTGGTCCTTGGTTTCCTTGGAATCCTGGCTCTCCAATTTGTCCGTCTGGTCCTGGTGGTCCGGCTGGTCCTTCTGGGCATTTGATGCATCCTCCCGGGATGTCGTGGGTAGCAGCAAGGGAGATTCCACTCGCTCCACGTCTTCCTTCATCTCCAGGGTGTCCCTCATCTCCTCGCTTTCCTGGAAGTCCTGGTGGTCCTGGTGGTCCAGCTGGGCATCCCTGGGAGTTGCTATCGCAGTTGCACATTCCTGGGTACACGAATCTCTTGTTACGGAGCAACGACGGCACTGGATTGGCGGATTCTCCAGTTGGCGACTGAAGGATCAGAAGACGGTCCCAGGTGTCATCAGCGAGAACTTTGAACTCGTCTACTCGACCTTCGACCTCATTTCTCAAGTTATTGATGTCTTGGACAATGTGGCCAATGGAGAAAAGAGCGGAGAAAACTCCGAGCAGGCAAGCGCCTGCTCCAATGTAGCCAATAGTGGACATTACGGAAAATGCTGTGTTTTGCCTGTATACGCACTTTTTTATACAATCCCCCATAGAAAAACTCGAATAGTATCAAGAACTTGCAAAGGTGGGCGGCGGACGTATCGAAATTTGGTCGGAAAGAACACGACGATAAAAAATTACCGGTTCTCGCGTACGCTGTCGGTTAGAAAAAGATCCGATCGGATAAAGACGGATCGAAAAAAAACGTGTTTATTAGTGAAATAGTCTATCTTTGGGACAAATGAAGTTCTAGTGCTATCAAGTTTATTGTTTATGTTATCAAACGCTCAAACATTTTCACATTTCTCACACCTAGGGAGGAGAATTCCGGAAGGCTGCCGACACGAAGTACGCGCACGTCATCATTGCTGGAGAAGGCGCTGCAGGAAACAATGCCAAGGCTCTCGCCACACAGGCTGTACTTCTCACCGCCATCGGAAACTCTTCGCCTGTCAAGTAATTGAGACAAGATTACTGTACTGAGGAACATCACTTTGATTTCAGATTCTCTGATGCCACATCTGGAGTTATTGGAAAGGCTGTTGGTGCCAACGGGTCCGCCAGTGCTTTCCAGGCCGTCCACTCTGACAGTGGACTCGCTGGAGTTTATGTGGTGTCCGAAGCGTCGAGTGCTGCAAATACCGTCTCCGCTGTCTATGGAGCTTTAAAGTCGCTAAAAGTCGAAGGAATTGAGGGTAAGCTTGAAAAAAGATAATTTTTTACAGAATTTCTAAATCCTTTTCTGATCTCTGTTCCTTGCAATGCAATACTCTGTTTGCAGCCGTCAAGAAGCAAGCCTACAACAACGCCCTCCGAGCCAAAGCTCACTCCGAGAACTTCGCTCTGGAGAGAACCGCTCAACTCTTCCAGTCCCAGGAGAACTTCATCGATCAAATTCAAGCCGTCTCTGCAAGCGATATTGAAGCAGCCGCCAAGAAACTCACGAGTAAAATCTCTCTGGCCAGCTACGGAAACATCGCACAAGTCCCATACGTCGACACTTTGTGAATTAACAATACATAATTGCTTTTTTTGTTTTTTTTTGTCATAAAATAAACATTAGACACATTTATTCTTATTGAAAACTGGAAAAAGACACAAACTTGAAGTTCATAGTTAGCATTAACACAACGACGAGAAAGAAATAACCGATTCCGAATTTTTGTAAGCTGAGCACAATCGCAATATTAGAAATGGGAAAAGAAAGGAAAGAAATAGGAAATAGGAAAGGAAGAAACAAGGAAAGAAAGAAAATCACCGTAGAATAATCCACTCTGCACAACAACAGGCCCGTGGTCAATTACCACTACTATGCTTGGAAGGGGATCAAGAAGGAACACAATTGTAACGGAGAAGAAGGAAAGGTAAACCAGGAAAAGAGAAGATGAAAACCCGCACAGGGAGAATAGAAATTAGTAGAAGAGACACACAGCGGAAAAAGACAGCGTTTTGTGCAGAATTTGTAGATTACACGGGCCAAAGGTCTTTGGCACAACAGCACACGTTGTTGATTGTTTTTCCGAGAGGAGTCTGAAATATTTTAAGGTTTGCGATGAGGATATGAATAAAATCCCCACTCTAATACTCACTTCCATTATTTCATCTTCCAGCTTCTCATATTGAATACCAAACGTGGCCTGGATAGCAACTGCGAGGCGTTCAAGCTCGCTGGCAAAGCGGACAAACAGATAGTGAATAGTTTCATCATTCGAAATCAAGCAAAGAGCTGGAGAGCGTCCGAAAAAATAGTTTGCTTTGTTTTTTGGCGGATAGACCAAGATGGTTTGGCAAAGTCGATCTCCTTGCAACTCGTTGAGAAGACGCAGGAAACCATCGGTCCAGAACTTTTCGCCTTCCTGCACCAACGCAATGGTGGACTCTGTGAGCACAGCCAGACACGCCGTTATGTACGGCGGGCCGTACTTATTCTCAGTGATAGACGTCAACGTTTTCACCCATTCCGTGCATTCCTCCTGCGTACTGCACTCAAACTCGAAGTTGCCCTGAGCTCCTTTTAGCTGGAATGTTACTCTTCCGGATGCAATCAGCTGGACGGCACTGAGGTCTATAACCAATTCCTCGTCCTCTTCCTTGCAGTTGGAATCGACAAAGATGTGGAAGCTTTTGTTGCCCCCAATCACGCAGTACTTGTGCTCCGCTTCGTCAGTGGTCTTAATCCAAGTGTTCACGATAGACTTGAACAAGTATCCAGACATGGTAGCTGTTGTCTGTTCTCTCTCCTCACGCGGCTGCTCGTACCAGAAGCAAAGAGACGCGGAACGAACATCGACCGGCTGGAATCATAGAAAATTATAACGGTGTATTGAGTTTTACACTTACTCTTCCGAGTTGCTTCTCAAGGTTCGGCTGGAGCATGCACATGTATCCAATGTGATCATCGATCTCCGCACGAACGCTAATTGATCGGCTGCTGTGCTCGACCACCTGAAATATTATGAATACGAACAATCCCAATGTGTTTCACATACGTTGATCAGCGAGTTGATCATATGTGCTCCACTTTCCAATCCGGCCATTGCAGCAGTGTACGAGAAAACAGTCTTGTCGTCGCTCTCCTCATTTTGAAAATAGTGAGCGAATCCGTCTTCGTTTGCTTCCAACATAAACGATAGATTGTCAATGCTTATCTGAAAACAAATTATTATCCGAGTTCCTTTTCCCATTATTCATTTCAATTATTATAGGGCGACATTTATGTTTAATTTGTTTCGAGTTTCGTCGTGTGATACTGATTCAGTCAATTGCCTCGTTGTCACTAGGCCCAGTTGTCTTGGGAATTTCTATGGAGCGGCCCGGCCCAAAGATTAAATTTATGGTCAATTGTTAGCATCCAATAACTATTGTCTGCTTCTGTACCTTGATAGTTTTAATACGGTCGTGCGGCATCCGAACCATTGGAATGAAGAATCCATGGCATGACAAGTTTGTGACTTTTCCAGGCAGGTAGTTCTCGCTATGCACGCGGAACTTGAACACATACAGATTGTAGTTAGTCATCACAAAATAGCGGATTCTTCTGTTTTCCGAGTGGAAGTTCTCGATAGCTGTGAACGATTCAATAATCTTCTCAGAAGATTTCTCAAAGACGTTGATCGCCAAATGGAGGACATCTCCTTGGCTCATTCTGGAAAGTTTTATGTTTGGATTTACTATGATTTAATTGTATTGGGTACTTACTGGTACTCTCCATCCGCCAGATTGTAATCGATTTCTTCCTCCTCTTCCGGCTCCTCGTTAGCAAGTATTTCCTCGATCCCATCCGGGTTCATAGATTCCATGTTAGCCGCGGACATCTTCTTTGTCATCACATCCTCAAGTTTTTCCTCTTCAGTGGACGTGTGCGGAACACAAGCTTCGCCATTTTCAGTAGTTTGATTCTCATAGAGGTCAGTATTAAGACGATTGTGACGATTACGCACAAGCTCATCGAGAAGCACATCTTGGTCAATGGCCTGCGAGATGATAGTTGGGATTTCTGTTGGGATGATGTTGGGCACCGTGTCGTTTGAAGCTTCTTTTTCAGTAAGTTTGCGCTGGCGAGCAGCTGCACGAGAAGATATTTGCACCGGAGCAGTGTCAATCACCGCTGCCGGCGCTGGTTCAGCTCTAAGCTGTCGTGTGCTCTGCAATAGGGTTGAGTTGAGGTCGTAAGTGTGCACACGATTGCTTAAAAATGGTACGTTAACTTACATAGAAAGCAAACTGAATCGGTTGAAGTTTTCCGATGAACTGAGTGATAGCCTCCAACAGTCCCGAGTTGCGAATACAAGCGTTGACGTGGTAGTATCTCGTCAGGTAAGTTCTGAAAACCCCGAGTTTTATGTGTGTTGGCAAATGTGGCGATAACTAGGTGAAAGTTTCATTATTTCCGCTAGGCACTCACTTGTTACTCTGGTTATTAAGGGCCAGCAACATGAAATGAAGGGTTCCCTTATTAAAAGACGTCTTCAACCATCCGATGGACAGGAAACGATCATTGGCGTTACCACACTCGGCAACCAGCATTCTTTGCTCGGCACGTGGCAGAAAGTTTCTGATGCAACGCCAATACGTGCCATCACCGGTGAGTAGTCTGCAAAAATCGACCGGAAATTAATAGGGAATCCTTGCCTTCCACGTACCCATAAGAGAAGAACGTGTCAATTGAATTGAACAGTTTGCGGCCATTTGGGCTTTCTGCGTCGACAATCTCTGTTTCACCGAGAATCTGAACAAACAGACGTTTATTGATTTTTCCGACACAGAGAAGAGGGCAGTTCTTACTTTGTTGACGAGTCCGTCGACCAAATTTTGAAACTCGCCATGTTGGGCACGTGAGTAGTTCGCCTGCGGTCGGTACGAATAGGGGAGCATGTGATACATGGCGAAATCACTGAAAATCGATATTGATAAAGAAAAAAAAGAGAAACAGCAGATGATCTAAAGAGATGTACGAAAATTTACGCAAATACGTCATCATTCGATGGACATGGAACCGTGCCTGGCGCATTTTATAGACACGGAGAAAAAACAGACAAAAAAGACGCCAGCAGTTCCTCCGTTTGCCCCGCGGTGTTCCGTTTGTTCACATGACATGTGACCTAGATTCGATGAATCGTTTTCGACTGATACGAAGGGAATTGTACAATAAAATTCAGAAGAAGGAATGTCAATGAAGGAAGAAGAAAACATCTTAGTCTAGACTAGCAACAATTAAAAATGTATGTGGTTACCCTAACACTTCCCCCCCGCAACTCATTATTGATTATCGAGCGGAAATGGCATAGACAAAGGAAGGAGACGAGAACACAAAGATGACATAGCGAAACGCGTTGGTAAAGGGAAACGAGTCAAAACGAAAGGCAATTTGTACATACAAATGTCACTTTTTGGCTCCGAAAAGACCACGAAGTCATGGGATACTAGTGCAGCAGTCGGAATAAACATAATACTTACATAGAAAACATGTGATACGCAATTTGCGCACGGGAAAATGGCATCATTAGTCGCGCAAAATGATTGAATTGTTCAGTACTCGCGATTAATCAAGTTCATATAGAGAGATTATCAACTGTTATGGATTGGTACACATCTTTGTTTAATTGCAGAAGGAAATGTTTAATTTCAGAAGGAATTTTTGTTTAATTGCAGAAGGCATTTCCCAAAGTTTTTTCAAATAATTTTTGTCATAAATTACATTTAGCGCACACACACACACGGAAAGTCATAGGTGCGGGATGCTTGAGAAACGCTGAAACATTTTTCCGACCTTGCGGTCGGATTGAAATTTTCGAACCAGGTTCTGATTCAGCGAGTTCAATTTTTCAGTTTCTTAATGGAGAACAGATGTTCGATGGGAAATGTATCAGTTGTACAAAACTTGACTTTTAGAATCTGTTTGTGTCTCTTGTCATTCGTGTTTTTCAGAAGATTCTTAAAATCCTAATACCAATATATATCTTCTCCAATCCACGCACTTCAACGTCGTGTTTTCCGCTCCAATCCGATAAAGCATTCATTCAAAGTTCATTTTTCAGTGAACGCGCTCGCGACAAACCGGATCTCCTTGGAAACGGAGCACTGAAATGTTCTCTGCTCATAACTGAAACACAGCTAAACCTGGACGAGGTAAAGGGCTCAGATTACATTATAGTCGATTGTTCTTTGGATTTGTCTATGGAAACAGAGCAGAAAAATGACGGGTATGAAAGAATGGATAGCCGAAGGTAGGATAGACTACTGGCAATGTTCGCCACTTCAAGTTAAATGTCTATCTCCGGCAATCAATGTCGGAGTTTGTGACTTGCTAATGAGTAATTCTACATATGAATCATCACAATAAACACCTGACTCGTGTCACGTTCATCCATCCCGATTTTCCATTCAATTCCACCGTTATGATTCTTTTCAGACCGCCCTAATCCAATCCTCGGTATTCGCTATATTTTTCATCTTCTCTTCCAACCAAACAATAAGATTTCAGGTAAGTGAGGTGTGAGTTTTTCAGCTTTCTCTCAATAATCAGCTCGTTCTCCGAAAACAGTTGTATATTTAGAACCACCTTTTCTTATCAATTCCCGCTTGGTTTAAATCAATGTTTTCAAATAACATTCACCATGTACCATTCTTGCGATTCTCTCCATCCAATGATCTTTGAAACATAAATATTGTAACACATTTTGTTTCTGCTTCAAACCTTTGAGTTTGTGACGTAAGTGTAACCAAGAGCACAAGTGTTTTCTCTTTGTAAAAAACAACTTGCGTCCGAGCTGCAGAAGAAGAGAGAGAAATGAGGGTGGCCCGCAAAAAATCTAACAGCTTTGTTTTATTCTGCGAGTTGCTTGCGTCAGACCAACATTTTGCTAAGAGTCCCGAAATTTGAGTATACGTACTTGAAGCTAAATCTAGAACAAAGAACATTAGCTTTTTTCGAGGAATAATCTCTGAAAATGATTTTTTTCACTAAAGCACGTATAAGGACTGTTGAAGGAATGTATGCGCCGTTAAGACTATGTAAAACCAAACCTTCAAAAAGGTGCCCGTGAGTTTCTAAGGTTGAGCTTTACCGACTCAAGACCACTATGTTGTAATACACCAAGCTCCTGTGCATCGCGATAAAAAGTGTGTCGCCTACGTCAAGGGACTAAAGCCCAGGGCGGAACCGGAGAACTTTTCTTTAAAAATGCAATCCTCTAATGCTCTAGGAGAGACTCAGAGAAACTTCTCGGAGAGCCATTCCAGAGATCACAGGCGGAGAAATAGTGTGGGACGGAGAAATAGGAGAGACGAGGGGTGTCCCCTCTTGTGTGCTCTCTCGGATCTAAATTATCCTTGGCTCCGGGCTCTCCTCCGCAAAACTCTATCTATTTCGCCTCGCCGTCGCTTTTTCATTCTCTCGCTGTTTTTCAAAGATTGCACAAAGCCAAGAGAGTCGTGAGGGAAGCCTCTAGACGCGAAGAAGAAGAAGGAAACGAAAGAGACGAAAGGAAAGGCGCAGCTCCTTTAAGACGATGGGAGTTTTCCTTTTTCAGTCAGCTGCGTATTCTATCACCTCCTATTGAGTTGGTGCCTAACTTTTCCTTTGTTTTTTTCTTTCTGAGCTGAGCGATGCGAGTTATTCAAAACTTTTGGCTGTGCCGGCTGCAGAGACTCCGCCCTGCCCACAAGCACATTCCATCTGTAACTCCGCCCACTTCTTCTTCCTGCTATATATCTTAGAACTTGTTTGAACTTTTTTCATGTCCTCATTCCAACAAAATCATTGAACACGTTTCAGCGACTCAGAAACTCAAAATGAAGGCCACGTTGATTGAAATCACCACCCGAGAGAACTTCCTGAGAGCTCAGGCTCAGTGCTCCCGTCATATCAGCACCATTTACTTCCCGTTCTCCATCCATACTCAAATCCAGGATAGGTATACGCAATAATTTCAGTTCTCCTCAACTATGCTTGTACTTTAGCTTCCCGGAGAGCCCAGTTCGGCTTTTTGTGTACCCGAACTTGTCGCATCCGAAAATGTTCTTCATGTTCAAGGACAACGAATACATCAAGTAACCGATGACATGTTCTTACATTTAAAACATGTAAATTATTTAGACCCACTTTAGCTCTGGCTCAAGTCACCGGCACCAGCATGAATCGTCTTGAGTTGATCGATCTCATTCATGAGTTCAGGTGAGTGATCCGTTAAACAAATTTAATTCATTCCGGTTGTCCACTGCTCAGAACACGCGTATTCGGTGCCAAGCGTCAACCTCATCTTGTCATTGCCGAGGAACACCTCATTAAAATGGTTCGCTCAGTTTTTATTGGGGGTTGGGGTTGATGCTCACAGATTTTGAAGCTAGCCCAGACTTTTTACGCTTCTTATGACGTATGAGGGGGAAGCCATTAAAGTCCAACTTGATATAATGAATTTTTCAGTACGGAGTAGCCATGCGACTCTCGTCTTCCAACTGGACCAACACTGATCTCCGTCTCTCTTTGTATTACATGACTGAGTCACAGCGTAAACTTGCCCTCTGCTCCCCATTGCCTGACATTCCAAAGGGTTACTATTACGACGAGGTATTTATAATCATGATTCTTTCCAATAATAGCGCTTTCTTAGATTGACCCGGTAGAAGAAGCAGAAATTGTTAATAATACTTGGACACATGCAGGTGATGGAGATCTCGAGCAAACAATGTGAGTTGAGCGTCAAGACACAAACGCTCTTTGCGCCTAAAGGCTGTGCACTCTCAAACTTGTAACGATTTCATTTATTCAGGGCAAAATTGGCCAGATTGCCGTCATCTTGCATTAGATTCAACGGAAAACCAGTTGCATTCGAAATGATCGATCCAGCGGGTTTTTTCAACAATCAGTATGTCTTCGAGGATCACCGCCGGAAGGGGCTGGGCAACGCGGTTGAGATGGACTTGATCCACAAAACATTGAAGTAAGATACATAAAGTCTGAATCCCAATGAGTAATTCATGAAACTTTTTTGCAGTACGGGATTCCTACCATTCAAAACGGTTGCAAAGAATAACAAAATTGTCCTGGACGCTTCGAACACTAACAAACTCTGGACAATGTGGACCGACGAGGGCGGCAGTGCAAAGACCGTCGTGTTTCAGACCTGGACCAGCGATTAATTATTCCTCGATCGCCAAACTTTTTCACCCTGCATCATATTGATTGCCTCCCTTTTTTTCCTTGTTCATATTGAACAAACAAAAGAATTCCCCATTCCTTTTAATATTATTCGCGCGCACACGTTTTGTGTAGTGCATGCTTTAATTATTGTAGCAGTTAATACCACATTTTTGTTAATTGTTAGTTTGATTTTCCACTAGAATTCTTACAGATTTCGAGCTTTTTTCTGATTCTGATTTTCGAAAAGGTAACAAAATGAATAGTTTTGAAAAAAAGAATAAATTGCTTGTTAAAGATACTTTATTAGCTAACAGTTCTTCTTCTTCAAGCCCACAAACAAAGAAAACCACAAAATCAACCGAAGAATGCGCTGATTCCAGTTGCAGTGGTGTTAGCGTTCTCTGAAAAACGTTAGAAATTATTGTTTCAGATTTTTGACAAGTGTTTGTTCGAACCAGCTGTCGTGCAAACTTTGCAAGTGTTTGGGCACAATGATTGAACGAAGCTAATAATGGAGTCACGTAGTTTCGGGCATTCCTTGCAGCCTAAAGTAAATCTATGCAAATTTTGTTTGTCGCAAAAGTTTTGAAACTCACTTCTGCACGTCGCTTTACGCTGGCAATCGGGCTTTCCGACCAGTGGATCCAGATATTGTCTGATCAAAGGGAGAGATTCTCTGATGAGTGGAAGGGATTCACGGATGAGGGGTAGCGATTCTTTGAGAAGGGGAAGAGCACTCTGAAACGGTGAAAAATTGTATTTAAGTTTGTGAAGTTCCGGGGTCTCTTTCATAAATCTGTATTTCCGCTGGAACGGAACCATGTTTGCATAAAACCCGGTCACTCACGCGTCACAACTAACAAAGAGAAACCACGTTTGGTTCGCATTTTTCGAACGTCAGATACATTTATCACAAATGGAGCAGAGCTAAATTAGTTTTCAAAAAAAAAAGCTTGCTGCCTTTAGTACCTTTAACGGATCTTCAGTTGTAGAACCTGCTGCTGATGCTTCTTCAGTTGATCGATCTGAGACTGTAGTTGATGATCCATCATTGGCTGCCAACACCAGAGGAAGATCCGATTCTAGAAGTGGCAACGAACTCTCCAACGCCGGGATCGAAGAACTGTTCACTTGGGTCGACAAATCATCGATAACGTTGAAGTGATATTCCAAAATGCTTCCAATGCAGATTGATTGAAGATTTGCGCAGGCAGATATAAGATCAACGCAGTCGGTAGCTAGCGAAGTGGTCACGAAGGTGAGGGCGATAAGAGCGGCGAGCCGGAGGGGCGCCATCGCAATAGAATGAGGATTTAGTGACTTTGCAAGTGTTTGAACAGTTGTAAAGAAGTATCAAATGCTTTGTTTGGATTAACACATTCGGAAAGGCGGAAACGGACTGGTTGCCTGATTTTATTGAACTTCACGAGAAACCGAGGATGAACAACATCACAAAAGTTAGGAAATGTGCTCAACTTTCAGAATTAAGATGAGGGGAAGCATGTGGATTAGGTTGCAGTGGAACACATCAGAAATGGACAAGTTTTAGGGGAAAAAAATGATGATACAATATTCGTTTTGGACAAGTTGACAAGTGGATATCAGTGGTACTAGAAATGATTCGGCTTTTGAAAAACAAAACATCAGCTACATCCGCAATTTTAAAACAAATCGTTGTTCATGGCTGCTCAAACGGATACCATCTTGCCTGCGACTTCTCTTCCCGGATTATTGCTCGCCATAAGTCTTTACACCTGTAAAAACCAATGACAGCTATTCCAACAGCCAAAAGTTGAACAAACTTGTGTAACGGCAGTTGCATTCGCGACAGTGTGCGAGAAGCGATACCAAATGTGCCGGTTTCAGTGATGAGCTGTGAAAAGTGTGAAAATGAGATGAACTTTGAACTAGAAAAGTGAAATACCTCAACTGTTACGAAAACATCGCAAAGGGTATGTTTGGGGATGGCGAATGTCAGACATTCGTTGAATTGAACCGTTCTTGCAGCTTTCTTAGAGTTTGTTTTCTTCTTTTTTAGTGGTTTTTCATCGCCATCCAGTAGAGTGACACGTAGTGCCACATCTGAATTTGTAAAATATTCTCCAAACACTTTGAGAGACCACTTACTTCCTTCATTCCTGAATCTCACATTTCTCACTTTGAAAATGTTCATAGTGAGTCTTTGGGCATGGGAGAGATATGAAAGTGCAAATAAAACTTGACCATAGCCTTTCTGCAACACAAAAAGTTAATGAGCCTATCTGCTTCTCCTGTTCATCCCTACATTCTCGCCGTCCTCGTAGGGTAACACTTCCGCCCAGAATAGCGTGGGCGAGTCATGCTCGAAATGCTCATTTATTCTGCCGAGTGTCAACCAGCAATATCCAACACATTCATCAACACTTAAAAACGTCAGTTTTGGAAGAAATTTAATTAATCTTAAAAGAAACCTAAACTGATCATAGTCGTATACCATAACCTCCAAACGACACGTGCTTATTTGTTGGGATGTAACCTGAAACAATTGAGGATAATGAATTTTTCATTTACAAGCTCTACCGAAAAATAAAAGTCCTCATTAATCAGAGGGGACGCGGTGCCATTGTAAACTTTAGTTTGGTGATCAACGCTTGGTTTCTTAGAATCCGGGATCTGCATAACAAAACGAAACAAAATAAGAAATCTTCATTTCCACCACTTCTGCTTACCTCAAGAGAAACTTTCATAAAGGGATTTGGTTGATCATCTTCTCGTTTTGTTGGAAGATCAATAGCCTTGATGATGGTCACTGTGAGCAGGTTCAAATTAACATCGTGGCTGACACTTAGTTGAATTGAACCGACCGCAGACATGTTCACTGAGCTGCACGCCGATTCATCGCCCATCTGAATAAAATTTTTATACATTTTTGAAATTTAAGTATAGTGCAGGAAAGGTTGAAACTTTGACCACTGCCACATTTCCAGTTGGACACGAGCTTACCGGAAACTGATAAAGTCCTCTATCGAACTGATTCTGGTGCAAATTGGAGAACATGCTTCTAGGTCCTTTTTTAGCTTTAGGTATCATGAACAAGTCAGATAGATCTCCTTTAGGAATGTTGCTACTGCTGCTAGTAGACTCGCGGAAGGTATCGGTAAGGTTAACTCTCCTGAAAACACCCAGAAAGTTATTATTTTTGACTTTAATCAAAAATTACGCTGGCTCATAGGTAGTATCTTCAGTATTTGTTCGGTACAGAGTGGTGCATCGAAGATGTGTCGGGTTTGTACCCATGTCAAGAACGTTTTGATCATACCTAGGCCAAGATAAGACTTTTCAAAGTTTTTTATATCCTATCACATACCAGTTTAGTTTGGTCTTACTTTTCACGAGTAGAAAAGAGACGAAAAGTACCACAATCACCACAGTGGCGCATAGTACTATTATGAAGTTTTGTTCAGTTAGTTCTAGGTTTAGGTTATCTAGAACATCCGGTATCTTCATCACCCTGAAAAAAAGAAAACATAGAATAGGAAGTGAAATGGACGAATGAAGTGAATGTGACAGCTCTGAATGAGGGCACATTAAGAGGAGTGCATTCATAACAAAACAAATTAGGCGCGGGGTTGGGGGAGAGTAAAAAAGGATAGAAATATGCTTCGCGTGATGGATTAAATGTCATTTTTTGCTCACTCATGTTCTCAGAACTCAAATATCAGCATTATTCACTAAGTAACTGAAACAAAAAATAACTTTTGAGCACGGCTGGAGCCTGGGGGCTCGAATGACGTGATGCCAAGAATCTCTTATGCGAAAAAGAATCAAAATTGTATCAATCACAAAGAGGGAGATATAAAAATCCAATTTGATAGAGTAGGAAACATGTCGGAGGGGTGGGGGTGGAGGTGAAAATTTGAGCATTTGAGAAATATGGAGCTTTTGAGATTAGCATTGCTAACTATACATTTTAGTTTTCGTGTTTCACAGGATTTTACATTACAATTTATAAACAAAAACAAGACTTTGTGATCTGGGCTTGGGACAGAGGATTAACGGGGCGGGTGGATGGGCGAAATGAAGTCTATGATCGTTTAACCAAACTATGCAATTATTTAGATAACGCGTAATTAAACTATGATGGATTCAGGCCAATATTCACGAACCAACGTGTAAACGAACTCTCTATTTCTCTCGTTCCCTCTTTTTCTCTTTCTCCTGGTGGTCCCCTCTAGAATTAGAATCAAAACAATGTGCTAATGCAACCAATGACTGATTTTTCACGGCTCGTGTGACCCACTTTCAGCGCGCAAAAAGAGACAACAGAACACATGCCTCCGTGAAAAATATAATGTGCCCCCCCCAGCCGGATATTGGGCTGAATAAATGACGTGACTACCAGGCTGCTACCACTTCCTCCTACCCACAAATTTTTTTCATTTTTCATCTTTTTGATTATATGTTATGCTTTCTCTCATTGTTTTCCTTTTTCCGAATTGGAGGACAAGAAGAAGAACGTCGCCGAGGGATGTGAGAAGAGGGGAGAGATGGAGAATTTAGAGGAATGCGATTGGCATTGCATTTCTCAGAATTTCACAATAATTCAGACTACTTTTCTGAGAATCTTATATTTGAGACACAGAAGTCTTAAAAATTAGTAATGTCCAATAAATATACGCCTTAGAGGCTCATATGCTCTTGATCAAATCCGGCTAATTGATGGAGAAAGAAATCGTACTAGTCCTAAACATTTTCACATGTTTTTCTTTTAAAAATATTTGTTTTATAGAAGGTTTATAAAAAAACAAAAAAACATATGTATATACACATGAACTGGGGGACTTCAAAAGACAGGTGGTATTCTATTCTGCTTTTAACGAATTTAATCCGAGAAAAAAACTTTATTTTCGTATAGTAGTGACGCTGTCAGAATGCGTGAAGAATAAGCATGCGTACATCAGTCTTGACAAGGTAACAGTGAGTCGAACAGCCAGTCTGGTCATACAGACCTGGTCCTCATTAGGATTTTTCATGGGGGAGGGGGGCATGTGGTGAAGAACCAAAAACCAAAAGCCGATGCTGCTGCCGTTTGATTTTGCGACGTCACTGAGAAATTTTGCAAAATCTTATAAAAACGCCACTGAATGCATTTTTTCGGTTCCTATCAGAAGTTAAATGAGAAACTCTTGGTATTCGTGGCGTCGCGCTCCCATTAATTGAAATTCTGCTGCTTTTGCCAAAGTTCAATTCAATTTCACACACATGCTGCCACGGGCATTTCCAAGAACTAAAAAAGGGACAGACTGAAAAAGTGCAATTCAGGGCAGACAGAAGAAAACAGAACTCTGACTGGATGGGGTGCGGTGGTTTGGATAACGTTTTCTTCTGGTTCTATGGGCGGGCTTTACTATAGGAACTAAAAAATATACTTATCTGATTGCTAAATGAGAAAAATCCAAGAATCTGGATGAAAAACAAAAGTTCATCCGCGATATTCTTCACTTAATCCATCGAAATTCAGTTTACTGGGCTTCTGGGTTAATTATTTTGCAGTTCCTTCTCATTTTCTCTCGCATACCGCATCGCAATACGTTCCCGTCCGTTTCATTCATTTGTTATGGAAGGGCGCCGGAGGGTGGTGACAAAAATATATTACTACTCCTTCTGTTGCTCAAAATAGACATAGAAATGATATATGATTGCGTATGTGCATTTGTTCTAAATATAAAAAAGGTGATATCAGACGCATTGAAGTGAATTAAAAGTTGGAGTTTGGTCAATAACGGAGAAAAAATGTTTTTCCCCATTTTTTCCGTTTTTTCAGTGAACGTTTAAAACGTGTCGAAATCAGGGCTGGGCAATTGGCCGGCCCGGGCCTTTTTGTTGGCCGACCATTGTCCTGGACATTTGAACCACTAGCAATTTTCCGATCAGACCCAAACTTTCCAGGATTGTTGGACTTGGATTGAGGGCCATTGGGACCAAGTTTCAGCCCGATCGGATCGTCAGGTCCCGAGATATGTAGATCATCGGCCGATTTTTTTTCAAAAAGCCCGGAAAAGCTTCCGGCCAATTTCGGCCAAAGATCCACATATCTTGGGACCAGATGATCCGATCGGGCTGAAACTTGGTCCCAGTATGCTTCAACCTATGTCCAAGAAGCCTGCAAAGTTTGGGTTCAAGAATATTGCAAGTGGTTCAAATGTCCAGGTCAATGGTCGGCCAACGAAAAGCCCGTGCCGGCCAATTGCCCAGCAATGATCGAAATAACACGCGGTCTCGAAGCGAACGCGAGTACGCTAGCAGTTGTTTCAACTGTTCGCACTCCGTTTGTCCCGCAAATTTCTGCCGACTTTGGACTGCAAAATCCGCGAGATTTGCAGGTTTTTTTTAACTTTGGACGCGGCATTATAGATTTCACGGACGAAGCACACGCTTCAGTGAGTTTCAATGTTTAGGCATATCACCCTTATATGTATGACGAATTGAAAAAAGTGTATAATAAAAAGAAGTGGGAGTAGGGTGGCTTTTTCGAACGAAGACTTAAAATGGATTTTCATGATACGGACTGTTCCAGATTATCTCTTGCTAAAGCTGATATGTTAAGAATGTCTTGTGGCTTGGCTTCCAGAAGCCTTGAGTCATAATTGCAATAAAAAAACGTTTAGGAAAAGAAACATTATTCATTCCTGAAAGTAACCAGTCAAAGTCGATTGGACAGATGTCCATTATGTTTGCAAAGTACCCAATAAACAAAAAATGATAGATATCACAAAGATAGGAGAAAAAATAAAACATCTACATCAATGTTATGACCCTCAAAAAGTTGTAATTGACCAGAAAGTGAACCATTTGTTGAAAACAGGACGGAAAAATCTTCAGTGTATGAAGATCACAGGTATTTTTTTGATAAACATTTGACTTACAGTAGAAAATACAATAAAATACCAGAAAGTGAAAGAAACATACAACCCGAATACAGAAATTGAAATTTGCTACATGACTTTGATATATTCTATGCGCTAATTACCCAAATCGATGATGACTAGATTGTCTTTTTCTCGTCTTTTTTGTCCGCGTGCTCTTCGCTAACTTCTTCGTCGTTTTGTTCCAAATCCGATACATCTGGATTGTGGTACTCGGCTACTATCACTTCTTCCGTTCCTTTACTTTCAATACACGCGAGGAGATATCCCATGACTGCAAAAGTTCACAGTATTTTACTATTTAAATAAAGCTATGCTCACCTTTTGATAACCGACGTTCCATTGCAGGATAATGCTTGTAAGCTAGAATTGGATGTGCTGGATCTTTAGATAATGACTCATGGAGAGCTTTCGTCAGTGATTTGGGAGTACTGTAGAAGCTGAGCAGTGTTCGGAATGTAGACGGGCGAATGATGCAGCACTGCCGGAGAGGTAGAAGAATGTCATCGTCGTCAAAATCCGATCTTCCAAAGGCTCTTCCATGGTCCAGGTGGATGGCATAGGAAGGAACGTCGGTAAAGACGTTGAACGACTCAAAATGATGGCGGTCTTGGTTTCCTGAAATGACTCATCTGTGACGCAAAGATCAAATTAACACATGTCTGGTGCGTAGGGAAGAAGACATAGAGATATATTACACTTGTCGCCTCTCTGAGCAGTTGGAAGACCGCCAGCGCAATTGTTTTTGGAACTCGAACAGCCCAGATAACTTTCCGCTCATTACAAAAACAACCCGCTTTAATAATGGACACACTGAAGTAACTAACTATCAAATGAACTTCCTCAAAGCTTACCCGCTTTGTGAACTTTGAAATGAAGTTCAGGAGACTCTACAAACGCATGTTAAAACTCTGACCGCGGTATCACTTCCAGTTCGAATTCTAAGAATATTTTGATACCCCATGTGAATGGAGTTTGCGTGTAAGGTGTGATGTGGGCATCGCCGCAAGCAAACATTTACCAGAAATGTCATTCTCTCAGGTTATTTGACCCCATCAAACTATTTGAAAGTTTGCTTAACGCTCTTGAAGTCCATTCTAACCACGCTCATGACCTGGGTTTACAAAAGCTTGGAGAGCCTAGTCAGAAATATATTCGGGGCACTTACCTATAAGGTAATCCAAGATGTGAAGATCAATGAGATCTAATATCCGACGTCCATGTGCGTATTGCCTTTTTGTCTTTACTTTATCAGTGCAATAATCCATATTTGACTGCCATTCCGCAACCTGATTTTTCTTGGAGTAAGTTCTAAATCAAAGTACTGATACTTTCTGAGCGCAATGACCTTGAATTACCGTCTATAAGGGCTCCTATTGTGCTTCCTCGGCACCGCTCCTTCATCTGGCAGAAAAACTTGCACACTTCCCTCCTTCATGTCCGGAAAACCACAGATCGCGTGTGTTGTGTCGCAATAATAGTCGCATCGAGAGACAAAACAAAAGTTTTTGGCTGAAAGGGAAGGAAAACATGACAATTATTTTGAAATATGGTTAGGGATACCTGGCGAAAAGAAAAAGGTCTTTTTCAACTTCTTTTCAGCATTCTCGAACAATTCCGATGTCATATTGAGAATTCGGCCGACGGTTGGAATGGCACGGCGGAATCCAAGTACTCTGAATAGTTTTCAGTTGTTTCTAAATGTTTTCATCTGAATCAACCTGTCCAAGTGAAATGTTGCAATTTCTGCGTGATGTCGCTCGAAATCACTAAAGTAGAAGTGATTGGGATCCGATTCATAATTTCGCCCGAATCTGAAAAGTGAAACAGTGTGAACGTGTCCACTGCGAATAAACCCGACCTCATCGGCTTGAAAACCGCCTGTTTGTCGTTTTTAAATGTGAACACAAACTTCACTTGAGTACCACCGTCCATGATGTGCACGTGCTTGATTTGCATTGTGTTCAGGTCATGAAGCAAGTTGTCGATCATAGTGTCGTCGGAGTAAACCGAGCAACTTCCAATGTTCGAGTAGAACCTTTCCCAGTTATCATCTTCAGGCACGTATCGTCTTAATAGTCAATCTCTTTAGTAAAATGCTCTGGAATTCATAAATTTAACTTACTGCTGAGAATTCTCCCAATATTTAGATAAAGTGAGATTAGACTGGCACTCCTTCCCCGTCATCTGATCGAAATCGACATTTTTTGTCAAATCATAAAGCTTTCGGAGAACAACTTTGTTAGATGGGAATATAAAGCTGAACGGATCACTTGTGTCTTTTTTGTCAAGACTTGGAGGTAATGGTTGATTTGGCAGACTGTTCTGACCCTTTGGAAACGGTCGCGGCTCTTCGAATTCAACGCCTACGGCATGTGTTTCTTTTGACTGCGGTCTACGATCATAATCTCCTGAAAGCATGATTTTTAGAAGCTTCATGATAATCTTTAAAAGTCTACAGATGTGGATTGTTTTTTCATGTCTAAACCAAAATCACACATAATTTCCTAGTCTTATTCAAAACAAGTCTAAGGGGCACTTTAAAGGACCGGTGGAGCTCTCAGAGAAATCAAAAAACCAAAGTCAAGTGATAGCTCTTCACTGCAACATAAATGTGAGTGAAAATGCATTTTGCAATTGACCCGAAAATTGCAGAAATCAGAAAAAAAAAACTACTAACCGTCTAAGTTGTCCCTGGAAAAGGAGATTATCACAAGCGTCGCCGCAAATACACCGATTGCCAAAGTGAATAATCGTCTTATGTTGCACCGCATGTCCTACTTTCTTCGTCTTTCTATACTTTCAGGCTTCATGTATTCCAGGTTCCGTATCTGCAAATATTCAAGTTGAGAGAACAAAATAATAGAATAAATACGTAAAAATAGACGACGCAAAGATAATTGGCTCTTCACAGAATACCTTATTGAGTGTTGGTTTAATTGATTCCTCATTTTACTAGACGGATATTTTGCACTTAATGGGCCTTATAATCAACGAAAAAGTTTAAGCGAGAATGGCAGCATTTGAAATTTGCGTAACCGAGCAAACAACCACCGGCAGCAGAGGGACACCTTGTATATTGTAAAAGAGACAAAACACTTGGCGAGTTGTCGACGAAAAGAGGGCTGTAAACATGTCGGATGATGGGAAGGAAAGGGTCTGGGAACGAAAGAACGGCCAAGGTGTTGGTTGGTTCATTCACATCGGTCTGTGTGTGTGTGCTCGTAAAGTGCTGGGAAAAATGCGTTCCCGCTGCCCTGAGCATTTTGTGTTAGATGGAAAACTGCGCTTTTGCGGGTCTCCGCGCCGAAAACATCAAAAATATTGTGATTGTGCCGATTCGAGAACATGTAATTGAAAACACGCACAATTGAGAGGACTTGGAAAAGACTATGGTCAATCAGACAAAACATGAATTTGAACGTCACTGCTTAAAAATGTCGAAGCACGGAAGAGGGAGAAAGAAAAGGAACAAACATGCAATTCAAATAGCTCAAAATATGAAAATTAGTAACGTTTAGGACCAAAATGAGAGGGTTCTGCTCTTCAATTTTGCGTTTCCTTTTTCATGGAAAATGGAGTGAAGCGGAGGTGGGTCACCCATGTAAACGGCCGGGCTGAAAAGAAAGATCCCTCGGAAAAGTTTGAAGAAAACTGGTCAGCGCTGAAGTAGAAGTAGACTTCAATTGTTCAAAATGGTTTTCAGATTCAACTAGGACGCAATATACAGAATAACTGAGCAACAAATGGGCAAAGATCTCAAGGAAATCTGTTGAAATGCGTATTTTCTATTTGAAAACGGATTGTTCATAGCATTTGCCAAACACCTCATCCCTCTCTCTCTCTCTCGCTCTTTTTTCTCCGCAAGTTCAAGTACTGTCCCATACTCTCTCAACAAACTGTCGCTGAACTTTAACAAACAAAAAAAAACGCCAGAAAACCATGAGAAAAGTAGATTGTCATTCTAGTTCAGTTCTAAATAGCTACAATTGGAATAGGAAAGCAACAAATCAGCCCCCGCTCATCGTCGGACTCATCAGAATTCTATTCTATGTAAAATGTTGCGATTCGCAGAAAAACGTAAATAATTCATTGCGCTTCTGAGAAAGAGCTGAGGTTTGCGGGGGATAGGTGCTCAATCAACACTGCCAAACTTGTAGGAAAGAACAAGAGAGCAGCGATATGATTTTGTTGCTTTTTGCGGAAAATTGGGTGGGGGAGCGGAAGAAAGAAAGGAATATTGCGTTGCATCGCCTATGACATTTTTCTTCGATGACGATCGATGAAAGTTACGATTTGCGTATTCTGATACGGATTTTTTATGTTTCGAGAAATAAAATGACAGAAGTTTATTGTATTTATGCGGGAAATCATAAACCCTTGGCGCTGGGGAGAAAATAAAAGTGAAAGAGTTGTAGGGGTTTATTTGCGCAATACCACAGTAAGGCAAACAAAAAATTTGGACCAGGAGAAGAGTTTCCCTGTAATTTGTTCAAACTTTCGACAGAATGAACCGATGGCAAGTAGTTTTTCCAGATTATCCAGTTCATCCACACTGAACAAGATCATAAAAACGCGTATGTTTACGACACCATGCGCAGAATTTCCAATTACTACGTGGATATAGTAATGTGGCTTCTGACTTCCACTTTTGAGATAGAAGTACCAAAGTGGATTGTTAAGTAAAGAAGAGAAAAATCGCAAGAGGAGAAGCTAGCCAAGGTTGGGGCGGGAGTGAATGTGACACTTGGAACGGCGGTAGCGCATGGCGGGACCCGAAAAGCAAACAGGGCGGCAGCTATTCTATACAAAAGCACCGACCCAACAGCAACACATTTCACTTGTAAGGCATCAAGAAATGCCTGCTTAATAGATCTCATAGATCATTGTGATTTTCAGCACGGGCGAAGCTTAAAGGTCAAAAACCCGAATTTTAAGTTTAGTTGCCAGCGAAATTGAGGGAGAATGAGAATGAATACCTTCTCTTTGCGTCTGCGTCTCGTTTTTGATAAGAAAACAGTCTTGTTCCTAATTCTTTATTCTACACGTGACTGTTACATTTTCCACTCATTCTCACAGATAAGAAAGTTCCTGTACTGTTCCAGAAGCTAAATCCTGCCTGGCTGAATAAAGAATAGACAAACGTTGTTTAATCTGCTATAGATTATGAATATCTCCTGGATATTCCATTTCGTACTTAGGAATAATAGAATGAGGACAGGTTTTATGTAAATTCCAGGCAAGAAGGCAGAGAAGAAAATGAGGGTGGGGGCACAACGGGCAGAAGAGAGAAGGATGCCCGTGATTTGTAGGAGGCCAACAGAAAATTGTTTCCGGTTATCGTCTCACGAAATCTTGATGCCAATAAATTGCTTTTTGTTTTCTCTTTATTACGAAGAACACAAAAAACGCAAAAAGAAGGCGGCGAAGAAGAAAAAGAAACCAATTTAGACTTGGGAGCGAGGGGGGGGGTACCAAATCTTTTTGCGCGCATCATCATCATCTGACGAGCTGGCTGCAACGACAAGTAATCTGTTTGAAAGGAAAACAATCGCAATGTTTAAAAGTCTCCCAAATCCTAGTCGATCCAAAAAGAACTCGGAAGTATGGAACAAATGGATTCACACACGCACAAGACAAAAGCGTAAAAGACAACGGGAAACGCTGTCAAATTTTTATTCTCATTGGTCCGACCGGATCAAATTTCAAATAGAAGTGCAGCTAGGGGAAAAAGGTGAAAGAAAATACGACAAAAGCTTCCCCTCGGAAAGCTAAGCCTGACAGAAGATTAAGATTCATTTTCACAACCACTGCTCGGAGTCGGGAATTCCACGGAAATTAGAGTAATCTGGCCAGCATATCGCTTTCATGAGAACCAGATTCTGAGCGTATTTGAGTTATCTAGGTGTGAGAAAGTTAATACGCAGGGAATAGATAGCGCATTCTATTGAAAAGAAAACAGAGAGTAACAAGAACTGGTGAATTGATTTCGAGTCGAATATATATCTGAAAAATAGCTAATGACGCTCATATCTGTGAGCAAATCTTTAAAAATGTGTTTTTGTTGACGCATAGCTTCTTAGAGACACGTAGTAAATTATTATTTGAAGTTTCTGCAGGTTTGTTTGGGGCATCTTAAAGTGTAAAAGATTTCTAGACAAATCTGCAAAGAAATGCCTAAAACCTGGAAAAGTCTCAGGCCTACCGCCAATTGATGCGATATGATTATTGTGGAATAATGTGAGACAGTCGGTGGGAGAATAAGAGAGGGGGATCATCTCATCTCATAACAATTAACGCCATTATGCGCGTAACATCCGTGTGTGTCATTCATTTCAATCACACACACCGGTCGCCCCTACACCCTGACGTACGGGCGAAAATGTTAGTTAGGCAGTCTCACAGTCGTCGCCGGTATTCCCATATAGAAACGTGCAAACAGAAATGAACGTGCAATCAAAATAACCAGTTACTCTCTTTCCGTCTTTTCCTCTCTCTCTCTCTCTCTTTTCCCGCCTACTATAACCGCCTTTCCCCCTACTTTTCCACTTCTTTTTCTTGCGACTGGGCACCGTGGCTTGCAGTAAGTACTATTGTTGCGTCAGTACTGTAAGTCGCGCACGCTTCGCCGGGCATATATATAAAATGAAATTAATACGTCAGAATGTGGTGGTGTATGAAGAGATCCGGGGGGAGAGGGGGGAAGCCGATTTGATTTGCGGAAATGATTTGGCATACATCCACTACTACTGTATGAGTATATGCGAATAAAAAAAAGTTGAAATGTGTGTCAAAATGTCAAGGGAACTGACTGAACTGAAGGACTAAACACTAAACACAGTTCAGTTCTCCCTTTTTATATACCACCCTTTTGAAGACCTCTTGAATCGAAAAGTTTCGGAAGGAAGCATCCGGTCGTGTGGCATTTCTTTCATTTTCAACTATCCATTCAAGTAAAACTTTGCCGAACAAAGAACAACCAGTATCAAACAAATCAAAACGGGGAAATATTAATTCTGCATCATTTCTTTTGCACACACACTGCCACCTCTTCCAGAATGAACAAGAATGGCCAGGGGACGGAAAAATCATTTTGTAGTCAAAGATGTGTCAGTTGGCGTCTCTCGCCAACTTGCATTCCATCACTCGGTGACAGAGCGGATCATAAAAAATAAATGGATTTTTTTGCGGAAAAAACCCCACTTCCCCCGGTTGAACAGCTTTCATCTGCGATGGATGAGAATCCAGGATAAACGGGGGAAGTCATTTTTCTCTCGTTTTCCTGGAAAGTTCAAAGCACCCGTGAGATGAAAACAGAAAAAATTGGGATTTCATTCACGACAACTAATCTGTTATCAGGATGCAGCTGGAGAGCAAAAAGAGAAAAAGTGAGAGAGAAAAATTTAATGTTACACTGAGCTAGGATTATGTTATATCATTATACCCAGATGTTTTGGAAAAGTCCACGTCCACTCGAAGTCCTCAGATGGCTCCCAAACTAGAAACATGATGTCGGGCGAAATTTGGACAAATCAGATCGTAAAAGAGAATAGAAAAGAGATAAATGAGTAGAGAAATACGGGGCGTGTTGCGAAACAAAAAGACGACGTAGATAAAAAAAAGTGCGACACGAGGAGGAATCAGGTCAGTCTGCCCCCTTTTCCAATGTCACAAGCCGAACCATCACAAAAACAGGACGTATAATGAATAAGAGACAACAAAAACTGACTTTCCTAATGGACTTTCTGTGAATCTGAGAAAAGGTCAACGCTCAATCAGAACTTTTAAGGCAGAAGAAATCACACTCCGATGAAGGTTTATGAAACAGGTGTAAATGAGTGTGTATATGATAAACCTGCCAAAACTTGAGAGTGGCAGAAGGTGAGAGCGTCGACGCGGAGAAAAGCGCGCATTCATGACAACAACAACAACTGATTCTCTAGATAAAGAAATACATTTGCCACTCTTTACTTTTACGCCGAACGCGTAGACAGCAACCTGCAGAAAGACAAACATTATTTATTGATAAAATATATACAGAGACTTAAAAGTTACTGACAAAGCATGATGGAATGAAATAGAAAAAATCGCAGCACTACTATGCTTGATGTTCAGAATCATTTTCTTCTGCATCTTCTTCAGCCTTTTCCTCATAAAAATGATGTCCATTTTCAAATGCGTTGAAATGGAACATGTTTGTATCGACATGATTTTGACGGACCGACTCGAGCAACTCGCCAGCAATGCACTGTACAGGGCGGTATTGATAGTCCTGAGAGTAATCACTTTTTTGTTGACTATTATGAAAAACTCACAATTTCGTAACTACTGCCATCATTCTGCACTTGACAACCGTTCTGAACAGTTGAATAGCCTGATTGAAACAGTTCATTAACCGTATCGGCATGTGAAAATTGATAACCTTCGTTGCAAACCGATGATTTGACGTGTAATAATTTTTCTGAACGCTTTTCGAGGGCTCTCTGTAAAAACATAACCAAAGCTCCAAGATATGAATCTTCTTACATAAACAAAATCCTCCTGGTTCTGCGTTCTTGCTTCAAATTGCGGGCCGTCTCCTTGCAGAATCTTGTTGTCGGCTGGAATCTTCTTGGCGTACCGCTCTCCACTTATGTGGGTGAAGTCCTCCTGGTTCTGCGTTTTTGCTTCAAATTTCTGGCCGTCTCCTTGCAGAATCTTGTTGTCGGCTGGAATCTTCTTGGCGTACCGCTCTCCACTTATGTGGGTGAAGTCCTCCTGGTCCTGCGTTCTTGCTTCAAATTGCTGGCCGTCTCCTTGCAGAATCTTGTTGTCGACTGGAATCTTCTTGGCGTACCGCTCTCCACTTATGTGGGTGAAGTCCTCCTGGTTCTGCGTTCTTGCTTCAAATTGCTGGCCGTCTCCTTGCAGAATCTTGTTGTCGGCTGGAATCTTCTTGGCGTACCGCTCTCCACTTATGTGGGTGAAGTCCTCCTGGTTCTGCGTTCTTGCTTCAAATTGCTGGCCGTCTCCTTGCAGAATCTTGTTGTCGACTGGAATCTTCTTGGCGTACCGCTCTCCACTTATGTGGGTGAAGTCCTCCTGGTTCTGCGTTTTTTTGCTTCAAATTGCTGGCCGTCTCCTTGCAGAATCTTGTTGTCGACTGGAATCTTCTTGGCGTACCGCTCTCCACTTATGTGGGTGAAGTCCTCCTGGTTCTGCGTTCTTGCTTCAAATTGCTGGCCGTCTCCTTGCAGAATCTTGTTGTCGACTGGAATCTTCTTGGCGTACCGCTCTCCACTTATGTGGGTGAAGTCCTCCTGGTTCTGCGTTCTTGCTTCAAATTGCTGGCCGTCTCCTTGCAGAATCTTGTTGTCGACTGGAATCTTCTTGGCGTACCGCTCTCCACTTATGTGGGTGAAGTCCTCCTGGTTCTGCGTTCTTGCTTCAAATTGCTGGCCGTCTCCTTGCAGAATCTTGTTGTCGACTGGAATCTTCTTGGCGTACCGCTCTCCACTTATGTGGGTGAAGTCCTCCTGGTTCTGCGTTCTTGCTTCAAATTGCTGGCCGTCTCCTTGCAGAATCTTGTTGTCGACTGGAATCTTCTTGGCGTACCGCTCTCCACTTATGTGGGTGAAGTCCTCCTGGTTCTGCGTTCTTGCTTCAAATTGCTGGCCGTCTCCTTGCAGAATCTTGTTGTCGACTGGAATCTTCTTGGCGTACCGCTCTCCACTTATGTGGGTGAAGTCCTCCTGGTTCTGCGTTCTTGCTTCAAATTGCTGGCCGTCTCCTTGCAGAATCTTGTTGTCGACTGGAATCTTCTTGGCGTACCGCTCTCCACTTATGTGGGTGAAGTCCTCCTGGTTCTGCGTTCTTGCTTCAAATTGCTGGCCGTCTCCTTGCAGAATCTTGTTGTCGACTGGAATCTTCTTGGCGTACCGCTCTCCACTTATGTGGGTGAAGTCCTCCTGGTTCTGCGTTCTTGCTTCAAATTGCTGGCCGTCTCCTTGCAGAATCTTGTTGTCGACTGGAATCTTCTTGGCGTACCGCTCTCCACTTATGTGGGTGAAGTCCTCCTGGTTCTGCGTTCTTGCTTCAAATTGCTGGCCGTCTCCTTGCAGAATCTTGTTGTCGACTGGAATCTTCTTGGCGTACCGCTCTCCACTTATGTGGGTGAAGTCCTCCTGGTTCTGCGTTCTTGCTTCAAATTGCTGGCCGTCTCCTTGCAGAATCTTGTTGTCGACTGGAATCTTCTTGGCGTACCGCTCTCCACTTATGTGGGTGAAGTCCTCCTGGTTCTGCGTTCTTGCTTCAAATTGCTGGCCGTCTCCTTGCAGAATCTTGTTGTCGACTGGAATCTTCTTGGCGTACCGCTCTCCACTTATGTGGGTGAAGTCCTCCTGGTTCTGCGTTCTTGCTTCAAATTGCTGGCCGTCTCCTTGCAGAATCTTGTTGTCGACTGGAATCTTCTTGGCGTACCGCTCTCCACTTATGTGGGTGAAGTCCTCCTGGTTCTGCGTTCTTGCTTCAAATTGCTGGCCGTCTCCTTGCAGAATCTTGTTGTCGACTGGAATCTTCTTGGCGTACCGCTCTCCACTTATGTGGGTGAAGTCCTCCTGGTTCTGCGTTCTTGCTTCAAATTGCTGGCCGTCTCCTTGCAGAATCTTGTTGTCGACTGGAATCTTCTTGGCGTACCGCTCTCCACTTATGTGGGTGAAGTCCTCCTGGTTCTGCGTTCTTGCTTCAAATTGCTGGCCGTCTCCTTGCAGAATCTTGTTGTCGACTGGAATCTTCTTGGCGTACCGCTCTCCACTTATGTGGGTGAAGTCCTCCTGGTTCTGCGTTTTTGCTTCAAATTGCTGGCCGTCTCCTTGCAGAATCTTGTTGTCGACTGAAATCTTCTTGGCGTACCGCTCTCCACTTATGTGGGTGAAGTCCTCCTGGTTCTGCGTTCTTGCTTCAAATTGCTGGCCGTCTCCTTGCAGAATCTTGTTGTCGACTGGAATCTTCTTGGCGTACCGCTCTCCACTTATGTGGGTGAAGTCCTCCTGGTTCTGCGTTCTTGCTTCAAATTGCTGGCCGTCTCCTTGCAGAATCTTGTTGTCGACTGGAATCTTCTTGGCGTACCGCTCTCCACTTATGTGGGTGAAGTCCTCGTGGTTCTGCGTTCTTGCTTCAAATTGCTGGCCGTCTCCTTGCAGAATCTTGTTGTCGACTGGAATCTTCTTGGCGTACCGCTCTCCACTTATGTGAGTGAAGTCCTCCTGGTTCTGCGTTCTTGCTTCAAATTGCTGGCCGTCTCCTTGCAGAATCTTGTTGTCGACTGGAATCTTCTTGGCGTACCGCTCTCCACTTATGTGGGTGAAGTCCTCCTGGTTCTGCGTTCTTGCTTCAAATTGCTGGCCGTCTCCTTGCAGAATCTTGTTGTCGACTGGAATCTTCTTGGCGTACCGCTCTCCACTTATGTGGGTGAAGTCCTCCTGGTTCTGCGTTCTTGCTTCAAATTGCTGGCCGTCTCCTTGCAGAATCTTGTTGTCGACTGGAATCTTCTTGGCGTACCGCTCTCCACTTATGTGGGTGAAGTCCTCGTGGTTCTGCGTTCTTGCTTCAAATTGCTGGCCGTCTCCTTGCAGAATCTTGTTGTCGACTGGAATCTTCTTGGCGTACCGCTCTCCACTTATGTGGGTGAAGTCCTCCTGGTTCTGCGTTCTTGCTTCAAATTGCTGGCCTTCTCCTTGCAGAATCTTGTTGTCGACTGGAATCTTCTTGGCGTACCGCTCTCCACTTATGTGGGTGAAGTCCTCCTGGTTCTGCGTTCTTGCTTCAAATTGCTGGCCTTCTCCTTGCAGAATCTTGTTGTCGACTGGAATCTTCTTGGCGTACCGCTCTCCACTTATGTGGGTGAAGTCCTCCTGGTTCTGCGTTCTTGCTTCAAATTGCTGGCCGTCTCCTTGCAGAATCTTGTTGTCGACTGGAATCTTCTTGGCGTACCGCTCTCCACTTATGTGGGTGAAGTCCTCCTGGTTCTGCGTTCTTGCTTCAAATTGCTGGCCGTCTCCTTGCAGAATCTTGTTGTCGACTGGAATCTTCTTGGCGTACCGCTCTCCACTTATGTGGGTGAAGTCCTCCTGGTTCTGCGTTCTTGCTTCAAATTGCTGGCCTTCTCCTTGCAGAATCTTGTTGTCGACTGGAATCTTCTTGGCGTACCGCTCTCCACTTATGTGGGTGAAGTCCTCCTGGTTCTGCGTTCTTGCTTCAAATTGCTGGCCTTCTCCTTGCAGAATCTTGTTGTCGACTGGAATCTTCTTGGCGTACCGCTCTCCACTTATGTGGGTGAAGTCCTCCTGGTTCTGCGTTCTTGCTTCAAATTGCTGGCCGTCTCCTTGCAGAATCTTGTTGTCGACTGGAATCTTCTTGGCGTACCGCTCTCCACTTATGTGGGTGAAGTCCTCCTGGTTCTGCGTTCTTGCTTCAAATTGCTGGCCGTCTCCTTGCAGAATCTTGTTGTCGACTGGAATCTTCTTGGCGTACCGCTCTCCACTTATGTGGGTGAAGTCCTCCTGGTTCTGCGTTCTTGCTTCAAATTGCTGGCCGTCTCCTTGCAGAATCTTGTTGTCGACTGGAATCTTCTTGGCGTACCGCTCTCCACTTATGTGGGTGAAGTCCTCCTGGTTCTGCGTTCTTGCTTCAAATTGCTGGCCGTCTCCTTGCAGAATCTTGTTGTCGACTGGAATCTTCTTGGCGTACCGCTCTCCACTTATGTGGGTGAAGTCCTCCTGGTTCTGCGTTCTTGCTTCAAATTGCTGGCCGTCTCCTTGCAGAATCTTGTTGTCGACTGGAATCTTCTTGGCGTACCGCTCTCCACTTATGTGGGTGAAGTCCTCCTGGTTCTGCGTTCTTGCTTCAAATTGCTGGCCGTCTCCTTGCAGAATCTTGTTGTCGACTGGAATCTTCTTGGCGTACCGCTCTCCACTTATGTGGGTGAAGTCCTCGTGGTTCTGCGTTCTTGCTTCAAATTGCTGGCCGTCTCCTTGCAGAATCTTGTTGTCGACTGGAATCTTCTTGGCGTACCGCTCTCCACTTATGTGGGTGAAGTCCTCCTGGTTCTGCGTTCTTGCTTCAAATTGCTGGCCGTCTCCTTGCAGAATCTTGTTGTCGACTGGAATCTTCTTTGCGTACCGCTCTCCACTTATGTGGGTGAAGTCCTCCTGGTTCTGCGTTCTTGCTTCAAATTGCTGGCCGTCTCCTTGCAGAATCTTGTTGTCGACTGGAATCTTCTTGGCGTACCGCTCTCCACTTATGTGGGTGAAGTCCTCCTGGTTCTGCGTTCTTGCTTCAAATTGCTGGCCGTCTCCTTGCAGAATCTTGTTGTCGACTGGAATCTTCTTGGCGTACCGCTCTCCACTTATGTGGGTGAAGTCCTCCTGGTTCTGCTTTCTTGCTTCAAATTGCTGGCCGTCTCCTTGCAGAATCTTGTTGTCGACTGGAATCTTCTTGGCGTACCGCTCTCCACTTATGTGGGTGAAGTCCTCCTGGTTCTGCGTTCTTGCTTCAAATTGCTGGCCGTCTCCTTGCAGAATCTTGTTGTCGACTGGAATCTTCTTGGCGTACCGCTCTCCACTTATGTGGGTGAAGTCCTCCTGGTTCTGCGTTCTTGCTTCAAATTGCTGGCCGTCTCCTTGCAGAATCTTGTTGTCGACTGGAATCTTCTTGGCGTACCGCTCTCCACTTATGTGGGTGAAGTCCTCCTGGTTCTGCGTTCTTGCTTCAAATTGCTGGCCGTCTCCTTGCAGAATCTTGTTGTCGACTGGAATCTTCTTGGCGTACCGCTCTCCACTTATGTGGGTGAAGTCCTCCTGGTTCTGCGTTCTTGCTTCAAATTGCTGGCCGTCTCCTTGCAGAATCTTGTTGTCGACTGGAATCTTCTTGGCGTACCGCTCTCCACTTATGTGGGTGAAGTCCTCCTGGTTCTGCGTTCTTGCTTCAAATTGCTGGCCGTCTCCTTGCAGAATCTTGTTGTCGACTGGAATCTTCTTGGCGTACCGCTCTCCACTTATGTGGGTGAAGTCCTCCTGGTTCTGCGTTCTTGCTTCAAATTGCTGGCCGTCTCCTTGCAGAATCTTGTTGTCGACTGGAATCTTCTTGGCGTACCGCTCTCCACTTATGTGGGTGAAGTCCTCCTGGTTCTGCGTTCTTGCTTCAAATTGCTGGCCGTCTCCTTGCAGAATCTTGTTGTCGACTGGAATCTTCTTGGCGTACCGCTCTCCACTTATGTGGGTGAAGTCCTCCTGGTTCTGCGTTCTTGCTTCAAATTGCTGGCCGTCTCCTTGCAGAATCTTGTTGTCGACTGGAATCTTCTTGGCGTACCGCTCTCCACTTATGTGGGTGAAGTCCTCGTGGTTCTGCGTTCTTGCTTCAAATTGCTGGCCGTCTCCTTGCAGAATCTTGTTGTCGACTGGAATCTTCTTGGCGTACCGCTCTCCACTTATGTGGGTGAAGTCCTCCTGGTTCTGCGTTCTTGCTTCAAATTGCTGGCCGTCTCCTTGCAGAATCTTGTTGTCGACTGGAATCTTCTTTGCGTACCGCTCTCCACTTATGTGGGTGAAGTCCTCCTGGTTCTGCGTTCTTGCTTCAAATTGCTGGCCGTCTCCTTGCAGAATCTTGTTGTCGACTGGAATCTTCTTGGCGTACCGCTCTCCACTTATGTGGGTGAAGTCCTCCTGGTTCTGCGTTCTTGCTTCAAATTGCTGGCCGTCTCCTTGCAGAATCTTGTTGTCGACTGGAATCTTCTTGGCGTACCGCTCTCCACTTATGTGGGTGAAGTCCTCCTGGTTCTGCGTTCTTGCTTCAAATTGCTGGCCGTCTCCTTGCAGAATCTTGTTGTCGACTGGAATCTTCTTGGCGTACCGCTCTCCACTTATGTGGGTGAAGTCCTCCTGGTTCTGCGTTCTTGCTTCAAATTGCTGGCCGTCTCCTTGCAGAATCTTGTTGTCGACTGGAATCTTCTTGGCGTACCGCTCTCCACTTATGTGGGTGAAGTCCTCCTGGTTCTGCGTTCTTGCTTCAAATTGCTGGCCGTCTCCTTGCAGAATCTTGTTGTCGACTGGAATCTTCTTGGCGTACCGCTCTCCACTTATGTGGGTGAAGTCCTCCTGGTTCTGCGTTCTTGCTTCAAATTGCTGGCCGTCTCCTTGCAGAATCTTGTTGTCGACTGGAATCTTCTTGGCGTACCGCTCTCCACTTATGTGGGTGAAGTCCTCCTGGTTCTGCGTTCTTGCTTCAAATTGCTGGCCGTCTCCTTGCAGAATCTTGTTGTCGACTGGAATCTTCTTGGCGTACCGCTCTCCACTTATGTGGGTGAAGTCCTCCTGGTTCTGCGTTCTTGCTTCAAATTGCTGGCCGTCTCCTTGCAGAATCTTGTTGTCGACTGGAATCTTCTTGGCGTACCGCTCTCCACTTATGTGGGTGAAGTCCTCCTGGTTCTGCGTTCTTGCTTCAAATTGCTGGCCGTCTCCTTGCAGAATCTTGTTGTCGACTGGAATCTTCTTGGCGTACCGCTCTCCACTTATGTGGGTGAAGTCCTCCTGGTTCTGCGTTCTTGCTTCAAATTGCTGGCCTTCTCCTTGCAGAATCTTGTTGTCGACTGGAATCTTCTTGGCGTACCGCTCTCCACTTATGTGGGTGAAGTCCTCCTGGTTCTGCGTTCTTGCTTCAAATTGCTGGCCGTCTCCTTGCAGAATCTTGTTGTCGACTGGAATCTTCTTGGCGTACCGCTCTCCACTTATGTGGGTGAAGTCCTCCTGGTTCTGCGTTCTTGCTTCAAATTGCTGGCCGTCTCCTTGCAGAATCTTGTTGTCGACTGGAATCTTCTTGGCGTACCGCTCTCCACTTATGTGAGTGAAGTCCTCCTGGTTCTGCGTTCTTGCTTCAAATTGCTGGCCGTCTCCTTGCAGAATCTTGTTGTCGACTGGAATCTTCTTGGCGTACCGCTCTCCACTTATGTGGGTGAAGTCCTCCTGGTTCTGCGTTCTTGCTTCAAATTGCTGGCCGTCTCCTTGCAGAATCTTGTTGTCGACTGGAATCTTCTTGGCGTACCGCTCTCCACTTATGTGGGTGAAGTCCTCCTGGTTCTGCGTTCTTGCTTCAAATTGCTGGCCGTCTCCTTGCAGAATCTTGTTGTCGACTGGAATCTTCTTGGCGTACCGCTCTCCACTTATGTGGGTGAAGTCCTCCTGGTTCTGCGTTCTTGCTTCAAATTGCTGGCCGTCTCCTTGCAGAATCTTGTTGTCGGCTGGAATCTTCTTGGCGTACCGCTCTCCACTTATGTGGGTGAAGTCCTCCTGGTTCTGCGTTCTTGCTTCAAATTGCTGGCCGTCTCCTTGCAGAATCTTGTTGTCGACTGGAATCTTCTTGGCGTACCGCTCTCCACTTATGTGGGTGAAGTCCTCCTGGTTCTGCGTTCTTGCTTCAAATTGCTGGCCGTCTCCTTGCAGAATCTTGTTGTCGACTGGAATCTTCTTGGCGTACCGCTCTCCACTTATGTGGGTGAAGTCCTCCTGGTTCTGCGTTCTTGCTTCAAATTGCTGGCCGTCTCCTTGCAGAATCTTGTTGTCGACTGGAATCTTCTTGGCGTACCGCTCTCCACTTATGTGGGTGAAGTCCTCCTGGTTCTGCGTTCTTGCTTCAAATTGCTGGCCGTCTCCTTGCAGAATCTTGTTGTCGACTGGAATCTTCTTGGCGTACCGCTCTCCACTTATGTGGGTGAAGTCCTCCTGGTTCTGCGTTCTTGCTTCAAATTGCTGGCCGTCTCCTTGCAGAATCTTGTTGTCGACTGGAATCTTCTTTGCGTACCGCTCTCCACTTATGTGGGTGAAGTCCTCCTGGTTCTGCGTTTTTTTGCTTCAAATTGCTGGCCGTCTCCTTGCAGAATCTTGTTGTCGACTGGAATCTTCTTGGCGTACCGCTCTCCACTTATGTGGGTGAAGTCCTCCTGGTTCTGCGTTCTTGCTTCAAATTGCTGGCCGTCTCCTTGCAGAATCTTGTTGTCGACTGGAATCTTCTTGGCGTACCGCTCTCCACTTATGTGGGTGAAGTCCTCCTGGTTCTGCGTTCTTGCTTCAAATTGCTGGCCTTCTCCTTGCAGAATCTTGTTGTCGACTGGAATCTTCTTGGCGTACCGCTCTCCACTTATGTGGGTGAAGTCCTCCTGGTTCTGCGTTCTTGCTTCAAATTGCTGGCCGTCTCCTTGCAGAATCTTGTTGTCGACTGGAATCTTCTTGGCGTACCGCTCTCCACTTATGTGGGTGAAGTCCTCCTGGTTCTGCGTTCTTGCTTCAAATTGCTGGCCTTCTCCTTGCAGAATCTTGTTGTCGACTGGAATCTTCTTGGCGTACCGCTCTCCACTTATGTGGGTGAAGTCCTCCTGGTTCTGCGTTCTTGCTTCAAATTGCTGGCTTTCTCCTTGCAGAATCTTGTTGTCGACTGGAATCTTCTTGGCGTACCGCTCTCCACTTATGTGGGTGAAGTCCTCCTGGTTCTGCGTTCTTGCTTCGATCTGCTGGCCGTCTCCTTGCAGAATCTTGTTGTCGACTGGAATCTTCTTGGCGTACCGCTCTCCACTTATGTGGGTGAAGTCCTCCTGGTTCTGCGTTCTTGCTTCAAATTGCTGGCCGTCTCCTTGCAGAATCTTGTTGTCGACTGGAATCTTCTTGGCGTACCGCTCTCCACTTATGTGGGTGAAGTCCTCCTGGTTCTGCGTTCTTGCTTCAAATTGCTGGCTTTCTCCTTGCAGAATCTTGTTGTCGACTGGAATCTTCTTGGCGTACCGCTCTCCACTTATGTGGGTGAAGTCCTCCTGGTTCTGCGTTCTTGCTTCAAATTGCTGGCCGTCTCCTTGCAGAATCTTGTTGTCGACTGGAATCTTCCTGGCGTACCGCTCTCCACTTATGTGGGTGAAGTCCTTCTGGTTCTGCGTTCTTGCTTCAAATTGCTGGCCGTCTCCTTGCAGGATCTTGTTGTCGACAGGAATCTTCTTGGCGTACCGCTCTCCACTTATGTGGGTGAAGTCCTCCTGGTTCTGCGTTTTTGCTTCAAATTGCTGGCCGTCTCCTTGCAGAATCTTGTTGTCGGCTGGAATCTTCTTGGCGTACCGCTCTCCACTTATGTGGGTGAAGTCCTCCTGGTTCTGCGTTCTTGCTTCAAATTGCTGGCCGTCTCCTTGCAGAATCTTGTTGTCGACTGGAATCTTCTTGGCGTACCGCTCTCCACTTATGTGGGTGAAGTCCTCCTGGTTCTGCGTTCTTGCTTCGATCTGCTGGCCGTCTCCTTGCAGAATCTTGTTGTCGACTGGAATCTTCCTGGCGTACCGCTCTCCACTTATGTGGGTGAAGTCCTTCTGGTTCTGCGTTCTTGCTTCAAATTGCTGGCCGTCTCCTTGCAGGATCTTGTTGTCGACAGGAATCTTCTTGGCGTACCGCTCTCCACTTATGTGGGTGAAGTCCTCCTGGTTCTGCGTTCTTGCTTCGATCTGCTGGCCGTCTCCTTGCAGAATCTTGTTGTCGACTGGAATCTTCCTGGCGTACCGCTCTCCACTTATGTGGGTCAAGTCCTTCTGGTTCTGCGTTCTTGCTTCAAATTGCTGGCCGTCTCCTTGCAGGATCTTGTTGTCGACAGGAATCTTCTTGGCGTACAGCTTTCCACTTATGTGGGTGAAGTCCTCCTGGTTCTGCGTTCTTGCTTCAAATTGCTGGCCGTCTCCTTGCAGAATCTTGTTGTCGACTGGAATCTTCTTGGCGTACCGCTCTCCACTTATGTGGGTGAAGTCCTCCTGGTTCTGCGTTCTTGCTTCGATCTGCTGGCCGTCTCCTTGCAGGATTTTGTTGTCGACTGGAATCTTCCTGGCGTACCGCTCTCCACTTATGTGGGTGAAGTCCTTCTGGTTCTGCGTTCTTGCTTCAAATTGCTGGCCGTCTCCTTGCAGGATCTTGTTGTCGACTGGAATCTTCCTGGCGTACCGCTCTCCACTTATGTGGGTGAAGTCCTTCTGGTTCTGCGTTCTTGCTTCGATCTGCTGGCCGTCTCCTTGCAGGATCTTGTTGTCGACAGGAATCTTCTTGGCGTACCGCTCTCCACTTATGTGGGTGAAGTCCTCCTGGTTCTGCGTTCTTGCTTCAAATTGCTGGCCGTCTCCTTGCAGGATCTTGTTGTCGACTGGAATCTTCCTGGCGTACCGCTCTCCACTTATGTGGGTGAAGTCCTCCTGGTTCTGCGTTCTTGCTTCAAATTGCTGGCCGTCTCCTTGCAGAATCTTGTTGTCGACTGGAATCTTTTTGGCGTACCGCTCTCCTCTTATGTGGGTGAAATCTTCCTGGTTCTGCGTTCTTGCTTCGAACTGCAGCTCGTCTCCTTGCAGCATCTTGTTGTCGACTGGAATCTTCTTGGCGTACCGCTCTCCTCTTATGTGGGTGAAATCTTCCTGGTTCTGCGTTCTTGCTTCGAACTGCAGCTCGTCTGTTTGCAGGATTTGCATGTTTTCTCTTTTTTGCATAGTATCGGAAGTAGCGAATCTCTGTGCATTTTGTTGTTTCAGCGAACTCGTGTTCCGGCGGCTTTCTCCATTTCTATCTACAACGCTCATTCCATAGATTGATCTTTTGGCTTGTTTTGATTTTCGGTCGGTATCAGTATATCTGTCTTGTTGTGTCAGAAGGCCCCTGTCGATTGACTGTTTATGATTGCTCTGCGCTGATGAGGACATGTTCTAAAGATATACATAAAGCTTCTCAAAATAATTTGCGAAAATTTGAAATTACCTGAAGTGCTCTTCTTGTTTCGAAAATCTGACTGTAATTTCTGTTTCTCCTGCTCTCTCTGCTGATGGAATTGACAGTAACTTCATTGGTTTGTGGTAATGTCTCGGTAATCTCATCAGGTGTCCGCTTACTCGAACTGGACAATGCTCTTTTTTCAGTTGATTGACTGCGACTAGTAGTTAGTTTCAGAATCCCTCTGCCGTCTTTTTTGATTCCAATTTGACGTTCAGGACCAGACTGCTTTGCATCGTTAATTGGCGGTAACTAAAGTTTAGTATGATTATGTTCATGAACATTGTAATCGTTTCTTACGTTTGTATTGATGTCCTTTTTGTGTGTTTCATTTTTTTCTGAATATATAACATGTATTGGTTTTTCGCAGTTTTTTCTCTCACCCTCTCCAGTTTTCAATCTTTTAACAGTAGAACGTTTTGTCTCAGCGGATTCATCAAAAAGTGTCGATCTATTAGCCCGATAGCTCCTGGATTCCGTTCTCTGGTAGGTGTTGTGACTCTCAAAGTCCGTCTAAACCAGTATCTCTTAAAGATTGAAGAAAAATATCAATTCATGCCTGTATAGTTGTTTTTTGAACAATTTTTCTCGAATCACTATCACCAAAGTGAATACTGCTCGCATTTCTATCATGAGGACACTTATGACGTCTAAAAACGGAAATATTATAAGAGCGCCAAAAGTACAATTCACAAACCCGCAAGTGCAAATCTGGCAAATACATTTAGCTCCGTGAGACATTTCGTAGGAGCCTGACCTGAATTATTAATATTTTAGAATGAAATTGAATGAAGTTCAAGAACAAAACGTGTGAAACTGATAAAGACGTCACGAAAACGTCAAATATGGAGAAGAAGAGGAAGAGGGAGTTTTAAGGTTAAAAAAGCGGTACTGATAAAGAGAGCCATGCATGTTGCAAAGTGTTTACCGGAAAGCGCATTAATGTGCGGAATAAGCACTAGTTTTTATAGGGAAAAGAGTATTATCAAATTGCATTTATTTTTAGGTGTTTGGTTGTTAAGGTGTTGAGAAAATGCATTTTTCGAGTAAAAATGTGTTCTCGCTCTGCAAAAAACCGAAAAAGGGTGAGGAAACGAAGAAGGAAAAGAGCAGAAGAGTCTTTCAAAAACACAGCGAGGAAGTAGTGTAAATTAAGACGCGCAGAGAGAAGAAAAACGAGAAAAACAAGAAGATCCGGAGGCAAAATAAGGGATATGTGCATAACTTTGCAATTGGATGGAATTGACAAAAAGTGAATGGAAAACAAATGAAACTATTTTGTAATGTGCTCAGACGGGAGAGCGGAGAAGCCAGAACGTTGCTATGCAACGTTCATGCCGCCGTCTGTGATGCATGAACTTTTATACATATAAAGAGAGCATTTGAGCTGGGCTTTCTGGCAGGTACGAAAGTAATTAGTTCTCGCCCGTGCACACAGAATCGTCTCCCTCTTTTTCACATAAAGGGGAGTCCGTTTCAAAACGAAAAGAAAGAGAGAACCGTTTTTCGGTTCTGTGTACTTGTTGGCAACATCGATCAACTATAATTCGAAGGGAAGACCACTTGTAATGCGGCGCATTACTCTCCAATTGACACTGAACACACACGCAATTTTTGTACGGGGGGGGTAGAATGATGATGCCAAGTTTTTAATTCATTGTAAAGAAGAAGAGGAAAGCTGTACAAATCAAATCATGAGATACAATGTTTATTTGTATTTAGCTAGACTTTTCAATTGTCAATGAAAAGTAGAAAAGAAATATCACAGAAGATTCGGTTTTTCTTGTTGAAACTTTGTGTGGCGACTAGAGAGAATGAACTGAAACTGTCATATACAATATAAAATACAAATTCTATGGATACATACACATTTACAACTAGAAATAGCAAGAGAGGGAACGGGGGAGGGAGAAAAATATGCCTATATATATTTATCACATTGGAACCAGCCTTCAAGTACACGATTTGCTTTGCGGTTTTCCGCAATATTATGAATTTTTGCGAGCGGAATGCACACCATGTACATCTTGTGATTGTCCATAAGACCACCATTGTTCCAGACGCTCACTTCCAGGACTCTCGTGGATAGCAGGTTCATTGGGAATCCTTCGTAGGAGAGCTAAAAAAGCTTGTGTTATTACGTGTTCTAGAGCCAAAAGCGTTTTGAACCATAACATTACGTGCTCATTTCATAATGAACCCAACCCTGGATGCGTGGAAAACACTTGAAAAGAATTTGAGGATTTCTAGTTTCAGGTTCATCCTTTAAAAAGAAACAAACCTCTTGATTGAATGTCGGGTGTTGAGTAGCGCGAACAACTTGAGTTTTACGTTTTGAGTAATTTTGAAGATCTGGACGGACATACGTCTTTACGTACGGGTCTGGAGGTTGCCCTGTTTGCAGAAGAGCCATGTTCTTGACGTGTCCTGGAACGTAATTATTTTTTTGTTGTTGGTATTTACCTCAAACTGCACTAAAACTTACCTATAAACACGTTGAGGCTCTCTTTGACGCTGTTATATTGTACCTTCAGGTAGATTTGACAGTGTGGTGACGGCATTTCCTGCGCGTCAATGTAGGTGTCGCACTTGTTGTCACGAAGAAGCGAATGGAAAAATGTATAAACCAAGTCGCACTGAAAAAAAAAGAAAATACTTGCTCTTCCACTTGATTTCTTTTAATCCCCCAGGAAAGAGAAAAAGGAGACGACGAGAAGACAAATCCTGCATTTAGGAGATAGAAATTAATGTTCCGGAATAATTTCAGGTTGTCTGGCTCTCTCCCACGCCGCCAAAATTGATGTCAAGAAGTCATTGATGTGCATCTTTTCGCTTGCCAAGAATGAAATCTTTCAAAAGAATGGAAAACTAACATGTCGAATCTCGTCCACCTGACGATAAAGATACAGAAGAAAGTGTTGCACGTCTATCATCCGTTTCTGAGCGATCGCACGCACATTCGACCGCATATTTGAGCTGGTGCTCAGGGAAACTGCCAGTGATGGGAAGCTATAGATTAAACAAAAATTATTGAGCACATTTCACGACTATTGCAAACCGTTTCCTCAGTTTTGTATGCAACTCCTCAAACTCGGCAAATGAGCGATAGATGAACGAGGCAACCGTGACGTTCAATCGCTGAACTTCGATTTTGTACAGCTGAAAATGTTGACAGGACCAAATTTCGATTGAAAACGTGAATTGAATCTTACATAAATCTTATTCGGAATGAATCGTTTCTCGTATGTCAAAACTGTCAATCTCGAAATGCGGCCATCGGAGAGCTCTCTGCAAAAACAAAATAAATTATAAATTTTTGCCGACAAAGGTGTGCTCACGTGTATAATTCCGGCACAAAACTAAGCTTGTTCTCGTCTCGTTTCGAAAAACTCGAACTTGACGACATGAACTGGGCAAATGTGTGAGCGACAAAGTTCAAACGGACAAATGTGCTGTTGAGCGAGTTTTGAATGAGCTCTGTGAACTGTACAATTGCGTCAGTTTCTGTGAGATCCAACATAAGATTCTTCTCGACGAACGCAATCGAGTCAAGATTGATACCAGAAATATCGGAGCAGGCCATCTGAAAATGCACGTTTGTTGAACACAAATATTGATAAAACACTAACAATTCGCAGCAAGTTTGTCAAAACACTCTTATTCCTTCTGAGAAAGTTGAAAGCTTTGCAGCAGTAGTCGATAAACTTCTGATAGTTTTGTGTTTGCGATTTTCCTCCGTTTATCACGTAGAACATTTCGGATGTGAACACAAATGGAACTCGATCTCTTCTGAAACCGGCAGCAGTTTGCCAATCGCCCATATACTTTCCAAAATCTATATGGAATACATGTCCGTTCTTGGTGAACAGTATATTGTCGTTGTGCCGGTCCCCAATGCCCAGAACATAGGTGACTACACACCATCCAGCACATGAGCGGATGAAATTTTCGAGCGCTTCTTTGTAGGTGAACTCATCGCTATTGTGCTTCATCAGCCACTTCCGAAGGACTTCGTCATTAAGAACTCCGCGAAGACCGTCTTCCTTCTGGATTTCTAAAAGAGTGGCACAATTGAGTACGAGCTCTCCCATTCCACGCCGATATCCGACTGGCATTATACGGAAGGTGATCAAACGAAGGTCGAGGCCATTTGATTTCCAGATCCTGTCCATTTCGTTCACCATTTTCATGACGAATGCATCTTGTCGCATGTCATCATCTCGCTGTAAAGTTTGTTTGAAATTAGCGTACCGTTGTATGAGCGTTTGAAAATATGGTGGGAATTGCCAAAACCACTAAAACTTTTAGTCAAACAAATTTTATTAGTGCTAACCTTATGAATAATCGAATAATTCGAATTGATCCCTCGGAAGACAATCTTCAACGGCTTCGCATTGGAATTGAAGATGTTGCACTCTTCAATCCTCACTCCTGTGCAATCAAACGCCGGACAAATTGGCAACCGCACCCGGTTTTGAAGAAGCTGTCCATCCAGATGTCCCAAACGAGTTCTGAGCCGGTGAAGTCTCTCAAACTCGTTCTCTGCACTCTTCAAACGCAATTCATCTTGAATCGAGTCCAACTCATTCAACAGATCGTGCTGCAACTTGATATCTTTTCTCAAATCCTGGTTTTCATGTTCGTCAATGATTTTCTGTTGCAGATTTTGACAGCGTATGGCGTATGGTAAATCGTCGACTGCACAATGATCAACTCGTTGTTGTAGTTGCCAGTAGATTTCGAAAGTGAAATCTAAACTGACAAGAGCTAGTTCCAGGATGAAATCAGCAAGCGTCGACTTCTCGTAGAGTTCGAAACGAAGAGCTTCAACGAATTGAGGAATCGTGTGGTAGAGGAAGTCCGTTGAGCCATAGGCAAGTGAACGAACTGCATAGGCTCGGACACGTTCATCCGGATACTGAGGCAGCAGCAGTTCCATTGCGATTTCCGGGCGAAGTGGAGCCCATTCCTCAAGAATCTGATACACTCTCATAACGAATCCAAAACTCCAGTCTTGAAGTGAAGACAACACTAGAGGCAAGGCTTCGGGCTGATGGGTCAGGTACAGTCGCTTCTGCCATATCAAGTCCTGATCATCAGACTCTAGTCTTGATGGGTCCTGGTTTTCAATCATCTCCATAAGATATTCCTGCGTCTCAATGTCTAGTGTGGAGAAGTCTTGGGGAATGCACTGCATGTCAATCACAACATTTGGGAAGAAAATCTCGGTGTCCCAGACTTTGAAGCTCATGATTAGGATGGGATCCCTAGCATCTTTGATGTATGGATACGGTCCAAAAGGCTTGAGAAGTGGTTGTTTCTTCAAAAGCGTCAACGGCAGGAATAAGGGTCCTTGTCGCATAAGTCTGAAAAATAACGGGTAACGAGTGCAAAATAAAAACAGTACTTACAGGTGTTCATCATATAACGGAACAGAGCAGTATCCTAACATCACCGTGTCCTGACTGAAATCATTCAAACTTGGCTGTGGTTGTGGACCATTCTTGATGGTTCCGCTGATTGAGACCACAATTCGAGTCTCTCGAGGATACGTGCACAAATTAAGTCTGGTGAACTTCGCGTACAAATCCAGGGATATTCTCGGGAAGAACTGATCCATTTTGACCACCTTCGACACTTTATTACTATGCCCATCAAGCACCTGCGTTCCATAGTACAAATCGACCGACATGTAGAACTCCGAGTAATCTCTGATCCAATTTTCCGGAATAGAATGCACAGAGTTGAGCATGATTTGCAAATGATCCATTTTAGACAGAACTTCCACTTTCGGCTTGGTGAAAAGTTGAAGAGGTGGGAGGCTGTATCGGCTGACGGTGCATCTGCAGTATAGCTCGAGGAACGAATGAATTTCGCGGAGAAAGTCGTTGCGATGAATTCTTAGCTGCTCCTCTGTGGTTGATGCTAAGTACCTCTGCATTTCTTTGAACAGTTTTTCGGGAACGATTCCATGTAAGTATTTGCAGAATAGCATGACCACTTGTTTGACGCGTTGGGACGTTTGTGAAACTGCAATAAATGATTCGTTTTGAATAGTTTTTCAACCAGTTGAGGTACTCACGCTTTAAAGTGGATCCATCATTGAATGCTTTCTCATACTGTGCCATTTCTGTGGCAAGATGACTGAATGTGTTCTCCACGTCTTCTTTATCAACAACAGTTGAGTACCGAACTTGGCTTCTGGAAAGTTAAAGTTATATGACACTTCTTAAGTAAAAATCAACTCACTTCATTCTATTCCAAGAGTCCACAAAGTGCTCATAGATTCTCTTCTGCGGCTTGAAAACACCAACCTCTAGCCTTACATCTTCACCGTGCAGCAAACAGTGTCCAGTGTACAAATTTGATCCCAAAAGACTTTCCTTGGCCAGAAATTGATTCAAACCATAGATCTGAAACATTGAAACAACGACTAGTAAAAATGGAGAGTCGTCTTGCTGGACACAAAGCATAATCAGAAAAGTGACGTGCGTTCCATAGCAATTTTCGGATTATGCCAAGAACCGTGTGCGGCGGCGGCATTTTTGGAACAAGAATTGACCTTCAAGCCGTATTCTTTGTCTTCTTCTAAATTAGAGTCGAAAAATGAGAGAGCTTGGACAGTGATGATGTCCATTGACTGCTCAATACCGCAAATAAGAGCCTTGCTTTGTTTGTCGTTTCCTGGCCATCTGAAACCACGATTTTATTTTTAAAAGTTGGATACAAAGAAGCTCCTTTAGTTTTCTAGAGCCCATAATAACAATAAAAACCGAAAAACAAACCCATAATCCTTGAACACAATCACTTTGACCGTGCTAGCTGTTGTTGTCATGTAGTCCACAGTCGGTGCAATGAAAAATTCGGGGGTCGTCTTTCTCCGAATCAATTGTCTTTTGCATAACTTTTTGAACTGTTCTTCAATGACATCAGGGCAGTCAATCAAACTAAATGACGAAGACGGAAACTCTATGCTTTCTACTTTCTGAAAAACGTGCACCTGAATGCTGTCCTGAACTTTGTCAAGTAGTTTCGGTTCTGAAAAGTTTCAATTTGGTGTGGAAGTTGTGTAACCTGAAAAAAAAAACTCACCTTCCAGTGCTTTTGTGGTGTATATTTGGACAGAAGGCATTATGATGCTGTCATCGGCTGACGAATTGGAAAAGATTGAGGATATGAACAGCGGATCGAATTCTCTTCTAATCTGCAATGTTTTGTTTCATATTAGCGACAAGGTCGCAAAAAGAACAAGAGAAAAGAGGAAGATCAATCAATTCCAATTTGGCCACGCAAATGATAAACTATCTATCTTTTCGGATTGTGTTGCTTCTCTCACGAGAAAAGTCAAATACTGGGAAAGGTTGCTGGTTTTCGGAGGTTTACTAGTGTTATGATAGTAATTCAGTATTCATTTGGTCTCGAGATTACTGAGCAATTCTCCGCACCTCATCCAATGACACATTTGTGGATTCATCTAAATTGCTGCTGCTCAGATCAATCAAATCTCCGTTCAAAAGAGCGCCGTAGGAAGAATTCATGTTGGGCATCACGTATGGAACATATAAATGTGTCAGTGGTTGATACTGAACGCTGCAAATCATGTTTTCTTTACTCCTGTCGAGCTAGGGGTCAAATTGATATACCTGTGCTCATGATTGGAGCTGTTCCGCGTGGAATCACCGGATGTTGATGTAAAACTTGTCTCGAATGGCTTGATCGCTGAAAGTTTGCAATTTTTTACTGAAAGTTCCAGGAAAATCTGAACTTACGGGATAATACTTGTGTGTGATCGATTGAAAACAACGGCGCCGAGTGTCTGAGAGGAGTGGACGAAATCGGTGAAGTTGGTTGAGAACGTGAATTGTTTCTGGGTGGTGATTGGGGTTCTCTGTTGAATCTGGGCGGTAATGGTGGTGGAGCAAAATGACGATCATGAAGTACTGAAAAATTGTAACCTAATGATCAACTTAGGTTGAAGCAAAATGACTTACACGGAACTGAAGGCGCTGGCGGAAATTTGTACTGTTCTGGCTTTGGTGGCCTTGGTGGCGCTGTTTCATGGGGGATCGGGGCCTGCCACGATGAAAAGAAGTTCCGAGGATACGATTGGGAATGTGGTAGTGGTAATGGTACTGACTGTGCAGTGTCTCCTCGCGGATCGTTGAAGTTACTAAAATTTCATAAATTTTTATGATCTAGAAGGAAAAAAACTTACTACGTAGAAGTCCCAGGCCGAGTTGTCTGATACAACTGCTTGATCTGATTTATCTTCCGTTGCCTGGCGGGTTCATCAGGTGACTCAAATCGAATCAAATCATTGTCCACCGACCTCAGATCTTGTTCATTTTTGAAAGTTTGCCTGGAAGAGAAAAAACTCATCACCTGCGATGTCATCGGCGAAGGCCGCGGTCACAACGTGTGTCAGCTGTTATTTTCTTCTTTCTATCTTTCTTTTCATCATCAAGCTTTCATTTCATCGGAAACTCACTTGGATATTTCAATGGCGAGCTGCAGCTCCTCATCATCATCGCTCATCCTTCAAAGACCCCAGTCTCACCTGCAAAATTTGCATTTCAAATAGCCCGCCAACCAAAAAACGGTTTTTAAACAAAAAATCAATTGAGTAGTGGACGGCAAACACACACACACACACGCACACACAAAAAAGCGCAAAACAAGCAGGTTCTTCGGTCATTCCGTATGACAATGACGAACGGTGAGAGAGTGCGTTTGCACAGGCAAACAGTGTGCAAACACCGTAACGCAAATCCACACAATTATCCCGTCGGCAAAGAACGGGTCTCCTTTTTTGGTGGCCGTGTTAGAGGAAGAAGTTGGTTATTGCGAAAGAGAGAAATGTTTTCTTTTATCTGAAAATGGAAAAAGAGAGAAATAGTGACGGAACTCTAAAAATCAATAACTGTGTTGTTATTTTTATGCAAGACAATAATTGGGTCACTAGAGTGACTATAAGAGTACTTTAGTCAACAAAAACATCTTGAAGATTTACTTTGAAATAGGGACATTTGAAGTCCAAGACTGTGTGTCTGAGCCTAAACTACGACAATTTTCGACAAAAACATAGGTACGGGATGTTTGAGAAACGCCAAAACATTTTTCGACCTGGCGGTCGGATTGAAAATTCCGAACCAGCGGCAACCATAAGACCCCCCCCCCCCTTTGTGGAAAAGAATAAAAAACAATCCTAGTGGGTTCAAATGAGTGGAAACTGAACGAATATGACAAAATGAAGTGATTTTACAGTTAGAACAACTTGACAATCTGTTACAGTCCGGAAAAATTGGGCAGCCTTACGGCACTCGCCTGTTCCGTACTGCCGGCGCTCAACTCAAAATACTTATGGACAAAAGCTAAGTGTACTCATGATCTTTTAGTTACAAAAGAACTCACAACGACAGCAAAAGGAACAGAGGAAAGGAATGTAAACTTCATTCATATTGATAATAATTAAAGAAGACATCCTGAGTGATACCACACAGATCATAATGTTGTGAGTTTGGTGTAGTAAAAAACAGTTCAAGTTTAGAAGAACTTCTTGTATCCAACGGAGGCAGCTGGTCCGGTAGCGTAGGATGCTGGTGGTGGTGGTGGTGGTGGGGCCTGGGCGTAGGATCCAGCTCCGGCTTCAACGGCTGGCTGGATTGGTTGCGGCTCAGCAACGGTCTGGTACTGAGCTGGGGCAGTTTGGTAGGCCTGTAATATTCATTTTTCCATTCATCTTGACATTTCAAAACTTACTGGAGCTGGCTGTGGCTGGTAAGTTTGAACTGGAGCAGTTTGGTAAACCTACAATACTCATCCTAGATATTCTTAACATGCATGACTTACTGGAGCTGGCTGTTGGTAAACCGGGGGTTGGTAAGCTGGTTGTTGGTACACTGGCTGTGGTGGATAATATGAGGCTCTAGCAGCGGCGCATGGGTCACATCCTCCAGCTGGAGCTCCGAAAAGAGATCCAAGTCCTCCGAGACCTCCTGGTCCGAAGAGGAAGGCCTGTGCAGAGGCTACGAGAAGGGCGAGAACTACGACCGTCTGCATGATGATCTAGTCTAGTGAATGAAGTGATTTTGAGTCAACTCGACACTCTTAAATACTGTTTCAAAACTGGGCGGGTTTCCGATTGATTTGGTTTAGGTTTTGGCATGACTGGGATGAGATAGGATGAGTTGACCTTGAAGAAAAGGCCTTGTTCAGCTCCTAACTATCCGTTTTCTCGCGCCATTCTGACGACAGCCGACGGGACGATAATCTCTCTCAGGAATCTCGAAGCAATGCCATTTGGTGATGATATAACCTTATACGGGGAATACGTCAGTTCAAAAAATCACAGATTTGATGGCAAAAACGTACACAACTATGCATACGCACTTCCTATTCCGGTGCATACATGCTGTTTTGATGAGCTCTCACATATTTTTAATTGGTCAGCTCAGCTTTTCAAAACTGACGCATTGTTTTTATCGCCTTCTACCCAGATTTATATACATGTGCACATTCACATGTTTTTGTCTGTTCTAGAACTCATGGACGTCAAATCGGTTCATGATATTAGAATGCAATGAAGAGGCGGTGCCATCGGCTCAGTAAAAGAGGAAAAAAGAAATCCTGGAATTAAACAATTTTACGAAGAAGAGGAAAAAGATAGAAAGATTTATGTAATCTTCTTTAGTAAGATACACATACACACAGAGATAGAGCCGCTGTGTGGCTTTATATAGATAAGCACCGCTGACGGCGAGAAGGATAAAGTAGAACAGAAGTGAAGACAACGATTTCAGAATGTATTGCTCCTGGCTGGTGGGTAGTTATCCTTTCTCTTGTTTTTTTTTGCATTTTTTTGCACGGAATTGCCTTCCTTGTTTGTTTGATTCTGTCATCAACTTCCTTATGTCCTGGTTTATAGTATGATGAAAGTTGTGCGTCGAGTATCATTTAGACATCATTCCTAAGTGTAGGATGCAAACATTTTGATGATACTCATATTCGAGAAAGTTTGTGACCGATTAGTTCCAGCTGTTACCTTACTCCAGACCGTAGCAATATTGAAAACGCTCCTGTATAGCTTTTGTATATGATTCTGTCTCTCTCCTGCACGACACAAACACTTTGCTTCCTGTTCGCCAAACGCTTTCTGCTGCAGATAACGCATTGACAGATATACATTATCCGATCCCCGGAAACGGAAAATTTTGCAGCGAATGCCCATGTTGCGTCCGCATGGCACTTCAGTCAGAGAGCGAGTTGCGGCGATTGAGAAGGGTGGTGGAAGGCCGACTGAGAACACGATTATTCGAGCAAAATATGAGCCAGATGTGCGGGGCGTCAATCGGTTCCGTCATTTTCATACGTAAGTCATGGTAGGAAGGAAGGGCTAGTGGATTCGGAGTCAAGGCAACCGACACGATAAATATAGATGGGTAAAAGCCCTGACTAACTCCTTTTGAATAGAATTAGAGCTTATTCAAAAGCTCTCTCTTGGTAAACAAGCTGATGAAGATTATCTCCTTCTCTCCGTCCTCTTTTCCACGATTTGACATGACCAGATCAGAAGAATTATCTGAAGTATCAATCCGTCCTGAAAATGATGAGGTAAAAGCAATTTATTCTCTGGGCCTTTCTCTATACAACAATCCGTTTCCAACTGTGAACTAATTCTCTCATTCATCTTTAGTCTGTCCCTATCTTTTTGCAGACCGATTCCGATGAATGACGTCAATTATAACGGCTTTGGAAAAGAAACGACGACACATCTTCCGTTATTAGTCAATCCGGCAGCACAACTGTGAGTGAACATTGATCAGCTAGCCGTTACCCCGAAGATGGTCGGTGGTTATGGCAAGGTTGCTTTGCGTTGTTGCAAAAGAAAAAAGCAAGAAGTTTTGTGGCTGTGACTGTTTACACACACATTTTTCCGTTGTAGACCGCAATTGGAAAGCAAGGACGTCGAAAATGGCATGGAGAAGAGTAAGTGTGACCGGAAAACTAAGTTATCTACTTCTACAAAGAACTAGCATCCAAACTTTTGAAGGAAAGGGGGGGGGGTCTTACGTCATCAGTCGGGAAAGCAGGATAGTGCATATCCGGATGAGATGAGATGAGCCGCGAGACAAATGACTAATCACTTTTTAACGCATGCGTCATACACGGGCTCAGACTCTCGCTCGCACGCAGCAATAAATCTAAGATATTTCCCGAAAAACATATCTATTGAACATAGGGATCAAATGTGAGTGGGTGTATGATAATATAATCACTTTAGGTACAAGGAAAAAGAAAAAAAGTGTGACGCTACCACAACTGAACAATGTTCCGAAACACAAACAATCGTTTACCAAGAAAAGAGAGGATGTCACCACATTCAGTGCATCGCTTTTGGAAGAAATTGAGAAAACAAAAAAACACAAATCGTCTTCGGAATCGGATACTTCCGTTAAGATGAGCTTTTCTGGGGTACGATTGCAAGATGCACTCTCAGTTCAGCATAAGATGATAGGTAAAAGGTCAATCTTTGTGACGTGAAATTAATCTGTTTTCACTAGGTCCAAAACGAACGTTTGCATCGCTTGGACAACGTCAGAATGGGGTTATCATCAACAGGCCTGTAAATTCATCGTTAGACGTGGCACTTCCACCAAGGTAACAAAGTCATCACTCAAATGTTTGCTAAGCGCTGAGAGTTTTAGGTCGAAATCTGCTCAAGACATTGAAAAGCGGGCACAAGAGGAAGAGTCTCAACTGTTAAATTTGAGTCTGAACGCGTCTTCACCGCCAAACTCAAAGGATATGGCTACACAGACTGTGCGTTGACGTCATTCGAAAAGATATCTCAGCTTATAAATAGTTTCAGAGCAAAAATCACATTTCAACAGCAAGTGTTGAGTTCCTCAACTGTGTTCGTTCAACTCAAACCGATTCCATTCCAATTGTGATTAACTCGAGGAGAAAGAGTGAGATCCCGCCAAGTTTGCAAGATGTGAGATATCTGTGTCTAAAAAATGGTCTAGTGATAGCTAATTTGCGAAATCACTATAGATCATTTGAAAAATTCTTTGTTGAAACACAATAATTTGTCTTTTTGGACCGCATAACTTTTGGACTTTTTTCAGATCGAAGAGCGTGAGGCTCTTTTGGAAGTGATCGAAGATGCTCTCGGTGAAACTTTCGACCGATACTCACGTGTCCGTACTAATCAAATAATTGCCAACAGTGCTCGAAAACAAGCTCAGATATGGAGAGATGTGAAGGATTTCCTGGGCTGTCAACTTTTCCCATCCGCTATCCAAATAGCAAACAAAAGTTCCACGAGAAGTAAAACTGCAGCTGAAATTGTAGCCAGCATCAAAATGTACCCGTAAACTCCGAGATTATGTTCATTTCCACAAAATTGCATGGATTTAGTGTGTAGAATGTGTCATATCAACAAAACATGAAGCAACTGCTGTTCATCTCTCAGTTTTTTCAATTGTTCAGCTTCACTTTCAACTCTGTCTAGTGCTTATATATTATTCAGAACTTGCTCAAACACAAATATTGTTCGTAAGTGGTCTTACCAAGAGCATCTATCAATTCCATGATAAATTAGGGTTAAATAACAATGAGAAAAGTCGAATGAAACATTGAATTTTTTATTGTTTTCATGCATAACAAGAATACATTGAGTCATTTCACGTTCACGTTCGGACCAACCGAACAAATTCAAAGTTCATACGTGTGATCTCATGACCCAGCCCTATGACCCAGCCTGGCGACCGTAAATTTTGTCATTTTTTATCAATCAAGATGGAAAACACCTAAATCATACTCAGAACTTATAAAAATACTATTAGTGAGAATTGTTCTTACCTTTCCTGTCTCACTTTCAACTATGGCCACACATTAATACATTTTCAAAAAAAAGTTTCATCTGAACAACAAAAAATGATTATAAGAGAAAAGAGAACAAGTACAATTATTACCTGTTGTGTTTAAATGAAAAGGTGAGAGTTTTTGAAGGGAGGGGGGGCAGGGAAAGGGAGAATGATACAATAATTCTTCACAACCCGCGGGAGCGAAGGTTAGAATTGATTGTAAAAAAGGGGATGGAATTTTGTTACGACACAATGCGAGCAGACATTTTTTGATTTTCAAAAAAAAGAAAGAAGGAATGATGTTGAAAAAATATAGGGTAGGGTTTAAACTCAAAGTAATTGTTCTCCTAACAACAAGGCAATCATTATCATTGGGAAAAATCATAATAAGGCAGGCAGTGGTGGTAAAATTGAAAAAAAAATCCTATGAGGTGAGAAATGTTGATTTTGATATTTTCATTTTTTTTTGATTATTCGACTTTTTTAAGTTTTAAATTTAACACATGAAACGAAATAAGAGGTGAGGATGAGAAAAGAGGGGTTCAAAACTCGTACAAGTCAAGAGAAAAAGTTTTTTTAGTCGGAAAAAGTGTGGGGGAGAAAAAAATAGAAAAAAAGTGTAGCTAAACCTTGAAAACCGAGAATAAGATCAAGAAAAATCAAAATTACAGATGGAAATATAGACAAAGAAATAGAGTTCAAGCGGACAGGAAGAGGAAGTGAAACGACGGGAGGAAAAGCAAGAGAGACTTGAATGGAAACACGAGATTCTTTAGTTATACTAAAAACAGATAAAAAATGTGAGAGAGAGAGAGAAAAGAAAGTCGATTATGGATATGAGCATCACAAAAGGAGGAGGAGGAACACATAAGTGAGAGGGAGATAGGGTGAACCGCTTGTTTCAAGTTTCAATGTCGCCGTGGATTTGGCCCCGATTGTTGGAAATTGTTCCGAGCTTCCATGCTCTCGTTGTAGAACCTGCAACATTAGTAGTTTCGAAAAAAGCTCGCGTGATGATATCATAGTTTTTGTTGATGAGTTGTATTATAAAAGTTAGTAATCAAGGACAAATGCTCGGTTTGCAATAATCCGGTGTCCAGCAGAGCGATCCATTCTCACCTTGTCTAATAATTATTTTGATCGTTGATCTTATTCATCTTCGTCAATTCCGTCGGAATCTGCAAATAAACACAGAGCATGTCAGCCATTAATACCGTTTTTAACAACTCATTTTGGTTACTGATAAGCGTTTCTACGTGGTTTCTCTCTAGTTTATGACAAACATCACAAACACAACATTAGCTTTAGATTGATTAAAAATTAAATAGACAAAAGCTGGATTATTATGAATGGAAACGAAATGAATAAGAAGCACATCACAACAGCATGTTTGACCTTTTTGTCAGAGGATGAGTTAAAATGGCAGTACTTCAAATCTGGAAGAGTCTTCTTCTGCTTTTCTGATAAGTATCACTCCAGTTTCAATTAAAACTTTATAATGAGCAAAAGCGAAAAAGTGTACTCACTTGTATGTGTTCCAATCAAATACATAATCATATAAAAATCCTTGACGATGAAAAAGTGTCCGGAATAAATTTCGTAAATGACCATAATCAGGTGCTTCTTCGAATCCTAAACTACGACAATAATTTAAATATTGCGCAAATGCTTCTGGATATCCGGAACATAAATCTTCTACTCGTGTTGAACACTTTTTCTCGGAGATTAGCTCGTATTTTTGGCGTTTTGTGACTGCCTTCAATCCTTGCCATGGTAGCGTTCCCCGGTTGAAGTACATGAAAACGTAGCCGAGAGACTCGATGTCGTCTCTTCTTGATTGTTCTGAAAATTGAAGTATTTAGAAAGGGATGGACGAGGGTGCATTTTGCAACAAAAATGAACGTTTGCAACTAATCTTGTAGCTACTACATAGAAACCACAACGTTTCAAGACGAACTAGCCTTCCTTCATACTATTTCTAACAGAACTACTATTTCTCTCGTAGCGGCAACAATTTGAAGTCTGTAATACACAAAAAAAAACCGCGGAAAAATGAATAGACTTTCTCACAAAAACTGCAACGACGGGAGAAATTAAGAGCGGCTGTAATTTCAACATCTTTGTTTCAAAACGTTTTTCATGTAGAAAAATTTCGTTCTAAACGCACCGATTCCACGATGAGTGTTGATACTCGCGTATCTGGCAGTTCCAGTCAAGTTCTTGTTTTCTCTGTACCCGATATGTGAAGCTTTGGTATCACGATAACGTTTGGCCAACCCGAAATCAATAATCTACAAAATTAAACTTTATTTTACAGAGAATCCCTTAGCGCAAACTTACATAGACCATATTTCCGCGTTTTCCGAGACCCATCAAGAAATTATCCGGCTTAATGTCTCGATGAATGTAATCACGAAGATGGATAAACTCCACACGCGACAACATTTGATCAGCGAGAAGAAGAACCGTTTTCAAGGAGAATTTGCGTTGACAAAAGTTGAAAAGATCCTCAAGCGATGGGCCGAGCAGTTCCATGACCATCACATTGTAGTCTCCTTCCAGACCGCACCAACGGACCTCTGGTATTCCGATGCCGCCAAGCATGATCCGGTAGAGACGAGATTCAATATGAAGTTGAGGATGTTTGGACTTGACACACTCCAACTTCACAGCCACTTCTTCCCTGGTTTGAACGTTTTGACCCAAGTAGATGTCTCCGAACGAGCCACTTCCAATCTTCCGGCCAAGACGATAACGATTGCCCACTCGTAGTTCCATCTCGGCTGAAAAAAATTGATATTAATTTTGATTGTTATGCTTTTTGGTATTTTTTGGGCTACAACATTTTTCTCTAGATTGGTAAGTGTTTGAGTAACTAGCAAGGCTGTAGTGACGCAAATAAAGTGTGTTTTTTCTAGGCCACCTGGTCTGACATTGACGGCAACGCCGAAGGTATTCGTCGTTTTACTGTCTTCTCATCCCTCCGTTCTTCTTATAATATCCGCGCGAAGAGATGGCGCGGCGACAATAGTTCGATTAAAATCAAGTTTTCCTAGTCTTCCCCTCCCCCATCTTCCCCCCTTCCTCCCTTTTCCTTCCCTCTTTAGCTTGTTCTGACTTTCAAATCACCTTGATTGTGCACTAATGGCTGCGGAATCGGCGGAATTTGTTGTGTTGCCAAGAAATGGGACAACAAAGTGGGATCTAGTGTGAGCGCCAGTGATACGAACTGGGCGTGGGATGACGCAAGCTGCGCCTGAGCTAACGCAGCAATCGCGTTCGCATCTATTGGCGGCCAGTTGAATCCAGATGGCGCGGCGGCGGCAAACAACGCCTGCTCGACTGGCTGTTGGAGTTGTTGGAGGGGAAAGTGCTGGAGTGGAGGGGGCGGCGGACGTGTCAGTTGCGAATGATGATGTTGTCCGCCCAGAATTAGTGGCGAATGGATTTTTCCGGTGCCTTCTGGATGACCGGCAATTGTTGATGATAGTTCAGTTGAGACTGGAGGAGGGCGGATCACCGCCACTTCACCATTCGGTGCGGCGTCAGTGTCCATAGGTGTGTGCCAATTTGCAGCGGCATCATTTGACATCGTCGCCATACACCTCTCCGCACAATCGGGACAGACACCCTCCAGCTATAAATCAGAATGAAATACACAGCTTTACGAGAATCACGAGTAGCAAAGAAAATTTAACAATAGAGACGGTATAAAAAGTGAAGGTATAACATCAGAAAGTGTTCAGTTCTAAACCTGACGCCTCTCATACTCCTGTTTAGAACAGAAGACATACAAGAAGAACGAGATAGACGAAGATAAACGCAGGGAGAGAGTTTTGCGCGCTTCTCTTTCTAATGCGTCGTAGAAAAAGAGAGAGACAGAGAGAGACAGAGAGACAGAAAGAAAGAGAGAGGGCGAGGAACCAGATTTTCGTGCCAAGTGCGCAAATGGCCTCCCATACAAAAGTGCTTTGTTCTTACATCTGACGTGTGCAATCTAACCTTGCGTCGGCATCGACGCCGATACGAACGAAACGCACGGCGCCCTCCAAAAAAACGTGTTTCAGGTAAGGCGTTCATTCGAAGCTTTTGCTTCGCGTCGTGCAGCGTTGCGCTTTGAGTGAACGACCTTCAGAAAATGGGAGGTAGGCAGGCGGGAGGTATGCGTGTGAAAGGTTCTTACTCATTTTTATGCGTAATACAAAATTGAAAATGTTGAAAGAGCGCGGGAAAGACAAAGGGAACGGTAAAGGTCGAGTCTATACAGGTTTGGTCTTTGTCGGTTTTTGTTTTTGTGCAACAAATCCAATTAGTAGTAAAAAAAATTAACAAAAAAAAATTTTGTTTGTAGAGCTGACGGTGCATGCTGAATGGTAGAGGGATAGTACAAGGTCTAGGACTGCAAGAAAAATTGAACGATTTAACCCCACCCGGGCAAAGAGAGTAGGATGAGAGAAACGAAAGTGCAATCGTACAAGAAACTGTTTGGAAAGTGAAATAGAATGGGGAAAGATGGAAAAGCGAGGAGGGTTGTTGCTTGCGGCGGCAGTGCGTCGTTTTGCGTTGTGCTGCGCTACACTGGCCTGTCTCAGTCTGCAGTGTTGTATAGCGTTGTGGTGAGGGTGAGGGGCAAGAAAAGAAGAAAGTCCCCCTCCGCCAGCGCTGACAGACAGAGCGCTTGCGCTCGCCTCGGGTGCGCGCGGAGGGGAGCGAAAGCGCCTGCCGACGCGCAGCAGCGCCTCCGTCACCGTCCGCGGGGCCACACCGAGTGCAGAACAGAAACTCTCCCTCATTCTCCCCCTCCCTGCCTTTCTCTTTCTTTTATTCTCTTTCTCTTGCACTTTCCTTTTCATTCTAACACTAACACACACACACACACACACACACAGCGTGAGAAAGCAGGAGAGACCAGACTGGTGGCGGGGGCCAGACGGACGCGGTGAGACTGAGGACATGGGGGCCGCCGCGCGGCGCCGTTTTAAGAACCGGTCGAAAGCGGGTGTGGGGTGGCCGTGAGGGTACAGGGAGGACACAGGGGGCGAGGCGCAAAAATTTCAATTCAAAATGATGAAAAGATGAGAGTGTGCGTGCGCGCGGAAATGTAGCGCCGTAATATTATCTGGCACTAAATCCACTGCACCCTTCTCTCCCCCCATTCCCCCTCCAGAGCAAAAGTGCAAGTCTACGCCTATCATGACGCGCTTTTGTCAAATAGACAGAGAAAGAGAACAACGTAAAACGAAAGACGATATCAGACGGTGGGGGGGGAGAAACATGGGTGCGACCGAAAAGGTTGTTCAAACAAATCAGCGTGTCCTGGGCTTAGTCCTAGACAGGCAGCACATAGATAGATGGATAGAACCGCCGACGATTTCTGGTCTGACTAAATATTTAAAAGTGCACATTCATGAGCAGTCTAGCGTACTGCTGTTCTGTTTGCCCATGACTTTTGACGACAATGTGCTCTGATCTGTTTTTTAATCTACCAATGAACGATTTTTTTCTTAAAATACTTATTTTTATCTTCAAAATTGTGCAGAAAAGCCTGATCATTGCATAAAAGACGGTAAACTGCAACATCTGAAATTTAGATGAATCAGTTGGTTGCAAAATGGACACCTCCGACTGTCAGCTGATATATGTAACTTATTTTACGTGAAATACAAGAATAAAAATATGACTTGAAAAGAAGAGTTCTGCTTCTGCTGTTTTCAATTTTGAGACGCACAGAACACTACAGTTGGTACAAACAGATACCAAATGAATGTACAGTAAGTTGCTAAACATTACAGTCAAGTTTAACCTCTTGCGCCCCTCCCCACCTCCCACTCGTCTCAAAAGTACTTTCAATACAATTGATCTCTTCACCCCCTAACAGCTTTTGTTCAAACCGTTCAATAGAAAAGAACCGGAGTAGGAGGATGGGGGAATGGGGGAGGACAAAGAACCTTGTCTGTGGTATGTCACAATCAACGTTTTTTGGATACAGTGCAAATTGGTGCAGATTCAGAAATGAACTATATACATTTACAAGTGAAAAAACGAGAAGCTTGTCGAAAAGCCGAACCGACCAGAATATTTGAATTCTGTCTGTTCTGCAGTGGCGGCTGGTGGCGGCAGTCTGGGAGGGGACGATTAAAATGCAATTCGAGGCCAACGCCGACGGCGGCGGACTACGGTGGCGATGACGGCGACGAATACAAATCTAGATCACGTGCACTTTTCAAAAGGAAAGCCGCAAAAACACTCGCTTTCTGTTCTTTTTTCTGAAAGCGAAAGTGGATAGGGGGTAGTGAAAGTGGTGTTGGAAGACGATAACGTTATGATGAAAGCGAAAAACCGAACCAAACTGATTCTATCTCCTTTTTTTAAAACTTGAAAGTTTTGCGTTAAAATTCGTAAGAAAAGACTCACAAAGCCCTTTACCGGGAACAAACAGCATATAACTGTAATCGTTCGCCAGTTTGAATAGGTAGGTCTAGTAGCAATATTTCAGAGAAAAAAAACAGAACGATTGGAGTCCTCTCCTTTTTTTTCCGGAAGAAATAAGGACGATAGGGGTGCGGTGCAGTCGTCTGTGCAGGAGACCAGGACAAGTTTCTGGTGACGCAACACGCACGAAAAAGATTGCGGCGCCCCGGCAAAGTGAAGCCGAGAGTTTACTTTTCGTCGCCGTGTCTGTCTACGATTGTTGCGCGCAAGGCGCGTCTACTACAGGCACCCCCCACCCCCAAACACATGCGAAGACCCGATCTCGATGAAAAGAGAAACAAAAAGACGAAGAAGAAGAAGAAGAAGGAGATAAAGAGTGTAAAGAGTAAACGAGAAAACGACGGGACAATAGGTGCGCGTGTGGTAAAGTAGTAAGGACGAGAAAAAAAGAAGAAGAAGAAGAAGACGTGCAAAAAGTTTATAGTAATACTTGTTTGACAACAACAGACGGTCTTCTTCCTGATCATCGCTTTCTCCTCTTTGTTCTCTACCATTCGCGCATTTCAAAGATTCTAAACTGAGTTTCTGAAAATTATGGCCATAAGTCAGTCACATGAGTCGAAATCATGATGGTTTGCTCCAAAAATGAGGGATTTCGATCATAATCTCTGTTTTTCAGGTTCAAAGAGTCAGATATCTACAAATACGTTTAATGTACGTACGTAATAGAGGGCTGTCAGGAAAACACATTTTTGAACTATAGTTTAGTATTATGGCAGCCTAGAAGGTGTTTCCATCTCTATCTTCTCAGCAATTGTGTAACTGGGAGAAACTATCACTATTACAACACGCAAATAGAAAAACTACAAATATCCGAAATCTTCTCAAAAACTTTGCTTTTGAACATTTTTGAGCGGTCTAGACGCAAAGTTATGGAAAAGTGTATTTTGATTATAACTGGATTGATCAGCACATCCGAAGGAGATAAAGAGTGTAATGGGTAAACTTGCAAATTGCTGATTTTGACACTGAACAAGATCTCTACATGTTTCGGATCAGCAGAAAGTTGAAATAATTTATGTTACTCAAAAGCAGTTGCAAAGTTTTTGTATTATTTTTCGAATAAGTTTGTGCATCTTATTGGCGGATTTCAAATCGATCGCTAATGTAGGACAATGCGAACAAGCTCTTATTCACGAAATCATAGATCAGACACTTCTCAAGACCATACATGTCTGTCCGTGAGATAAATAAAGAGCACACACACAATCTTCCGTTTTCAAATGAAATATATTTATATAATACAAACAAATGTACATATAGCTACTCACTTTACATGTTGTTATTGTTATTACCTAGATATTATCAAGGGAGTAGACTACACTAATGTTTTGGCCGACTGTAAATAAATAATGTACACATATAGATGTTACTATACAAAACATAATAGCTTGAGCAGATTTTGTTTTCTGTTTTACGGTGAGTTGGTTGGATTACTGAGAAGAAACAGCAGAAGGAACAATAGAAAACTGGCAGAACACGGGTACAATGACGAAAAATGGCCAAAGACTGATAATCTAACCTTGACAATGTGTTCAGTCCCGACAAATACTACTACTGCTATTACTACCACTCTTGTTACGTTTACAATTTTTACATTATCATATATACATTCCTTATTTTTACACCCAATCGTTGTCTCCGACAATCTTTTGTCATTGGGGTCATGGTAAAACTTGTTTTAGTGTCAAATAAAGAACGACTTGCCTGGTTCAAAATAATGAGGTCGAAGGAGGGCCATGGTTGATTGTTGACAGATGGCTGAAAATCATTGGGATTTGTATATTGAAAATGTATATTTTCCAATTTTTAATAGAAATTGAAGTTCGGCTAAACAGAGGAACTGCAAAATACGAGTCACACTTTTTTGTTCCACTTATCAGCAAACTCAAATGTTTATTTTATTTGTTCAACTGTTCTCGTGTGAAGAATTATGTTCTGTTTTATGATTTTTACATTTCTAAAAGCGTTATCGAACTTTCCGTTCACATACCCTTTACGCTTAATACCAGCTGGGTCGACGGAGAAATTCGTGTAGTTGGGAATCGTCGTCCTGAAAAAAACACGATTTTCCACTGTTATTCTACTAAATTTGCTCAAAGACGAAACTTCAAGTTAAACTGTCCGGGAAAATCGTTGAAACGTTTTCTGAAAAGTGAAATTTTCGTGACAGCTTCACGACTAAAAAACTTCCCACTAGGCAAAAGAACCGAACCGCACAGGGAGGGGATGTTCGAGTAACGTGCGAGTAGGACCGCGACGCGACCGCTGCGCTGCCGAGAGTACTTGAAGGAACAGGAGGGAGAGGCGAGGAGGGAGAGCGGGACGGGGGAGGACACAGCCCCCTATTGCCAAACATTGCTCGTGATACCGCGGAGAAAGAAGAGAAAACATACTGTACAATACAAAAATTGGACATTTTGATGATTCAGAATGCTTCAGTTTGAGAAGAAGATAGAGAAGAAGATTGACATTCAAAACTGACTCATAAAATTTGAAGTTGTAATACTTGATGACATTTTATGATAGTGGGGCTTCTTACAGGTGAAAACTGGTTTCCATCATTTTTCAATTCAGAATGTCGATTGAACGTTCTCGATTCAAACGCTGTCGAACAGCGGAGCTGTTTTTTCCAAAAGTTTTAATCTTTTTACGGGTTTGATGTTTTCAGATTTAGAATCTCACACGTTTATGAAGGAAATTTCAGAATTATTGCTTCTTTACAGTATTCCAGAGACATTTCCGACCAGTTTGCCGCTAAAATGTCAATGCACAATACTTGTCACCTTTTGTTCAAATAAAACGAGGTGAATGATAACTTTCGATAGCAAACAAAATAAATGATTCATTTTTCTGTCTTCCAACTAAATGTCTATTCTTTTTACAGTCAAACAGTTATCATTAATGATTGTTAAACAATAGAGCAAAAATAACTAAAACTACGGACTTGCAAAAGGTTTCAGATAAACACTATCGCAAAACTCAAAACACAGTAGACCAGTTTTAAGGCCGAGAACTAGCTAGAATTGCATTTCTCTAAAGACTTCCTCTATTTTTCCAATTTCTTGAAGGTTCGGAACGTTGATTGTCGATGATTTTTGTTGCATTGCATCTCATCTTCTGCAACACAAATCTTCTTTTCACATTTTCTGCTTCACTGTTCTTGAGAACCTGTCAAATACACACATGACGTAATCGGGGGCAAACGGCAGGAGAAAGTGGCAAGCAGGCGTCGTCACTAATTGTACAAGATTTTTTGCGTCTTCATGCATGTGTGGAAGCTTTTTCTTCCATTTATGTACAAAGAAAAATCGTCTCTCCTTCTCTCTCTCTCTCTTTCTGCTTCTTCCTTCCGCCTGAGGGGTACTTTCACTCAACTACTTTGCCGTCCTTGATACTGTGATTTGAGAATGAAGAATGAATGCATAAGTTTGCCAGAAACATACCGGCAGTCCCCTCCCCCCAATAGCTGAACACACCGCACAGACATCGGTGACACACACACACACATACACACATAACTAGTTTCAAAACTTGGCACTTCTCCAAAATAAGACTAGGTGGTCTTACCTGTTTGTGTCTTATTCCTGCCACTCAAGACAGACTCACTCAGTTTGTCTCATTCTCATCTCATCATTCTAATACTATTGTCCTTCCACTGTAATTCTTCTGAATGCTTCTTTTAGCCCTACTAGTCATTGTTGCTCATTGGGCGATTATAGAGGTAAGTAAGTGGATCAAGTTTGTACACAAACATTTACCATTGCTTGATAAAGGCAGCTGAGCGAGAATGTGGAATTCCTAAGAATCTTGTCACGTTACCCGACTTTGCCCAGGAAGAAATCAGAGAAATATGGTATCTTCACTTTTCATTTTAAACTTTTTCTGGTTTTATTGAATAATTACAGGAGAAACCACATCCCGGGCACCCCATGTCTAAAAGAAGTGGAAATTGAGAGTGATATCCTGGACGTCATTAAAAGTTTTGAATCTGGTATGTTATCCTTTGTTTTGTGTCAAACTAAATTTGGTTCCTTAAGATTCTGCCCCAACAAACAGTGACAGAGCATCCGAGCCCACAACAACTACTGTCCCTCCAAGTTCTTCAGATCTCGATTATGATCATATTGGGGTAAGTAAAACAGTTCTTTCATTATACATCAGACAAATATAATATTCAGACAAATGGTGGAACACCAATACCACTCTTATCTGTGCCAAAGTTTTCGGATTCAGAACGGAATCAGCGGAGTAAAACCAGATCAGAGGAAGACAATGATTATATAGATCAGGTAGGCCACTTTTCGAACTACATTTCAAACATTTGCTTGAAACAGACAACATTCGATGACGTAGCAATGATGCAGTTCGATAATACTAATGCGCCATTTCTAAGAACTGCAAGTGGATATGTGAAGGATGAGTTTCGAAAAATATGGGAGGATCAAAACATTCCGAGTGAGAGCTTACGTTCTTTGAAGGTTTACGTGGTTTATTCGTATGATGTCTTAAGAACAAATAATGTGTTTTAGATTCAAACTCTCGCAGTGTCTCTTCTCACATCAAAACAACTCACGGAATACAATCGCTGGGCTACAAAACGGCGGCGTGTTTTGAAGGTTTGCAAGAAATGCGTGGCTGAAATGTTGTTCTAAAATGTTTATGTAATCTTAGGCTCGAGAGCAAGAGATGAGGAATTTGAGTCCTGATGCAAAACAAGCGCTGAGGAAACTCAGTGTTCAGAAAGGTATGTTTCAACTTGAATTTCTTCTGCGACCCTTTGTAATTACTTTACAAGTCAACATTTTCCCATTTTTACCGTTTCTCTACTTCAACACTATTCCTCTTTTAGATGACGTCAGTCAGCTAGTGGTGCCTTTAGAAGTGAAAAAGGAACTAACGATTTTTGTGCAACGGTTGAACAGAAGGCGCAACTTGAAATTGGTCCACTAACTAATTACGATATTTGTATTTTAATGTTGTTTGTAAATACTGAACTTTTATTTCATCTTATTTAATATTATGATACACATTATGCAAAAAAGGAAAGAGTCCATGTAAATCTAAACCAGTGCACATTTTGGGAAGAGTTGGAATTGGGTGGTTGAAATCTCGGAGTTTGGTTTAGTCGCAATGCTAACCGAGATCATTCTTAGTTGGATAATAATTAAAAACAACATTTTGAAGCCGAAACTATGAACACATAAAGCACCAGGATTGGTTTAACATAACATTTCTATGGTTGAGCACTCATTCGTCGTCTCCTCTGCTCTAAAACCGCTTTCGGGCAGAGAATCTTCTTGAACGCTCTACGGAATTCCAGATTCAAAATGCCGTAGAGAAAGGGGTTGAGTGACGAGTTGATGTACCCCAACCACGTGAAAGCTTGTTCGACCTGAAGATTGATCGAATTACACCTTGACATTTTCGCGGCCGTGAACCTTACCTTTGCGTGAAGCTTGCAAGTTTCACAGAAAGGCCGAATGACGTATGCGCAAAAAAAAGGCAGCCAGCAGAAGGAGAACACAAAGATGATGACGGCAATGGTCTTTGCTGCTCGTTTTTCTTTAGCCACACTGATCTTTTCTCGCTTTCGAAGGACTGCTGTGGGGTTCTGAAAAAACGTCTTTTGATGGTAGCTATTTCTTTTTTAGTTATTTTTAGTTATGCTAAGCCCGGTGCATTATCTAAGGAGCTCTAACAAGGGGTGACCCATTCCTACTTCATCATCTTCTTTAGCAACATCCTTCACTTTCACTTTGCAGGAGCCGTTGTTGTGATACTTCATATGCTTTGTGGTCTCATCTCTTGGAAGACTGCCTCCATCGGTCTAAACACAAAAATTCACAATATATACATATTCTAGATAATCAGCGTGATGTAAACGAACATTGACTGTAGTGTTAGTGTTAGTGGTATCGGTGATGATTACAATTACGAGTATGCTCATCAAGCTTTCTAACGTGCAGAATACGCATTGTCTAGTTGATCATTCGGTGACATGTAGAACTGAGGCTAATGCGACACGGATGCGCTTGCACAAAAATACCGTTCCGGTCGGTTCACTAACAGATTGCGTGGCAAGAGTAGTTACAGTCGTATGTCCGTCAGCGACCACCAACGGAGTTTTCTCTCCTACCCGGCTTGATGTTCGTGCTGATTCCACGGATGCTCGTTTCATTGACATTTTGCGGTAGTCGTCGTCTCCCTCGGCATTTTGGATTCGCATCAGAGCACTTCGTCCTGAAAGCTTGAAGGTAAATAGAACGATCTCTACTAAAACATCTCGACTGCTGCATTATTAATGACTGTTCCTTGAATAATGTTCATTCAACGTTCAAAAACCGGAAAGAGAGTATAGAGTCCCAGAAGTTTCGTTGGGCTTCCAAACTGAAACCTTTTACAAGATCCATAACTTCTACTCTCTTTAGGCCCCTCTATTTCCAACTTTTTGAGCTTGTGAGTCATTTCTGATTTGTGACCAATCATCTTCAATAGTTGGTATTAAGTTCATCTTTCATTCCATCAGTTATTCGTTTTGTCTCTTTTTTTCCCTTGTTCTTTCCGGTTTTCGGTTATTTAATGTACTTTGTTCAGTGAGAATCGGGCTGCTACCACGACCAGCATTAGCAGCTGGAGCAAAATTTGGTGGTTGCAGTGTAAACCGGATTAAGCTTTCCCTTTTCCCACTCTCTTTGTTTCCAAAAGTTTCTTTCTCACACACAAACCTCGATTTGTGCGAATTCGTTGTCGAGCGCTAATGAATATCTTCACATAAACAACGACCATGACTAGAAGGGGCAGGAAGAACGAGCCGGCCGCAGAAAACACCACGAAAGCTCTGAAAGTTTTGTTGAAAGGAGCTTGGGTTCGGGGCGGGGTTCAAATACTTTTCCGTGGAAAGACCACAACTGTCTTCCATCATGTTCTCCTGCCAGTTATTCCATCCGATGATCGGTGGCACCGAAATAAGCATGGAGAGCACCCAGACCTGCAAAAATCACAAGATCCCCTTTTCATTCTCAGAAGAGCATCTGCATCATCAATGTTGTCTCTTCTCATCAATGACGAAGAAGGAGAAGAAGAAGGAGAAGAAGGCAGAAATTGCCTTCATTTCTACGACGATTTTCTCTTTTCCCCCTCCACTACATTTCCATAACAAATGAAGGTAATTATCTCTATCTAGTGAGGAATGACTCAAACGAGTACACAGAGGAGGGGAAAAGGAAGAGATCCTCCACCAAAAAACAAAACATACAATGGCAATAACCATGCAAACGAATTTGGTCGTGCGTTTTTGTGCATAATTGATTGGATTGTGGATAGCCCAATATCTGCAAAAAAATACATATTTCATCAATTTTTGGTTAGATTGAGGAAGTACCTGTCAATTGCAATCGCACAAAGATTCAGAATGGAAGATGTGCAAAGGAGGATATCAGCTGTCGTGAAAAATTGACAGACCGTCACTCCAAGTAACCATTTTCCTCCTGAAACGTTTTGATATAGTTGTAACTGCAAAATTTTGACGAAGAATTGAATTTGTTCTACTGACTCGTTGCTATCGGTTTCCTAAAAATTTATTGAGACACTCCACTCTTGCAATCCGACGGCGTAAAAACGCTTATCAGAAATCCTGGTTGCGAAAAATCCTGTGCTAAACTAGCTGCCCCCTCCAATGTTGGTCATTCTGATGTCCCTAATCCTTGGGGCCACCCCATCCGCAGTACTTAAGCGCACGATTGTCCAAAAGTGCTCACGCAATCACAAGTTCCTTTTATTCGCCGCACATTCTCCGCGTCATTTGAAGAAACAGATCAGACAACTGGATTCCGGCTGTTAGATAGCTTTTTCCGCCAAAAATTTGTCTTTCTCGTAGCAAGAAAGAAAGAGAGAGAGAAAGATAGAGAGAGAGAGAGAGAGAGAGAGAGAGAGAAAGACAAAGAATCAACTAACCAGCTAAAAAAGTCACAACATGTAGTGGCATAACAAATATCGCGACGGCCAGATCGGAAGCAGCTAGGGAGACGAGAAAATAGTTCTGCACTTTTTTCAGCGGCCGATAACTGAACACAGCAACCACGACGAGCGTGTTTCCAACGACCGTCATTGCGATGATGACCTGCAAAAATTAGGTTTTAGCGGATGCTTTGCTATTGCTTTCGAGTTTTTCTCCAAAACAGCACAACTTTTTTGGCACAATTGGTTCGAACGCCAGAAATGACGTCAAAAAAATATGACTCACCAGATAAGTGATTGTTCCTAAAACCAATTCCACTGTGGGAATGATCGACGGTGGTTTCATGGAGGTCATGGGCGCTTCCAAGATTGGCACTGTGGTTGTGCTCACGGCCGCCGACGCGTTCATAACACTATCACGAATTGAGTCGATGGCTCGTAACACCATTTCCTGAATGAATGAAACAAGTTGAGCTTGAACGAAAATGTGTGGGCCGGACTTGGTTTGGAGCGGGAGGGGGTGATGTGGTAGTGGCTTTATTTTTTCTCTATTCCATTACAGACCTAAGCCAAAAGGCACTTCAAATGGATAGCTTTTCATATATCATTTTTAAGCCCAAAAGGAATAAATAGATAGAAAAAGAGGAAGCTTTGAGTTACCGAAAAAGATGGAAGGGGAAGGAAGGTCCCTTTAATTTTAATGCTTTTACTTTCCTTTTTACTTAGTCTTAGTCTAAATCCAAAGAGGAGTGAGGGTTAGGAAACGCGTGAGGGGGGTTCTCTACTAATTTACCGACTATTTTTGGATGCGGAAAAGGAACTCGAGTCAAATTTTCATGATTTTTTGTTGCTCCTGCTACGTGCAACTTTTACTGGTGAGATGGGTAGAAACACTAACTGATTCCGGCGAGATCAAAAACTGAAAAGTTTTTTCAGAAAATGAGAAGAAGAGGAACATCCCAAAGTCTATCCCATGCATTGTGTTAGCGCTTGTTAGACCGGAAATTGGTTGGGAACAGGGAATAAGCATTTCCTCTTCCCCCCACAAAAAATCTCTACACTTCATTCCGAATTTTTTCTAAACAAATAAATTATTAACCAGATTTGACATGACATCATTTTAGAGTAGGTCCAACCAATTTCGAAAAGGTCACTCCCACCTTGAATTTGGAGTTGTCTGCTAGACACGTGGGTATGGATACAATATTAGAAAAATACATAATAGTAATCGACCAAACAACTCCTTTTTGGTTAGCGACGAATGATTAAAGTACGTCCGTTGTGCAGAGAATCTTCGCTTCTCTCTTTTTCTACCAAAAATGATTGATTTTAGCACGGTCGAATAAATTCAGTGAGACAGAATTGGAAGTTGTGCGGAGTGCTCGCGACTAGACGTTTTATATCAGCCCATTTCCTCTTAAAATTTCAGGGTTCCGGGCCGTTCACCGGAAATTTCTCATCAAGATATTAAGTATTAAAACAGATTTAACTTGATTAATCGAAAACAAGAAATATATAAAATTATTATCAGCAAGTACTTAAAGGCAACAACAATGCTCAGACAGAGGCGTTTTCCCAGGAGGTACTTTGTGGGAATGAATCAAAACGCGTTTTCTCTCTCTCTCTCTCTCTCTCTTCCTCTTTCAACTGACCTGGACGAAATCTGAATGATTTCTGTACATATCGAGCCTTGAGCCTTAGGAAAAGCCAGGACACGCAAAATGTGACAAGTAGGCTAAGAAGTGAAGTGCGTTAGAACGTTTCACACACTCTCATTTTCTCATTTTCTTCTCTCATCATTGCAATACGATCCCCCTTCTACTCGTCGACACACGTCCTCAGTACTTTGACACGTCTGTTGGCGAAGCACAAACTCTCTACGACAAATCTTCTACAACACCCCCCCCCCCTCCTATCATCTTTTAGCTCTAATTCTTTTCTTTGAAAAAAAAACACGCACAAAACTTTTGGAAAAATTGTGACAAGAGCCTCAATCATAGACGTCTGCTAGCTGTCTATCATAAATAAAAAAGAAGAGCCGTCAGATATTATATCTCTGAAAACACGAAAATCCATGAGAAATCAGAATTCTACAATATAACTGACTGACACTCACGGACATTTCTGATACGTCGTGGAGTGTGACAAGGAAAAGTGCTGTCAGTATCATTTTGTATGCATAACTCTTCTGCTCCTAACGAGCCGTCTTAGATCCCACCGAATAAGTACAAAAAAGGGTGGGGAGTGTGGAGATGCGAGAGAGCGAACATGCGGACAATAGCGGCGCGACGACGACGGCGCCAAAAAATATAATATATGCGGTGAGGAGTACATTAATAATTCCACGCATATTGGCAACCGAATTCACGGATCCTACTTAAAAGACGGGGCTTGCCTCCAACAATTCCAATCATTTCCTAGTCTTGATTCAAGGTCGGAATCAGAATCCATCAAAACTGGAGAATTTGCTATCCGCTTCCATTCCAAGAACCAAGATTTGTAAGAGGGCGAGTCTTAGAAAATAGGAAGGAGTAGCGAGAAAAAAATTTCTTGGCTTTTAATAAAAAGTGCCCCCCGGACGAACAAAAAGGATATCTAATTTTTTGGAATATTTTTCCTGCCTGCACACGTATGGCTAGAGAGAATGAGAGAGAGAGAGAGGGACAAACCTGGCTGGAACCAGAACCAGCGCCGTCGACAGTCATCGAAAATTCTGAGCCAAGGAATGAAAAACAAAACGGGAACGAAGAAGAGGGTGAGGGGGGTAAATCATATTCAAGTAGTTTTAGTCGTGGCTCAGACTATGGTGTTTTGTTGGTTTGCTGGTAGGCTACAATAGAGGTTGATCGTAAATGTGAAGGTACGAGGCAAAATGCGTAAACAACCACCTTATGGACAAAAAAGTTGCATTTTCTGGTGAGCAACCTAATAACGAGGTGATACAACCGAAGCTCAGAAAGTGATTTAACTCTGTTAGATGCTTTGAATCAGAAACGGCCTGGACACTACTCAAGAAGCTCTCGGACCTTGATAATACATTTAATTCCATATAAAAGGTATACACTTTTTTTTAGATGAAATTTTAACTAGCTCCATGCGGAACCTAATCCAACACGGTCTGGTCTGAACCTTGTGAGCAACCAACCCTCCTAGCATTTTCTCAAAGGGAACATCCTGTCTTCGCATCGCATACTTACCTGACTGATCTCTTGGCTCATTCTGCAGGCAGTTGGACGTGTTGCAGTTGGACGTGTTGTTCTCTTAGACAAACTTACGGATGTATGGGACAAATTGGGACAAGACACTGGCAAGAAGAAGAAGAAGGCCCGCAACGGAAGCAGAAAGACGGGCGAGCCCGTTTAGTTAGGGCAGTTATCTAACGCTTCCGAAAAGTCTATGTGAATAGGCAAGCACCGCCCTCTTCGTTTTCTTTTTCTTCTTTTGCTCCTTCGGCTTCGTGGTCGTCGTCGTCTTTTAAGGCTCTTCCTTTAGCTTAAAGCTGCTCTAGTTTGGCGTAATCAGCGTCGGGGGCCAAGAAGTGTCGAGCAAGTAGTTGGGACGAGCACCAGCGAGAACTGAGAGGTGCTCCTTTATTGAGGGCTCGTCTTTTACGATAGAGAGGCGGACCGGCGGAAGAGGGGACGGAATAAAAAAGAGAAAAGAATAAAGCAACAGCCGCGCGCCAAGAGGTGCTTGGGATTGCCGAAATATTTGCTGGTGGTTCGCTTATTAGAAGAAGAGGTCGATTCCTGAAGAAGGAGACGAAAAAAGAAGAGCTTCCCTATGTCTCCCCACACAACAAATATTTCGAGAAGAAGACGAAAATTGTAGGAAAAGGGAGAGGATTCAGAATAATCTTTGTCACGAAAATGGCAGAGCAGTAGGCGGGATTAGAGGGATTCTATAGTTTTTCGCGCTGGGACCTCCTTCCTCGAGGTGGTGCCAAGTTTTATAGACCAACAATAGTCCAAGATGATTTGTGCTCAGCTTGTCGGGGGCAATGCTTTTGGGGGTCTGAGGGTGTTTTAGGACCGTTAAAAGATGATAGTAAATGGCTAGAATGCACCTGATCCCTCACAACTACTCGTTTTTATTACGCGCTTCCAATCCACATCAATAGAATGCATGAAGCAGACAGGATTGGGGGTTGGATTTCAAGGGTCCCGAATGATCCTAGACTGTTATACAATCAATATTCCAATTTTAAAAGATAAGAAGACTTTCTATTTGGCCAGCTCTGCGGCCAAAAAATCCACGATGAACATACATGCCATCCCACACTGCCAGCATAAAAACCACCGGACAAAGTGGTGTGGACTCCGAGAATGTATGGAATTTTTATACCAAAAGGATGATCAATTGTGGTCGTGGAAACCGATGCCATAATAAACGAACTAATATATTCCTACATCACATCCATAGCTTTATTTTCCATCCATTTTTTCCGCCGTTACTCGACAAGATCGCTTGCGGTTGACGATAATTGCTTTGTGTCGGTACGGGGGTAAGATATCCCCCCCCCTTCTCAAGAATGCCGTGGAATGAATAACTAGGCTCAACAAACGACGACAAACACAAATAGCTTCCTTCTGCGCCACAAAATTTTCGGGACTTTTAGACGCAAGTCGCTTCGGTCATAATTAGAAGTGTTAAAATGGAAACGGAATTATGTATGTGGTGTGTTTGAGAAAGGAAACTCATCTGACGACTCACCAAACTCATGTTTGAACCTTATCTCAGCAAGACGACAGGAATACAGAGGTCCAGTGAGAAAACGAGGATGAATGAGTTGGTTGCGGCGGGAAACCTCGATTTTTCGCGTCATCAACCCTCAAAAGAGTGGGGGTCCACTGCTCTGATTGATAACCTCGTCTTACATTCATGCTCGGCTCGACTTGACAAACTAATTTTGGATTGGGGTAGAAACGAGCGCAAGATGCATTTATTGAAACGGAATGTTGCCATTTCAAAAAAACCCTGATCGATCTGTCGCAGGACTGTTGACTACTTTACAGCCTAATACAAGTTCCCGGAAACCGTTATATTCGATACCAATCAATTCTTTCCCGCATTCATTCGTTTTGTGTCTTGTTTGCCTCAATAAATCTTGTTGTGAATAGTTAATGTTCCCCGTAGTGCACTAGATTTATGATAGACATATCGGGAAGCTAGCTGAACATTTTTAATTGCAAATCGTCCAGGAGTCGAGGAAAACTTTTCTGAAGAGCTTTACGAATCTTTGTTTCTACCTGGAATCAATAAGAAAGATTTAAATTGTTCAGTATTAATTGTCAACAAAAGTTTATTTCAAAATTTTTGATTTAGAAACTTTGGGATAACAAAATATTTGAGCAGAAATAGACAAACATGCTGCATGATGCCAATCACATTCTAGTTGTACATTAGCCGTAGGAGAGCCGTAGGCGAGCAGCTGAGCTATGTGTGACACATGTTTAATGGATGTACTATAATACCATGGATGTACTATAATACCATAGATGTACTATAATACCATGGATATCCTATAATACCATGGATGTACTACATAATACCATGGTATATAATGGTATAATACCATGGTATAATACCATGGTATAATACCATGGTATAATACCATGGTATAATACCATGGTATAATACCATGGTATAATACCATGGTATAATACCATGGTAATATAATGGTATAATACCATTGATGTACTATGTATAATACCATAGTACATCTGCCCTATTTGAAATTTTTGCGGTCCCGCCTTTTCCATCTTTGTGATCGTCACCTAAAGAGGCGTGGTGGCGGTGAAGCACGGTTGAGGCTGAGTGGGCGTGATTTCACTGTCACTATATAAACCGAGTACAACGCTAATTATGTCTATGTATCTCGTTACTTTTTTCGTTTGAGTGTCTCTCTTCCTGCCTCTGATCCGACATTATTGCTATGCAAGAAGTCAAACTCTTAACCAAATCTCTCTCTTCCTCTCTCCGACATTATTGCAATGCAAGAAGTCAAACTCTTAACCATCTCTCTCTTCCACTGATCCGACAATATTGCAATGCAAGAAGTCAAACTCTTAACCAAATCTCTCTCTTCCTCTCTCTGACATTATTGCAATGCAAGAAGTCAAACTCTTAACCATCTCTCTCTCCCTCTGATCCGACGTTATTGCAATGCCAGAAGTCAACTCTCTCTCTCTCTCTTTCTCTCTTTTTGACAACATTGCTATGCAAGAAGTTAACTCTCTCCCTCTCTTTTTGACAATATTGCGGTGCAAGAAGTCAACTCTGGCTCTTTTTGTCAGTCAAAAAACCTGAACAATTCGCCTTTTCTTACGTCTTTTCGTCGAGTTCAAAAATTTTTTTTTCCCTGTAAATGGCTCTGTTCCGTTTGTAAATACTTATAACTCACTTTGTACCCGTTGTGTAAGTCGCACGGTTTTCTATGAATTTCCAGATGGATCGAGATCGAAACGATCAACTGGAATTGATAAAAAGGTGACTGAGAGGGTAATTTGTAATGCTTCACGTGAATAAATGAAACATTTCTGCAGTATTATCCAAAATCGGCCCGATCCAAGTGAATTTTTAGAAACAATTATCGATTTTTCAGATTTTTCGAAATCACAAAAAATAACGATATTGCAGACAAAAATTGTTTCAGAAATCTTGTTTTGAATTTTTACTACTAAACCCGGTCTGACGCCAAGCTCTTGTTCAATCTTTCATAAATTTCAGAAAGTTCAGAAGCGAGACTCATGAGAATTTTCGAGAAGAAGGAAGCTGGCCTCTCAGTGACTTTTTGAGGTTGGAAATGAGCAGAAATACTTCTGAAACCTTTAGCGAACACTCTACGAACCTCAGATCGGCAATAAGAGTCCGTCCTGTACTCCCCAATTTTCAACCGCCTGATCTGGCAATTGAAGTTCTCCAGTACTTTCTCCTTATTCGTCAAGTGTTTCTGAGCCCCCCCCCCCCTTTTTGACTATGTTCTACACATAACAAAGTTCCGCGTTTAATCAAATGTTTTTTTCTTTGTTTGTCTTCTTCATTCTTGTGTTTCCAGCGTGAAGGTCTAATGAGATTTTTGAGTGTGTTGATAGGTTTCCTTCAAAACCTTGGCTTTCGAAGTTATGAACGTAGTTCAGTACAGTGTCCACAGGAGCGACAAAAAATCAAAACATTTTGCGTGAAAATTAGTACTGGATCAGAGCGACGAGATTCGTGTTTTGAGACTTTGAGGGCCGAGAGCAGGCCCTAAAGGTGATTTCTGGCCAGTATCGCAAGAGAGTTTTCAATGTAACTTTTGGCGCTCTATCCGATGTAAATATCTTATATACGAAAAATTTATCAGGTGGCCTCCCTTAAGTCAATTTTAAAACGTTTCACACGATTGAAGACGAACTGCATGCGCTTCTAATACAGTATTTACGGTATGTACAAGAGTGATGTTTTTCAGTTTGCCACACAATCAACAATTGCCACTCCGAGCAATTCGAAACGATCAACTTTGAATCTGCGCTCCGACTGGCTAGCAGCTCTTTTTGAAGATTCATCTCCACTTAGAAATGTGTATTTTTTGGATTAACTCACAGTGTTCAAGTGTTCTCTTTGTTTTCAACATCCAAGATTTCAAGAGAAAATCGTTCTCTCACCCCCATCTAATGAAAGTTTGTGTGTTTCGCACCTGCTCCCACCCTTTTGCTCCCCCTCCCCCCACTTTACAATTCATCCCAGTTCATTCTAATTTTATTCATTTCTGGTTGTATAAGGACAGAAGAATCAAAAGGAAGTGAACGCGAAAAAGGGGGGGGGGGGGTATGGATGAAATAGAAATAGAGATGACCTTCGTTTCCCTTTTCCCGGATGCATCTGTTCTGAATTTCTTCATCCGTTTCTTCGGATTCATCTTTGTTGTCGTCCCGACCAAATTACCTCCTCTTCCAAGTTTTCTCTTGTGCTGCATAACGTTTCGTTTTTAGTGTTCAAACGTGCAATAGAACTACAGTAGTCAGAATCTGTGCATACCTTTCCCAGTTTCTCTTTCACCCCTTCCCCTCCCTACTCGGATAAGATTATCCGTCCCTCTTCATCCTAGTCCAAGCCTAGTACAAGGCTTATGTGTGCACCTGATTAGTACCACATTCATTTCGACTCCATCTAATCACTCATGTGTATACAACAGATTCCTGCTCTTTCCATCACATTGCCTTTTCGACTGATTCTTTTCGCATATATCTTTGTATATGCGTCTACTCCCTCCCACTTTTTATACTTCTTCATTTCTTTCCAGATGAAACTTATGAAACCGCCGTGAAGTGAAAGCAAATGGAGACAAGGAGGAGCGCCGATAGGAAAAGGGGGGCAAGTGGCCTACTGTCACTCTCGTTTGACCGGCAATAGCCTCGATTGAATGTACGCGGTTTTCGCGAAATTCAAGGTCTGACCCACAAATTTCGTTCGCCCTTCATGCATCTTTCACCCAATTCTGCTTTTGCGCCAATATCCGCGCGAATCGTGCGCTTAGCATCTCTTCTCTCCTCCTCTGTTGTGACCTACCGATACCGAGAATGGGGCGGGGAGGCAGTTCAACTTTCTCACATTGCACTTTTCCTTCAGAATTGTTTCGGTTTGTCTTGAGTAATCTTAACTACTGTTTCTTTCATGCACTTATAATTATAGAAATTTCAGCATGAATCCTAGTTTCAGCCGTGGTCCTTGAAGCTTTTCACTCAAAAATTGAACTTTCACAATGTTTTTTCTGACTGAATACAAAATAATCAGAACTAGATTAGGTTCAAACGAACTGATTGCTTTTTGTGATGTTTTTTTTTTTTTTTGTTGTGATTGGCTATCTGTCTGTGTTCCAGAATATCTCATTTTATGAGTCATGAATTTTTATATTTGAGTGTTAAAGATGCGGAATTCGAATCCTTATCAAATTGGAGAATTCGAGATGCATTTTGAACGTAATTTCTATGAATCTTTATTTCAAATTTTCCGAATTCTTTTGCGTTTTCAAACTAGAACTAGATTTTTCCTTGGATTAAAACCGCGCTTTTGAGTCATATCGTGTGACTCTCAATAAAAGAGCTATGTTTTGTATTGATGAATAACTCTGATTGACAAAATGTGACCCTTCTGACTGTGCGGGATACTCTGGACCTCTCGTTTGTAACAAAAGTAACGATTCGAGTACTCAACTCGCGCCATAGCAAATTTTTAATATCGAGATGCATCTCACCCCTTCCCTATTCCCAGCTGTAACATCACAGTCGCTCCAGGTCCATCACAACAAATTTTCTCAAACAAACTCCTTGTCTATTGTACGTTTCTTGTACCGCTGCTGCAGGGCACCGACAGCTGAGTGCCAGGCGGTGTCGGTGCAAATGCTGCTGCCATTTGGTTCTCAGCAAGCCACCCTCACCCAGACCCGCATGCATGACCTTGAAGTTGACCGAGGGGGTGGGGAAAAGGGAGCGGTCGGTAGCCGCTGCTCTACAAACGCATATTGCCCTCTGCTCTTTCATTTCACATAAACCAGCTGATGTAACGAAGAATCTATGATTATTTTTTGTAACCAACGGTTGTTCAACCTTCAATTTTGTTGTGCTCTCGTGCCAAGCAAATGCCAAAGCTACAGAATCACACATTTTCGGTAAATAACACTATAATCACGTGATGTACAATTATTCTGACTTCAATTCAACTCCTATTCCCTCTGACTTTGTGCCTTGTTCATTCTCATGATGTTTTTCGTTTCTCTATTGAGCAACACAACTCTACTCTACCGTAGTTTATACGTATTTTTCGCGCAATTTGTAACTTTTGTGGTGTCCCGCTTCTAATTAATGAGCATTCAGAGCGGTTTGAATGGACGCTGCCGACTCGACTTCGGAAACGCCATCTGTTTTTGACCACGACAATCTGGCGATGGCTGCGCAGACGAATTTGCTACAGGTACATGCGTTTTTGAAGTTTTAAGTCTAATTTTTTCAAGCAATTCAGCTTTATTTTTCTACTCTGGCTTCTGCTTTCACACCACCTGTCAAACTTGAGCAAATCCAACAGTCTCCAACTCCCAGGTACCAATAATTTTGCTGCAGGATCTTTTCCAGAAGTTAAGTCACTTTTTCAGTCAAGTCAGCATTTCTGAAACGGACGATTCGGCTTCTCCAGCTGCGGTAACCTCCACGAAGGCGTTCTTCTCGCTGCTTGGATCGAATACAACGACCAACAGTACCAGTGTAAGAATGATGCACAAAAACCGTAGCGACAGCAGGATCACAACATTACAGAACATCGAAGGCAAGTCGAATCGTAAACTGTGCGCGGTGTGTGGCGACAATTCAACTGGTCTTCACTACGGAGCACCAACTTGTGAAGGGTGGGTATATAGGCTGAAAAAGTTTGGAGGATCTCGATAACTCAAAATATCAGAGCGAAAGGAATCTGATTCTACAGTAACCTCTTCATCTGCACCCTCAGTGATCTCCAATAACAAATCCCACGGGATGTATACACACATACACAAAAAAAACTATCTGGGCTATTATAGGCATTAGTGATCACATCGGATCGGGAAAGGGAAAGTCCAGTGAAAGTAGTGCGCCACATCCCCCTCTCTTTCCCTCTCTCGCTCTCTTGAGGCCCTCCGAAATTTGTGTGGCGGCCTTCAGGATCTGATGATGGTCAAGGCCTTCAGCATGACACGACGCACCGCCGAACACCCAGTCAGTGAAATGTTGCGAAGGGCGATCCTTCGAATGTGTCACGCACCTCGCGCTCTTTCTTCCTCTAGTACACTGTCGCGACCCCAATGGAATCGGGAAGGGGGAGGTACTGCGAAAGTGGTGCACTTTAAAGCAGTTTAGATAAGTTTTTCTAGGTCACACGCACCTCACCTCACTCTGGGTGGTCGTCGCAACTTTTGTTACTCTTTTTTCGGAGAAGTTTGTTGCGGTTGAAGTTGTTTCGTACTTCATGGCTGAGTTAGTTTTAATTTCGAAGTGCCCAATTGGAAAGTACTGCTAGTGAAGACGTCACTCACATCCCAGGAAGTTGAGCGAGCAGCCTGTTTCATTGAATTTCTGAAATAACAAGAAAACACTTTTGAAGGAAAGGTTCTCCGTCCCCGACATATTTCTAAAAGTTCAGTTTGGCGATAACAGTAATATCTCACGATACTCAAAGTACAGAGGCCACCAGCAAATTAATTCAGTTCAGATTGAAAAATGTGATAATTCGTCTACCGCCCACCCTTTAGCCTCATCTCTCCTCTGTTTTAAATAAAACGTGGAACAAATTAGTTCATTACCGTTTATCACATCCAGGGTGGCCTTCAACTCATGTTCTCTCCTCCAGAAGAGTCGGGAAGGGGGTGGGGGTCAAGTCGGAAAAGATTTTGGAAGAAGGGGAAGAGAATCGTCGGACAAGGTCGGTTCAACTGGTGCCACCATCTGCGTACCTCTTCTCGTCACCTTCATTTCATTTCCCGCCCCCCACTCTCTCTCTCTTCGCACAACACAGCTAGCCCCTTCATCCCTGATGACCACGACCCAATTCACAATATTTTCTTTAGTCTTTGTAGTTTTGTGTTTTTGTGACTACGAACTAGATAGTGAGCATCTGTTCACTTTTAAAAGTTGGCAATATCAAAATTTAGAATACTTGTTGGAAAAATTATCAATTTTAGCACAATCTGTCTGCAATTGTCAGAAAATTTGAGAGAAAAGATTGCCAAAACCAAGTCTATGCAACATTCTCTCTTTTTCTCTTTTTTCCAACTTGAAGTTATGGCAGACACGGGGCAAAATGTGGGTAGGGGTGGTTGCGAGGGCATCTTAAAGAACAAGGTCACTCACAGAGACCCCGAAGACGTCGTCGTCACTGTCTCTGTTGCCGTCTTCTTCTTCTTCTTCTTCTACTACTCCTCCTCCTCCTTTTTCTTTTTTGCGCATTTCATTTCTTTTCAACTTCACTATCATTTTAACCCCAGCCACCTACCTACCTACCCTCTTCCGTCACTTCTATTCTCATTCTTCATACCGAAGCCAAAGCAGTCAAAGCAACAGTTTTGCGTGGGTTTCTTATATTTGACCCCCATTTTAATAGGGATAGTGGGCCATATGTTCTCGAAGAGGCACCTGCTCCTCTCCAAAATTGACCTCGACATTTTGGTATTTAAATTTTTATTCCTTGTTCCGCAGAAACGCGGCAACAGACGAATGGGGTAGTTAAATTTTGATTGCAAGCAGCTTCTCGCAATTTTTATTCCTTTCAGCTCGGAACATGCATTAAATATAAATAAATTTCTTGCAGGTGCAAAGGCTTCTTCAAGCGGTCGGTACAGAACAAGAAGGTTTATCAGTGCAGTTACGAGAACAACTGTGAAATTGATAAACTTAACAGGAACAGGTATCGAGATAACCATATTTTTCTTTGCAAAAAGTTAATTTTCAGGTGTCAGTCGTGTCGTTTCCGAAAGTGCATTGGCAAGGGCATGTTAACTGAAGGTTAGATGACATCGCCCACACACATTCTTACCTTTTTCTCAAACATTTCTCTTTTAGCAGTGAGAGAAGACCGCATGCCTGGCGGAAGAAATGGGAACAGTATCTACAGCAATTACAAACAGAGACGGAGTATCATTCGCCGGACCAAAGACTATATTGCCGAGCAGGAGCGGCGGCCTTTTCAAAGTTTACCGAGTGGCAAGAAGCTTATTAAAGTAGGCAGTTGAAGCTACATTTTTCTGATTGGGATATTATTACTTTCAGGAACTAGTGGAAATGGATTGTTTGGATCGGTTGATCAATTTGAAAGGTCTTCGCATAAACCCTGCCGTCACAGCGAATTGTGATATTGCTCCAGCGTGCAAGAGGCTTACCAGAATCGGTAATAACTTCAATATCCGGAATATAATCGCATCGTCCGTTTTCAGGGGACGAAATAGTTGAGCAACTTGTGGAATGGACGAAAACATTACCATTTTTCGACGAATTGCCCGTAGAAGCTCATACTCATCTTTTGACTCAGAGATGGGCGGAACTTGTTCTATTATCTGCTGGATACTACGCTTGTTCGGTTTTCACGCCGGACTCCCCTGACACCACCGAAATGATTGATGAAACCGATGAAATATCCTTCACCAACCCTCAAGTCAACCTTCGTCTCCTTCAAAATCGTCTCTCCGCGGTTCTCGGGAAGGAAATTCCTTTGGAACATGTCGCAAAGTAAAAACACCTTGTCTTCGGACTTCTAATGTTCATTACATGTTTTAGGGAAGCTGGTCCGCTGGTCACTCGCTTCACAACTCTTCTGCACTCGTTCTCTAACCTCAAGGTCTCTCCGGAGGCTTACGTCTGCATCAAGGCTATCACTCTTCTTCATCTCTCCGCTGATTCGACTCTCGACAGAAATATCATTGACAAGGTCAACACGCTCCAGGATCACTTTGTGAAAACACTTCAAATTCATTTGCATCAGCCGTCCGACGAGGCCTCCCAACACACAACAAGTCTGGCTCAGATTCTTGACTGGTACGAGCAAACAGCTACATAATATCTGTTTTGAAAACATAATTGAAACAATTTCAGGCTTCCGGACCTTCGCAACGCTTCATCGGTCCTTCTTCACTCCAAAATGTTCTACGTCCCATTTCTCCTTTGCAAAAACCCAAGGCGTTTAGTGTTTGACGAGTAGCACCCCCAACACATCTTTCAACAGCTTTATATCTCGGTTGTGCAATATAAATTAGACTTTTCGAATTACCTTTTCTTTCTTTATATCGTTTTCCAGCCAAAAAATGTATCATTTCGTTTGATCTAACAATCAAAACATAGACGAGTGTGTTCTATCTATCAGTATAATCCTTCTTTTTTATGTGTGCAATCCATTGGTGTTATTTCTTGTGATATATTGTTTTTTATTACCTTAACATTTTTGTTTAATGATAATTACTCTTCTTTCTCACACCAATAATTTAATTACAGAATTAGAACACAAAAATTGATACATAAACCATTTTCATGTTTTTAAAACTGTGTTTTCTTATTCCATCAATTGTTGAACTCGAACGCCGACCTTCCTCTGAAATATTTTAGGCATACAATGGAGTGTCAAAAGAAAAATGACTAACGTTATAAGCTGGACACGTGGAGTGAGCATTGGGGAGTGATGGGCAATGCGGGATGCGTGGGCGAGACGGTCCGCTAGGTAAGACGACATAATCATCCAAGCCTTCACTGTCTCTTTATGGCGACGTCCGGGTCCGTTCCATTCAGTTGCGGTGGTTAGAAGACTTTCAGCGAATTTTTCCCAGTGCTTGCCCCTGAAATGCGTGATCTTAGACCTTTACAGCTTCTTCAGACATTTCTAGAAAGAAACTTGGCCAGCGACAACTAAGACTGTTAAACAATAGCGATACACACTGGAAGAGAGTTTAAAACAAAAGAATTTTGTCTCGACCTTACTTTCTCCTATCACTAGCAGCTTATAATTGTAATAACCCAAACAATACTCACGTGATCTTGAAGTTCGCGTGTCCTCTTCCAATCAAATCTAGCCACGGTTTCACTCCACTCTCCAAGTTCTCAAGGTTATCGACACATGACTGGACCAGGTCGACAAAGTATTTCACATGCCGATTCTCAGTCTCCTTGTCCACAAATATGGCATGACTGACATCAGCGGAAGTGATAAAGGCTTCCAGAGCGGCACGTCCGAACTGGGTTTTTGGAATTCGGTTCCATGATTGTCTAAACTTTGATTGAGAACAAGTAAAAGTATAGTAGCACACTTGATAAGTTTCTGATGCTCTGGAATCAAATTCAGAACACGTCCAGTAGCCGGCGAAGCACTTCGACAACGCCGCAAAGAACGTGGCGCGGAGAGATGATTGGTGGAAAGACGTGAAAGACTCATACAGCGCTAAAACAGACGTTATTCATATGTCATCAATATTCAACTTTCATAAGTCAGGTTTCGTACACTTGGAATTAAAAGTGGATGAATTGGGCTGGTTGCTGTCGGAGATGCGACTCGGAAACTTAGCAACCACCCGAGCTTCTGCTTCACGCATCATGTATTTTTTGTACCCTAACGTAAAAATTCTTCAAAACACAGATTCAAAACACAACATTTCAAAAGAAAAATACAAAATATGAGCGAAACATGATGTGATATGTAGCTGTCTTCTCAGATTATATCATAAGGCGATAAAAAGTGGTAAAGCCAAAGTTGACAACGTTTTCCTGGTAACCGGAAAGGCGGTAGTAGACTCATGATTCGATCTTGTGGCTCGTCTTCACTTAAAGATTAACTTCTTCTTTTTCTCCTTATTAATCAAAAATGCACAGAATAAGTGAACTAATGACGTAAACAGATTTAAGTGAGTGTGTGTATGTGTGTGTGTGTCTTGCTATTTTTCATTTTCGAGCTAAAATTTGAATGATTCGCTAAGAAGGTGAAAGAAGTGATTCATCTGGACGAGTTTGAGACGAATTGAGCAAAGTCATAACTAATTCCCGAAGCTTACTCACCTGGTCATCCAGAGATATTGTAGGAATATCTGGAGATCCCATGAACATTTTTGAAATTCTTTGTTTGATCTGCAAGATTTAAGAGTTACAAAACTCATGACACAGACTAGTGACACAAAAAACTGTGGGTGGAGCAACAAGAGTCGGAGCCGAAGAGCCAATTTAATGGCAAAGAATCTTAATCGAAGCACTTTGTATGTCATTAGTAGCATTTGAATTAGGAAGCTGAGACTGGAAAAGAAGAAGAAGGAGAGGGAGAAGAAAATGATGATGAAAAAAAGAAGAAGGAGAAGAAGCGGTTTGCTTGCTTTTTATTTATATCGAGTGTTGTTGGGTATATTGAAGAGCAAGGTGACGAAAGACAACTTATATTATACATTTCCATTTTGATGTTAACATCTCAAAGATGATGATTTAGCATGTCATTTCAGGTTGAATTCAATAGAGCATCTGAGACCGCGGGGAAGATGGGAAACATGTCGATTCTGGTGTCGGTCCATGAAGAGGACCACATGAGGATGTGTGAAGAAAAGAAAACATGCAAATAATTGAATTAAAGCTTCTACTCCTCCATCTTCTTAGCCTTTTTCGTCTTAAACACTTGACGACTCTTAGACGTATTTGTGGGTTTGAATAAATTGGGAAGTTTTATGTATCCAATGTTGTTAGCATGTGTGTCGTTCCAAGTCCCTCTGTTCTTACTGTAGAATATAAGAAATCAGAAGTGCTTTTCTGTCTTAAAAACTCACTATGTTAAAAGAGTGCAACAACTCTTTCCAGCCTTTTATTGTGCTTCACAATAGTTGCAGCCAAACTTCGAAGAGATTCAAGATTCCCACTTTCAACTGCACTTTCCAGACACTTCTGTAAGTTAACTCGATAATAGTTCAATTTCTTTTAAATTTCACTGTACCTCTTGTAAATACACATCCAATTCAGTCAATATAACTCTTGTAGCTTGCATTGCACTTCTGTCTAAACTCATATCCCTCGTTTCACTGTTCATTTCTTCAACTTTTTCAATAATGCTCTGAAAAACTCTAAACATTATATATATTGTCGTTTTGTCTTGTCATACATCAATTTCCTCCTCTAAAATACCGACAATATAAAAGGAAAACGACACTTTATTAGTTGCGGACCAATCTTCTTGCGTTTCAAATACCTCTCTGCTCACTCTGAAAATATTAGCAAGAGCAATGGATGACTTCATAGTTATTTCGTTACGTGACAAGTTTCTTTACAACTTCTTTAAAACTTTTGCAGATTGGTCCAACTTTTTTCTCCGGCGAGTAATTTGTCATAAAGTTGGATTTTCTGTGAGCGACAGTACAGGGAAATTCTGTGCGCGATGGTCTACTAACTTTGTGATTTCATGGGCGAGAATGGTCGAAAATAGGTCTAACAGGTATAAATATGTTTTTCGGTTCCATTCACAAAGTTCATCTTTGTATAGGAGTTGTAGAAACGAGATGTGATTCAAAGCTCGTTCTAGACGAGCTGCTGGAAAAAAATCGATTTAAACCTAGTTCAAACTATATGAAAATACCTGTTATAGAAATATCCGGAAATGACCCAAGGTACTCAATATCAAAAAACGACAACTGTATCAATAACCGTGCCCTATCTTTCATTTCAGGTTGAAAACAAAACGTCTGAACTGTCTGGGACAGTATCAATGTGATTGACCTAGCATCTGAGTCTATATTGCGAAGTCGCCCATTCATATTGAAGTTTCTCGAGATGTTTTCTATTATGAACCTGAATCTTATGCATGATCTTTGTAAAGTTCATAATATTTTGTGTATACCTTTCGAACACAAACTCGTTCGTCATTTTCTTATCTTCTACCTCGTTTATAAGAAATAACAAGTCGATTTTCATTTCAAATAAAGCTTTGTCGTAGAAAATAGTGTACAAGCATTGCAAGGCTGCCTAAAGTGTGTACGAGTACTAAAAACATACGAAAATCTTGTGTTACGTCTAAAAGTCTTCGGTTCTTTATAAAGCCCACATGATAAAGCTCATCCAATCGGGATTCAGTGGTAGCTGCTCGACTTTGAGGAATAATGAATATGAATTGCTTGTGGACCGGAAAATCGGCTACTGTCCACCATTCAAATATCATATCGACTGTCTGAAACGAAAACCCGTCGACCTTGGCATAACTTCATTTCTTACGGGGTCTGCAAGGAGCGGGGGCGGTTCAATCACAGTCGCAATCTCTTTCTCTTTCTTCTTTGTTTTTTTCTTCTTTCCGTGACCTGAATGGAAATATTTCGAAAAGGAGAAAAAAATTAGATGAAATTTGAAAATGCTTGCCCTTTTTCTTTTTTGTTTTCTTCTTAAGCTTCTTCAGTCCCTTTTTGGCTTGTTTCTTTGGTGCAACGACTTCAGGAATAGGGACAGAATCCGGCATTACAGGTGTCTGATAAAGTTACGTTTGAAATTCCAACCGAGAAGTATGAGCTGACCACGGCAAAGTCTAGTACAACAGGCTTGGAAACTGTTATAAACAAGGCTTTAGTCTGAGTTATATCTGTCAACAGCTGAATAAGTGGTGAACAATCCCCATCGACCAAACTCCTGGCAGAACTGTCTTCACAATTAGTAAATTCAATAAGATGACGATAAATCCATTGTTGGGCTGGATAAACATCATAAGTTATCAGAAAAGGTTAATGGAAATGTATGTTCTGTTACCTGTCTCCTCTTTGTCTTCAAAATCGTCTTCATTCTCGCTAGGAGATGAACTAGTACTCTCCATTGGGAGTTAGGATTTATGAATGAGGAATAAGGTATGAGGAATGCGGGCAGTGAAGTGAAATGAACCGTGAAACATCATTGGATTAGCAGAAAATGTGCTACGGCCTCCAGGAAGTGGTTTTTGACATTCTTGCTCGGAAGTTAATAATAAATGATTCATCATCCAGAAAAACCGTAGATAACTACAGAATAACACAAAGTCTGAGAAGTACAATTGATCAATGCGAAGATCACTGATTTCTGCTGAAAAATCATCGTTTTTTTACACGACAAAAACACACCTTTCAAAATATTATATAAATGCACTAGCCATAATACGTTTTTTCCAGGAAATATTTCAACTGTCGTCTGTTTCTGAAAACTTGCTTTTCCAATTTCTCCAGGTGATATTTCTCATCATGAGCTGTGGAGAAATGTTCTATTTTTGTTTCAGATCTTGAAAAGATTAGAATAATCGATTTCCTGGTGACTCTCACCCATAACTGAGGACGCAAAATAAAGAATCTTTATTAGAAATCATTAAAAACCAAAACAAACCAAGATCAAGATTCAAAAATGCATAGTTTCTTAGACCACTACGTCTTATGTTACGTTCTTTCCATACAAAATGTCTCCTCGAGTTTCAAAGCCATCGATCAAAACGAAACAAGGGGTACCAGAAGATGATTCTGTAAGAGTTTAGATAGAGCGAGTGGAAGGGATACTGGCGCAACGCAAACTTTTGCTGTTTTCTCACTTCGCAAAGATACAGTAACCACCAATGCATCATTTCGAATCGAGATTTGATGACAGCGATAGTCATTGTCCCCACCTCCTCTTTCTCCTCCTCACCTTTCAATATCATCAATCATTGCATGGCCATAAAATTTTGTCCCTGCGGCGCCGCATACTGATCTCCTCCTCGCTTTTGAGATTTATCGACTGAGGCGTACTCGGGTTAGCGTTGAAAAAGACAATTTTTCGGTTCTATTCAATCTTGTATTTTTCCTTTTTTGGTTCTCTCATTCTTATCATCCCTATCTTCTGTTCACTCATCATCCTTGTTTGCAAAGTTCTCTCTTATTTTGCTAAACTCAGTCGTTTTTGTTCCGCAAACAGATAATATACATACACAATCAACGCAGTTGTTTCTGTTTTGACTTTGTTTGCTTTTTAGAGAGATAGAGCGACGATTAAAACTGAAAAAAACTAGTTTGAGGTAGAAAACGGAGGGAGGGTGTAGGGTGAGACTATTCCCATGAATTTGCACCTATATTGACGTCGAGAGTTCCAAGCTCGCTCATTCGTCTATGGTTTAGGTCTATTATTATTGAACACTGTTCAAACCTGACCTTTTCTCTGAGAAATGCGTATATAACCGGTTACTAGACAACGTTTATCTTAGAGAACAGTCCTCTCTGACCCTCTCGACTTTTACAACCCGCAAGTGGAGATGTGTAGGGTCTTAAAAGATCCTAAGACAACACTCATCGACTCTGTCATCACTTTCATGAGGTCCACCTACACTGGCCACCGCTATGTTCCTCTCTCAACCGCCTCTCCCCGTCATCCTTTAATCATGTTTGTTACACTGAAATCTCGGCTGATCGCATATCTTTGTTCTTGCTTCCAATTTACTCTTGTCTATGTAACTTCTTTGAACTGATCTCAGGCGCATTCTCCCAACTTTGACGAGTCTCCCTCTTGCCTTTTTTATTTCGTGAACTTGTCGTCTCTTGCCACATCACTTCTTTTTCGCCACAAAACATCAATGCCAGTTGTTCTTTCTTCGCTGAAATCTCTGTATAATACCTATTCAAAACTTAACCGTGACGTCGAATATGTAAATTTAAAGTCTTTTGTTGAAATGTTACAAATATCGTTGGCAAGAGGGAACATTGCCTTTTATTGAACATTCGCTTGGTCGCTTTCATATCTTTTTAGGAGTTGCGACAAATTGATCTCTTTCAGGGTACGTGAAACCGCAAGAAACGGAAGAGAAGATGAAGGAGAAGGGAACTTCTGTGATTCCATGTTTGGCCATCCGGCAACGTTACATTGTTCTTGCTATCGGTAAGTTATATCTTTACTTTGAAAAAAAAATAGGGGAGGGGGGCGGAGAGATTTACATAAAATATTCGCTCTATCAAAACCTATCCAGAGTTTCAGACTTGATTTTTTAAGGGTATGCATTTATGAATATAAATCTAGCAGTAGAATTCAGTCAATATCGCACTTGAACCTACACATCTCACGCAGTCATTAGATTTAGTCTAATTTGTAACTTTTAGGTACACTATGTATCGCATCCATTGCCAGTAACATGACGGTGATCAACTTCACCATGATCTGCATGGCCAAAACAGGAAACACCTCCGATCCGACCTCGAGCTTGACTGAAGACCAATACAACTACTCCAACAAGCAAAAGTCGATTATTATGTGGGCCGCAGCTATTGGAACCCTGGCGGCTGCTTGGCCTTTTCATTGGTTAGTGGGCAGTGCTCAGACTTTAACTGATATCAATCGTTTTACAGGTTCTACCAGCAATTCGGAGCTCGCAGTGTCTTTTTCGCTGCTGGTGCCGTCTCGACAATTTCAACAGCACTGATGCCTCTTGCAGCAACACTACACTTCAACTTTTTGGTTGTTGCCCGCTTCTTCCAGGTTATTCTATCACCTTTTGAGAACTATTGTCAACGTACACTTCAGGGAGTAAGTTTCGGAGCGGATTTCGCTGCAATTGGTCTGATCGTCGTCAACTGGGCTAGTCTGAAACAGCACGGATTCTTCATTTCACTGCTCTCCTCGTTCTCGCAAATTTCTGTAATTTTCACCATGCCTGTTGCGGGAGAGCTCTGTGAATCCTCATGGGGATGGGAATCGGTGTACTACGTCCATGCCGTTCTCAGCGGTTTTCTGTTCTTATTGTGGATCTATTTCTACAGGTTTCTCGAACATATATAAAGGATAATTTCTAATCGAATTTTTCAGAGACAATCCAGTGAAACACCCGCAGATGACCGAAATCGAACTTGAAAAAATTCACAGAGGAAAAGGAGATGTGGTGGAGCATGAAAAAGCTCCGATCGTGAAAATTTTGACCAATTCGGTCATGTTGGCAGTTTGGCTTTCAGCTTTTGGTGAGCTTATGATGTCGCAGTTCATTGTGATGTATGGACCGACTTTCTTGAAGGAGGTGAGTGAACATTCAATAGCCATTTGGATTTTTTAAAAACTACTTTAAAGGTTCTGGGATTTGCCGTTAACCACACTGGATACTTCGTCGCCGTCCCTCGTCTTCTTCATTTGCTCTTCAAGATTATCTCCGGTATCGCTAGTGACCGTATCCATTTCTGGTCGGAGAAAACCAAAATGAGAATCTTCAACACGATTGCTTTAATGGTTTCCGGAGCATTCTTCTGCATTCTCGGCTACCTGCCGAAGGATCACGCTTCCCTCTCGATTGTCGCTTTGATTATCATTGAGTGTTCCACTGGATTCATATGTGGTGGATTCTACAAGTGTGCTACTCTTGTTGCTAGGTAAGGAACGCTTCCTTGTTGTTGTAACTAGGTCGGAATTAGCAAAAAGTATCAGAAGCTATCTATGTCTTCCTAATTTTTCAGACAGCACTCTCACTTTGTCCTCTCTCAAATCCAGTTCATCAAGTGCTTGTCTCTTTTCATCGAGCCCCTTCTGGTCTTTCTGATTTGTACACACAACACCCTTGAAGAGTGGAGAATTGTCTTTCTCACTCATGGAATCCTTCTGATCGGTGAGCCATCACGAAACATGATTCTAAACAAATAGGTCATGTATAATTTCAGTTGGAAACGTCATTTTCTGCTATTTCGCCACTGATGAGCCTGCAGACTTCACCCATCATCAAAACGGAGAAGAAATGACGGATGTGCCACCGGAGCGTAGAAGGTGGCTGAACTGTCTCACTTCTTGTTTAGAATAAGAAGTGATTACACTAAAAAGTGACGAAATTCTGAGTCACATCCCTTTATTTATTACTTTACTCTAAGATTTTCACGTGGTTTGTCATTGATGTGTGAATAAACCGTTTACAGGTGAAAGACTGAACAAAAAAGTCACCTGAATATCGCCCACGATAACGAATATTTTTTTTAATGATTATAATATTTGCAGACTGACTGAAAACGAGCAATAGATCATACAAACAAGAGGAATTCATCAAATTCACATTTTGGACAGACGAAACTCACCGTTCCCTCATCAGTTTTATCTTTTCTTTCCGCTTTCAAATTCTTTTTTTTAGGAGTGTTTGCTGGGTACACATTTTCTTTTTCTTTTTCTCTTAATTTGTTTTAAAAACGTTTCACTTCACTTTGTTCAGTTTTTGAAATGGTTGTGTTGAATAAATTTAATGGATCTTTGAGTAGAATCTGACGTTTTGTAATCAACACTGATACATATTCGGCCATTTTACCAGACTCTATGGATTTAGAAATGTCTTGTTTTGGAAAAGCTATTTTGAGGAGGCTCTGAAGTATTCATTTTTTTTTCAGATCATCTCGTTTCAAAGAAACTTTGTAAAGTTCCTCTCTGCGCACACCACTTGAGAATATTCTATTTCGAAACTCACCCCCCCCCCCTTGACGCTCAGTTAGCAAAACTTCACAATTTTCAAAAAAGCGTGTACATCGTTCCTGATTCTCTCCGCGCTGGCGGGCACAAAAATGAAATTGCCGAAAACGAACCTCAAATATTTGCACATACTGTTTACAGACACTGCGTACGCACGCGCGTCCCCGATGCCAACCCAGGACTCTTCGGTTAACGTGTTCTTGCATGCGTTTGCACACACGCGGTTCCATGCTCTGCTCCGAATTTAACTTGTGTTTGTAGAAACTGACGATGAAAAGGCACACTGATGGACAAAATGATTCACAAAAAGGTTCATGAGCTCTACTTCTTTTGTTGACTTTGGAGAAAATGTGGGGAAAAAATGAAAAAAAAGTATGCAGAAGATGACGGCGAGGAGCAGTGTTAATTTTTTGATCCGCGAAGTTGTGAACAAGCTGAAAACCCCTAGAATTTCCTGGAAAACACACAACACTGAACATTCTCGAGATCTTTGAGACCTGTTTATCCTACCAAATTACTTTCCCAAAACCATACACGGCCAACATAAAGATACCTAATCCAATCAGCGCAATAAACGAAAACGAACTACTGCTGTTTTTTGCGTGTTTTTCAACCTTGAAACCCTAAAATGCCGCCCGCGGAAAAAAGAAAAAAGGAAAACAACATAAATTCAAAAACAGATTCAAAGTGGTTTTGCGCCCACTTGCCTATCAGGTGACTTGACTTTGCAACCGAGATAATGGCGGAATGGATGGATGGATGGATGCGACGAGGACAATATACCCTATTTGAAAACTTTGGAAAGTTAAAGGAATCTGTTTATGATCTTTTTGTAGTAGACTCCTGGCAGATTTTGACAAGATGAGTGGTTTTCACAGGGAATATAGACATATGTACATGAACCTGATTCAGAATTTGAATCTTGAAATCTGAATTCTGAAACGATATGTCTAGAAAAAAAGGCAGGTTATATTCAAGCTATCAAGTAAATTCACAATTCAAGAATCTTAATATTTGACTCGCAAACAATTTATTACTCCTGAGAAAATTAGCGCTTTACTGCTGCAGCTTCGATCCAGTTAGTTAGTGCTCTAAGAAATGAGCGAGTGCGGGCAAATTTTTGTGTCTCGATCTTTCCGCGCGGAAGAGGAAGAGGAAGCCGGGGGTTATGTACACTAGACTGACATACACACATTTCTATCAAAAAATTGGAGAAGAGAGAGGGGGGCTGCGGAGGAATGCCGCCTGTTTCTTCCGCTTGCTACCCTACCTTACCATTTAGTCCCCGAGCTACAGGAAAATGTTTTCTGATTTTTTGGTGCCTCTGCCTGGGGGTCGCCTCATTGCTCTTCCTGAGACATCAGCTGTTACACCCCCATCATTTTGTCACTCACACAGATTTCCGAAAAAAATTTATTTTCGTGACAACTGTTCCCGGTTTCCGGGATCATGGTTCATTCTTGCCTGCTTTGGCACCCATTCCTCAAATTAATAAGACAACGTGAGAAGAAAGTTGATCGATAAACTTTCCACTTCCTGTACTGGGTGAATTTGGTACATTATCTCGGAAACTGATCTAAAAGAAAGATGTAAGAAAGTTGGTTTCATACAAGATCATATACATACTCCTTCTCCTGTCTTCCTCAAAAACCTAAAGTATGCGAAAACTCCTCATTTTCAGATGATTCGCAATGAGCAAATGATCCAACTTATCTGGATATTCATCTTTGCCGTGATCCTCATGGTATTCTTCAGTCTCGTTTTCCGATGTCTTCTGCTATATTTACTAGAACACAATTGCTGCAATCTTCAGACAATCTTCAGTAATACCAGGTACTTGTCTCCTTTTGATTTCATTCTTACAACCCGTGCACTTAAAACAGACTTTTACAAACGTCGAGGGAGAAAAAAATGTGCAATGCGCTGGATGCGTCATTGCAGAAAACCTTCAAGGTATTTCTCTATTTTTCTGTGCTTTCAGTAACCATAGTGCGGAATTCTCATTCAGGAGTCTAATATCCAGCGGATTCTACCGTTTTCACCTCAATTTATGGCTTCATCTTCTTGTTCAATGGAGTCTGCGGGGTCAACAGAATTTTCTAATCACTGGCCTCTTTTTCAAGTCGCAGTCGATGGTAAAGTGAGTTTTTCATCTAATAATTTATCAATTTGACTTGACTTCAAAGCGTCCTGTCGTAAATTGATGACATCTCGCCGCGCCTGCATTCTTGAGCAAAACAATCAATTACAAAGTTGTAGTACAGGAATTTATGTTCTAAATGGCTGTAGAACAATTTCAAACTACTGAAAAGCTAGCGAGTGCAAAATCACATCGATTTTACTTTAGTAGACTTTCCGACCTACAAAACTATACGACTGTAGGATCATGTTTATCTACCAATCTTTCAATAGCTATGTTTTCTTCGTCCTCAAAACAAAACCCACGGTATCTTTCTCTATTGTTTAACAGTTTCCCCTTTTGTTTTCGAGTCGAATATTTGTCCGAGCCCTCCGATCTGACTCATTTTGTGGCGAGACGACGACACAAACAATCCACAATAACTGTAGAAATGGCAAGCTAAGGCGCTAGCGTTTGCTGTCTACTCACTCTTTTCCAACCCCCTCTGGCCGGCAGGGCCGACGATCGGATCGTTAACCGTTTTTTTTTCTGAAGGTCGCGACCACCGCACACAGACAAGTCATATGTCTATCTTTTCCCTATTGAGAAAAAAGAGAGAGCGAGAAGAATGTGATATAGATAGACCCAAAAATAATTAAAGGTCAAGAGATAGTTGCAAATTGAAAGTGAAGTCAAGGGGAAAGGAGGGATACTGATAATGATAAGAAAACTATTAGTCACGGCGTGAACAAATTGAATTACGTGTGTGTCGGGGGAAACAAAAATCTAGCAGAAGTAGTAGATCAAAAATTGTCGTTGTCTTCCGGAAACAAAACAAAACGTGATGTTTTGTCATTTTCCTGAGATAAATCTCGTGATGACTAATGGGCCGAAGAAAACAAGGAAACTCCTCTTTATCAATGACATCATTCGGGTCGTAGGCGTTATCTACTCCTGTCTATAAAAACGTCTGTGTCTTCAGATTCTCAACCCGGAGCTGCTAATTGCCACAAGAGCTCCAGAATATGACTCGGTCGTTGGTGAGCACACTTTTTATCATCTTTCTTTTTTTTTGCTTTTCATCAAAATGTGGTTATGGTTTTGTTATCAGTTATCACTTCCAGTTTTTTTCCCTCAAAATGTTCGAGTTCTCACCGCTTTTCCCTATCTGTTTGTCGAAATAAATCAAAGAACAAACTTTTGCTTGCGTGCCCCGGGCCCCCAGGCCCCCGCCGCCGCACACGCGCACGTGATCGTCTAACCTTTGCCACCTCCACTCTTTCCTCGCCATAGGTGATCCCGCCCTACCCCTCCCGGTGAGAGATGGAAAAAGAGGGGGGGGGGGGTCATTGCGGCTCCGCCCTATCAGTCAGCTCTCTTGGGGAGGGTCTCAACCCTATTTACCTGTTCAACAGATTTCCCGTCCTACTGCAAACAGTTATTTATATAAAGCGAACAGATTTTGTCAGTCGGAGCATTCATTATAACTTCTGGTTCCCAACTTGTTCATCACTATCATTATCTGACAATTAGTCCAGAAGCTTCTAGAAACTTCTAGAATCTACCGCTAGTTTTCTAATCTGATCTTTCTGATAACAAAAGTGATTCCTTATCATTTAGCTGCTTCCACGTCCATCCGCTCCTATTTCGAACTCGTAAATAGTTCACCAACTTCCACTTCCACTCCCAACCCTTCCATCCGCCTGCCTCATTCGCAATGCGCTCAAAAACATGTTTGTGTGCTGCTGGCTCTCTCAATACCGGATGATCTTTGAAACTGAGTTCATTTGCGTGAAAATTCAGCAAAAAGGAGAGAGACAGAGACAGCGGGCCGCTGATGAGGGGACCTTATTTGTGGTGTATGTGCTGTTGGGCACGCAGCAGCCCACGAGGCCGCATAAAAAACGACCAGGAGAAAAGCGAGCGGGAGAGTGAGAGAGAGAGAGCATTTGGTGGTGGGCTCTCTCTTCTTCTTGCTCGCCATCCTCTCCGTTTTTTTTCTCTCCAACGCTCTTCTGTTCGTTCTTCGTTTTTCTTTCTTCCTGCTTTTTTGTGAGCCGTCCACAACATTGCGCTGGCCAGTAATGCCTCAAAAACATGGGGAAATTTTAGAGACAACCTCAAAGTAAACAGATTTTCCTTTTTTTTTGCTGAAGTTGAGCTACCAGGGAATGCTTTCTATTCATTGCCAACCGAACAGAATCAGTATCAGTGATTTTTGAACTTTTATCTCCATGCTAACTTGTTTGTGTGTCGAGTTACCTTTCCTATCTCTTATCTTACCCGCCAATTCATTTTTATTTCGTTCCTAACCTCCCACCTCAACCTACATTGAATATCGTTGTCTAATTCGCTGTGTTTTGCAGCAGCAAGCAATCGGAACACACCAGATAACCGCAACATGTTGACCGATTACTACCGTAACAACATGCAGCCGTTGGACCAGAACAACCGTCACACCAGCAGCGGTTTCGGACAGAATGGATATGGGTCTTACTCATCTGAAGGTACAATATTCTGGTTTTCATAGATATTATCCGATTTTCTAGACATTTTCACGTCAGAAGCTTAGCTGATTGTGACTATTGTACCTCTGCGTCACAGCTTACGTAAATATCAGTTGTGCCCAGTTTCTGGCATAAAATCCTTAGAAAACTAGCTAGTGACAATTTAGAAGGAACAGAATGGGTGTGAGGAAATAGGTTTCTCAGAAATAATACGTCTGCTTTTCAGCCCGAGTCCCTGTGGATCGCCCACTCTTCATCAACACCTCGATGTCGGCGCAGCAGCGAATAGACATCTACCGTCAACTGTCGGACCCGCCAAAGGACAATGAGCCGGCCCTCACATTTCACTTCCGCAACCTTTAAAATGGTGTCATAAGCACATAGCAATCATCTAGCCCCCTGTACCTCCTTATTTCCCTGTACATGATCAACTCTACCCTACTCATTTTCAAAGTTTTGAACTTTCCTGTTTGTTTGTTCCTTTTTTCCCCACTCAGTTTTGCCGAGTTACAAACCCCTCCATTACTTGTAAATAGAAGTGAATACAGTTCGAGAAACTTCGAAATCTCATTACGTAGTAGTGCACACCCCTCAATTTCAGGTCACTTTTGTTCCGTTTGCTGTACAGCAAATGCTATGTCTGTCCTTTCCCGGTTAGACATTGAATCTTCCAATACTTCTAGTTCCAAATTGTTTGTGCGTACTGTACTTGTATTAGGAACTCCTTTTTTCGTGTACTAGCACTTGTGTAATACTTGTTTTGGTTTACTTCTTTTTTCGTTACATAATAAAAGATTTTCTTAAACACGTTGTTTATTAGAAACACGTTTTCAGATATTCAATCGCTACTGCTGTCACAAGAGACTCAAATTACCGCAGAATTGTTGGAATCCGATCAAAAAACATTGTGGACTATGGTTCGCTGTTGTTCTGACACCTGTCTGAACTTTGAACCCTACCAGTTAGCACAACAAACATACAAATTTTCACCAAACGGGTTTTTTTTGGTCAGTTAGAAAGCGTGTTTTTCAGATATGATTTTGTCGCTATCCTACAAGATTGAGAAATGAGGTTTTACGTCAACAAACTCCTTGAAAATTGCGCGAATAATCGGTCGCCAGACTTCGTGACAGGTCACAATCAGCTCAAACGGTTGTAGTTTCCCATTCCCATTCAATTCCATTATCGTTGTCGACCGAAGAGAAGAGCAATCACTTTTTTTTACAAAAATCCCATCAGTGCATTCAAACCAAAAAGACACGTGAACAGAACGTGCATCTCACAACCTACAATAACGCAGTGTTCCAAATGACGTCATGTTAATACGAGAAGGATGCCCTCAGGGCCAATTGTTTGCCGAGAATGACCCTCTCATTGATGTAAATGACCACCCGACGGCAGAACGGACGACGAACGGAGTAAAAATGACGTCAAGTCCCAGCTGTGCAGTGTCATCGTCTTTGTGTCGGCGGGGGAGAAATGTCATTATGCACGCGAGAGGAGAAGAGGAAGAAGAAAAATGACCGCCAGAACAGCCAATTGTTGGGAGTGAACGGGAAAGCAAAAGAACACCTCGCGAAAAAGAGGGGTTTTCTAAAGGCCTTTCGAGGCTTTAGCTTTCTTTTGACAACAGTGCAATAATCCAATCGGGCCTAAATTCTACAGACACTTAAACTTGGAGGGTAGTATTTTGTGACTACACTAGAAATACATGTAAAAATGGGGTCATGAGAACCTGGTGGGATGAATGCAGATGGGCCAAAAGTTGAAGCTTGAAAAAACCTTGGAAAAACCTGAGCCGGTAGTAGAAACAAATGCTCCTTTCATAAAAGAAAACACATGTATGATTCATCAATCATCCTTCATTTACAAAGAAAAATATGACAGAATGTGTGAGATGTGATAATACAATCTTAGAAAAAAGTGTAGAAAGAATACATAATCTGCACTCGAGCCAAAACCACCGAGTTTTGAGACCAAAACAAAGAACAGAAATGTAATTTATTGAAAAACTGCGGAATTGAGAGGTATCACTATTTTCCACTACTGAATTGGTTCTACTACGTCCAAGTTAAAGTAGAAGAACTTAGGTATGAACAACTGAAGGTGCTATACTCCCCGGTACCGGTCGAATTGATTTGCCACAGTAGAGTGGTTGCGTCGCAGGTAACCGAAGCCCCAACAGACAATGCATTACCAAACTGAAATTTAATTTATCTGTACCTGAAATTTCTTCTAAATTTGAACTTACATAGAAAGTGCCGCTTGAATTGGTTGCTTTAACAGCTGCTGAAGAGTATCCATCCGACAAAGAAGACAGAGAGCAACCAAAAGTGATTGTTTCATTGCAGACCCATGGAGGTTGTTTAGGATCCGCATTGTTGATAAGAGTCGATGTTATTGGATAACTGCAGCAGCCTGGAACGGATAGATTTCCAGCACATTATACCATTACCACGAGTTGTGCTCACCTGGTGCAAGAGTAGTAGTCGTGGTAGTGACAGTAGTCGTAGTGGTTGATAGCGTAGTAGTAGTTGTTGCCGCTGTCGTCGTGGTGGTTGTTGTGTTGTCCGGCTCCGAAGTTGTTGTCGTAGTCGTTGAGGTAGTTGTGTTAACAGTAGGCTCTGACACCGAGATGGTAGAGATGCATCCATGGGATAAGGTGCCAAAGACAGAACAAAGAATGAGCAGCCTGGGCAGCATTCTTCAAGTCCATGGACTAGCAAGAAGTATCTGACATCCGCTATACTTATACCATTCCTAGATCCGTCCGCCCTACATTTCTCTTTGTTTTAATTTATTTTCACTAATTAGCAACTTGAGATCATCCGTTTTCACACTTCAAGTTAGCTATCCGCAATCTAACTGGTTTTACAAGTTTGGCATTGATAGTTTCAGTCAGATTTGCGAGTTTAATTTTTCGGAGTTTGTAGGAATGGTCGCAGCCATCCATGTTTCAAACATAGGTGCGGGATGTTTGAGAAATTCCAAAGCATTTTTTTTTCAGTCGGATTGAAACTTCCGAACCAGCGGCAACCATAAGACCCCCCCCCCTGTGGAAAAGGCTATGATCTTCTAGTTTTGTCTCAATTGGATACACGAACATAGCAAAAGACGCTCTACTGGACTCCTGTGAACTTCTCTCGGACGAACACGTTTACAATGTTTTGTTCCGCGTTTGTCAGTCATTCCGCTCGGTTTTTTTCGGTTATTATGAGCGTGTTCTCCGAGCCCTGCCATGACGCGCCGACGCTCGAATCACGCAAATGTTTCTTATTTTTCGGCGAAATCTCATTGCATGCCAGCTTTCTTTCTTACACCGAATTAATTTGCAACAAAAACGCCAAAAACCGTCTAGACATTACTCAGCCCCAGCGATACTGACCCGCAACATTTTTTTGGAGGGAGAACGCGTGTCCTCCTCCCTTTCCCTTTCCGCCCATCATTTGCGTTCTCATCGGTCACACCATTCGCCTCTTTCTTTTAGGCGCCCATTCGTTCTTTGCTTTTCAAGTAAATTCAACTTAATTTTCCAGTGCTTCTCGTGACGCACAAACAACGAAATATGGTTTTTTTCAGATCTCGCACTATGATCGCTATTGTAGGAGTATACCACAAGTACGATTTCATCATGGTGCCGCCTGCGCCGTCTACTTCGATCTCGGATTCCATAGCTAGAGTGTGAACCAAACAGGTAAGAACTATACTATTTAGGGCATTGACAGGAGACATATTCTTTGATTTTTAAATAGAATTGCCCGGCAAATGGATGGCTCAGATTACTGACAAGTGGCAGGACGTCGACGAGCAGTCGGACACGGCCCATGTTCTGTTTCCGTTGACTTCGATCGCCAATGAAGTTGTCTGCAAGGATTGCACTATCGAAGATTAGTACATTGACTATTTGTTCGAGTGTCACACCGCCTACGGGGAGGACTTGTACAGGGTGGGGAATAAATATAGCGCCCAAACTTCGCGTCAGCGCTGGCGCCTACAGAACCATGTTATTTTTTCCATTCATCACTTCATTTTTGACCGTTTTTCTGAGTTGCAGACAATTCTCTTAAAATTGAGAGAAATGGTGGCTCCGTCATCGCCTAGGTCCGTAATTATGGGGTTCATAAAGATAGGAATGCGATCGTCTAAAATGGTTAGGAAGCTCGGCGTCGGAAGATTGTTTGTTATTATGACTTCCCGATGTTTCTGACACCTCGGAACATTGAAAGACAAGTAGAGAAGTGGCCCCCGGTCCCAGTGACAACTCCCAAGATGGTCATAGCGGTTAGAGCAAAAATCAGTAGAAACCCGGAGAGAAGCACGTAGAAAATGTCGTCAGAGTTCCGTATGAGCTTAAAATCTATGTAAACTACAGGGTGGAGAATAAATATAGCGCCCAATTCAAAATGTCGTAACAAGTTCAAATCGCAAGATTTTTTTTCTGTAAATCTACTAAAAGCTCTATTAAACAATAATGAAAAGAATGGCATTTGAAGTTTTTGCCGATTGCACCTTTCTATTCGTTGTCAGCCGTCAGTCTCCTCGGATACGAGTCAGCGGTGGCACGGCGGTAGTTGACGTAAAGATCGTGTCATGGCTTCCGTAGTTCAACTTTCCGGACTCCCTATTTCGGTTAATTGTGAATGGATACATACTAGGCAAACCACCCAAACTCGGAGAAGTTCATAGAAATAATATCCGACTTGAAATCTAGTCCTTTTTCTTAAATAATAAAAATTGGGAAATTGGCTTTGCGCCACTGTTAGGTGGTTTTAGCTCGATAAGCAGGTGTACCGTCTTGCTGGAAGACCCTATCTTGTTTTCCGTAATCAACTAGATCCAAGACAGTTTCTTCGACCCGAGAATCTTACTAGAGTGGCATTTACGGTTGATTTTCGCTCCAATCTCAGTGCTGTTTTGCCATTGGCGGAAATGCTCCAAAGAACCATTACTGAAGCCGGATAAAAATTTTTAAAAACTATTTTTCCATTCCGACGGACAGTCTCAATGTCCCCTGAGATGATCTTGTTGTTGTGATCATCATTGTCGATACCAGCAGCGTGTAGCCACTCATCTCCGATCAGAGTCTGCAAGAGCGTGCCTTGCCGCGTGCCGCCAACGGGACTTCCGGCTTTCTTGAAGCGAAAGTCCTTGTTATTGAACGATCCTTTTGAATACAATAAGGAATCATATTTAGTTCCTGTCTGACAATAGTTTACATAGATTTTAAGCTCATACGGAACTCTGACGACATTTTCTACGTGCTTCTCTCCTGGTTTCTACGATTTTTGCTCTTACCGATATGACCATCTTGGGAGTTGTCACTGGGCACTTCTCTACTTGTCTTCCAATGTTCCGAGGTGTCAGAAACATCGGGAAGTCATATTAACAAACAATCTTCCGACACCGAGCATCCTAACTATCTTAGACTATCGCTTTCCTATCTTTGTTAACCCCATAATTACGGACCTAGGCGATGACGGAGCCACCATTTCTCTCAATATTAAGAGAATTGTCTGCAACTTAGACAAATGGTCAAAAATGAAGTGATGAATGGAAAAAATAACATCAGCGGCCATCCCATTTGTTCTGTAGTTTGGACGCTATATTTATTCCCCACCCTGTATTGTCAGACAGGAACTAAATATGATTCCTTATCGTATTCAAAAGGATCGTTCCATAACAATGACTTTCGCTTCAAGAAAGCCGGAAGTCCCGTTGGCGGCACGCGGTAAGGCACGCGCCTGCAGACTCTGATCGGAGATGAGTGGCTACACGCTGCTGGTATCGACAATGATGATCACAACAACAAGATCATCTCAGGGGACATTGGGACTGTCCGTCGGAATGGAAAAATAATTTTTAAAATTTTTTATCCGGCTTCAGTAATGGTTCTTTGGAGCATTTCCGCCAATGGCAAAACAGCACTGATATTGGGGCGAAAATCAACCGTAAATGCTACTCTAGTAAGATTCTCGAGTCGAAGGAACTGTCTTGGATCTAGTTGATTACGGAAAACAAGATAGGGTCTTCCAGCAAGACGGTACACCTGCTCATCGAGCCAAACCCACCTAACAGTGTCGCAAAGCCAATTTCGCAAGTTTTATCATTTAAGGAGAACGACTAGATTTCAAGTCGGATATGATTTCTATGAACTTCTCCGAGTTTGGGTGGTTTGCCTACTATGTATCCATTCACAATTAACCAAAATAGGGAGTCCGGAAAGTTGAACTACGGAAGCCATGACACGATCTCTACGTCAACTACCCCCGCGTCGCCGCTGACTCGTATCCGAGGAGACTGACGGCTGCCAACGAAGAGAAAGGTGCAATCGGCAAAAACTGCTAATGCCATTCTTTTTGTTATTGTTTAATAGAGCTTTTAGTAGATTTACAGAAAAAAATCTTGCAATTTGAACTTTTTACGACATTTTGAATTGGGCGCTATATTTATTCCCCACCCTGTATATGGTCCCTTCAACATTACTTCTCCCAATATTAATTTATTTGTAAGTAATTATACTCGTATTTGATGACCGGGTGCTATTTTCTCTCTCCTTATGATCTCGTTTTATTTCTATCGACCTGTGACTGTCAGCACGAATTGTTTCCCGTTCGGAAAAAGAGCCCTAGAAAGTGACTACTGAAAATCGAGCACAAATATCTGTTCAGATTCTATGTTCAAAAACGAAACGATTTCAGCTGAGGGATTTCGCTAGACGAATATTTTCGATAGGAATAGCATTAACGCCAGCATACTAGGAAAAGTGTTGTGTCGATCCAAAACTGTATGAAGCACAAAAGAAGCAAATGACAGCTTCTCGTTTTATATTTCTTTAGACTTTCACTTGAAAAAAATTTATTGAAGGCAAAGATTTTTGCAAGATTATGAGAGAGTTTAGTATTCGAAATTTGCACTTTTTCTTGTTCTTCCGATTCAGAACAGCTTCACTCACTTCTTTGTATCTAGACGAATTTAACTCCAGTTGGGTGATCCGCGGATGGCCTCCTTACTGGCCAGCACGAAACACCAATCTTTCGTACGACTTAGGGCAACGTTTATTCGGTGGCGATCATCGATAATCGCGGATTCGCCGTCCGTACGCGTTAATAAGACAAAGACCGTGTCAAATTCCCGGCCATGACTGCTATCCACGGTACCAATAAACATAATTTTTTTTTCTCCGTGGGATGCCAGTGCTCTTGCCATAATATCTTTTTGCGCACTGTAAAACGTAAGGACAGAGCCGCCGTAGTTTGAGGAAAATATGATGTCAACATACTTTTTGACCACATCGACTTCTTTTTCGTTGACGACGCCGCTCAACTCGGTTTCCCGGTGCGATTTTTTCGGTATTTCTACCCACAGAATGGACGAAGGGGCTGGCATCTTCCAAACTTTCGACGGCAGGCGTTGTCCGTGCTCGTATAGTATGCGATCATTCAAACTAAGAAAATAAGAGGAACAGAATCTCTCCACATTTGAAAAATCTGCACAACTTGGCTTAAATGGGCAGCCTGTATCAAGCATTGAAAAATTTGTTTCACACCTGTTAAAGGGGCAAACTCCGAATCGCAAGTGTTTTTTTTTTGCCGTCTCCGTGGTCCGAAGACCAAGGACAGCAATAAGATCTCCGTGGTTCAAAGACTTCTTCCATCTGGTTGCCAAAAAGTTGACAGACCACAGTGTAAGAGTTCTATCTCTTCTGCCCATATCAATACACTGGCACAAATAAAATAACACGACTAACTGCCTATTCTTTGATTATTTACAAAAGCATTCTAGACAAAATGTCAGTCTGAATCATTAACAATTTAGTGTTGAAATCGTTTTGACCACTGACACTGCAGAAACAATTAGGCAGCAGAAATTCGTTCACTCTCGCTCTCGAGAAAGCGCGCCAGTGGGGTGAGAGACAATGATCATTCCCCTTGCGCGTATCCGAAAGAAGCAGGCGCCTTTTTTACTATGGGGGTGGTTGGCTGATTTGCGTGAGGTTCACGTTTATTTCTACACACGTTTACATCTACACATATGAACTATTTTTAAAGGGCGGAAGACTGAAGGCGGAATTAAAATTTTTGTCAAACTCAAAAGGAATGTATTTCAACTGCTTTCACCAGTTTTCTTGGAACTAGGGGAGAATTGAAGGTGAACGGCAGATCGGGAGAAGGCATCACATGGATGAAAAGCTAAAAATATAAGGGCTCTATCCTGGATGAGCGGTACTTTGGAGGAATCAGGGGTACCAAGAAGGAATGAATGGTACCATGGGGGAATCAGTGGTACTATGGCGGAACGCGTAAAAACTATTTTCAGCCGTTGGTACCGCTCATTCAGTCGTTGGTCCCCTCATTCCGCCATGATACCGTCCATTCCGCCATAGTACCACTGATTCCCCCATGGTACCGTTCATTCCTTCTTGATACCGCTGATTCCTCTAAAGTACCGCTCATCCAGGATAGAGCCAAGATAAGTAAGTCTGAACGAATGAATGCTCGATCCTGTGTTCTTCACACCGTAATAACTGAGTCACCCTTTTTTACAAGTTTTGTGTGTATGATGGGAATTTAGCAAGCAATTAGATATAGGTATCCATTATTACAACTTACACGCAATATCCACAAAATCCACGATTAAGATCCCTTGCGATGAAAATACATAAATCCAAATCTTATATACATCATCGTCATTAACATTCACTGCGCATAACACACCTGCATCTTAATATGAAAAAGAAGTTGATCACTTGGAAGGAAAGAACCAAAGAACCGATGAGCAACATCACTAAATAAGCTGAGCTTTGATGTTTTAAAGCATCTCTGCGGAGAACTGAACATTATGAAGTATTTACAATTTAATTTTTCTCTTTTGTCTTGGAGATTCCACCAAAGGATCTTTTGTACTTTGAAATTATCAGATATTCCAGTCACCAACCGATGAAAGCATTTTTTAGGCATTCATTCTCTCGAACTCAGCGATATTATGTTTTCTTGGGCGGTTCAAACTACACACTTGCTGTGTATCAGTCCATCGAAACAATCAATCGGTGATGCAATAAGAAATGGATTGAATTTGGATTGAATCTAGAGATGGGCGACGTTTTCTTTCTTTCTTTCTTTCTTTCTTCTCAAACATCAAACATTTTTCTTGTTCCGGCTGAGAATTCTCACGTCGCATTACTATTATTTCAACTATTCTTAATTTGCAGATGTTTCGGCTTTCACAACTGTTGCTTCAACTTTTGAACCGCCTGGCATTTCCACAATTTGAACTTTTACAATTGTTTCATTCCGTTATTCAGAATCGAGCCTTTTACATTGTTGGGCTGAGTGCAGTTTCACAACGTCATCTCTTCTCTTGCCCTCCTACACATTTTTCGTTCAAAAATTGTTCCGCCTAGAATTCAAAGAACACACAAGGCAGCCATGTGTGACGCGTGCAAGTGACAGTTAATTATCCAGTCACTTAATGACATTTCTCTTTCATTGCGCATCGTTCTTTATCCTGAAATAGGTTTTTTTTTTCCATTCATTTCTTTGCGTTAGAAATTAATCTCTGATTTCTTTCTCCTTCCCGGCAAATCACAAGCGAATTTCAATTCAATTCACTCTTGTCAATAAAGAACGCGTCGGAGAGAGAGAGAGAGTGAGCGAGAAAAAACACCATAGAAAATGTCACCGGTCGGCGGGGGCTCTTCTTTTCTCTCTTTTTTTAAAGCAGTCTATAACCAGGAAGTAAAATAGGTTGTGTGCCTCGTCAAGCGCGAGAGAAACGCGTCGTCACATAGAGACGGCAACACGGCAAATCGAGAGGTGGGCAGAGAGGCCAGAGAGCGCGTGCGCCAAGCCAAGCCATTTCATTTTGAAAACGAAAACGAAAACGGAGAGACGTTGGTCTGTCGGTCCCTCTCACAGAGAAAAAATAAAAAAGAGAGAGAGAGAGTGCGGGAGAAACGGCTGGCTTTTCTTCTCTATCTCTCGCTTTGCCGATTGGCTGACTGCAGGCATTCACATGGCGTCGCGGTTGCGTTGCGGCGTCCTCCTTCGTGTGGTTGTTTGTGTCTCTCTTTTTGAGAATAAGAAGCAATAGAAGAAAAAGCTCTAAAAAATGGGAGATGAAAAAGAAGCTTGAGTGTGGTGCGCGACGAGTAATGATAGGCAGTACTGGTAAGTTGGTTCGCGTTGCTCTTTCGTACGCACCTTCTCTCGCTTTGATCAAATATTTGTCTCTCTTTTCTCGTTTCTCCGTCTTCTCTCTTCCGTTCTCTTTTTCTCTTTTTTCTGACTTCCCTGCCTCTTTTCACAATGGTCCTGACCTCTTTGTGTACTTGTCATTCATTCATCTCATCCTTTCTCTTTTTTCTTTAAATTTTTGAATGACTTACTTGAACATGTCAGAATCGTAAAGTGGAATCCTTTTATGTTTTTGTGCCACTTGCAATTGTTGTTCACAAAAACCAATTGAAATTGATTATTTTGATGTCTGATCCACAAAGCCAAATGTTTTTTACTTCACCCATTTTGTGCGCACTGTTGTTCTTTTTTTCGATGTTTTTTGTTCTGATCTATGGTTTTAACAATATTCTTTCTTCCTTATCCTATATATTCGTTGATATTCCCACTTCATATTCTATAACTATAGTCTCTTTTCACTTTTTCTAGCTCATTTCTCATTCAACTTGAATTTTTATTTTCCAGCAATGGCAACAGTTGCCCCAAAGGGAAACTGCCTTGTCGCTCGGGCGATTCCTTCGGAAAATCCGTCGGCCGATCAGCTCAGCGGTCTGTTTGGTAAACTGTCGGTCACTGGCGACGAGAATCAGCAGAGTGTCAATAAAGTTAGTCTGAATTGAAAAGAAAATTATGTGATCGTGTTTACAGTTCGAAGCTCAGCATACTGTCACACCGGCCGACTTCCGTACTATTCAAAACATCCGTTCTTCTGCGTTGGCCGGAAAAACAAAGACTTCGAAATTTCAGCTGGATGGTGTGAAGCTTTTTGCTGATTTGACTCCAAACAGCAAATCTTCAAAGGTAACTAGAAATGTGTTTCTGTTTCCGTTTCTGTTCCTCATTCTGTTCCTATCTCACTTTAACTATATTTAAACGTCATTGTTAATATTACTCATTCATATCCATCAAATTATTCATAGAAGAACCCATTCAAGTTCTATGAAATACGCCCGCTGGCACCTGAGAATACATTCCTAATAGCCGAGGTTGCTCAAAACCACGTTTTTGCATTTCAGAAGACCGAGAAAGAAAAGGCGGAAGCCAGAAAAGTGGGAGAACAAAACGAGGGCAAAAAAAACGACGACAAAGAGCAGGAGAAAGAAAAAGGGAAGCCAGAGGAGGAGCAGGATGAGAATGAGAAAGATGGGGCTCTCCTTGGAAGAGGACCAGTGCACAATGTTCGTGTTGCGACTGCTCATCACCCATATTCTAGAGGTAAATGACGAGTGCCATTAATCGCATGGCCATAGCAATACTTCAACTTTTAGGTCAAATTCCATATGGAATCGCCGCCCAGACCGCCATCACCGACCTTTCAGCATTCACTGGATACGGTAGCGGCTATGAATGCGGAAGCACTTGGTCGCTTAGCCCAGACACCACGATTGGGTACGAAATTAATTGGCTTGCCCTTCCCTCCTCTTCTTTCCTCTTTCCTCGCTCTCCTTTCTTTTGTTTGAAACGGTAGATCAAGTCGAATAGGTGGTAGCGTGTTTTATGTGGAGGGAGAACCAAACAACAGAACAAGAAAGAAGAACTTTGATAGCAGTTTTTGATCCTTTCAGGTCTATCTCCGCGTCCACGACTCCTGACACTGTTCTATCGTCCGACGGCTATGGATCCGCGTCGCCGCCGCAGCACAGCCCAAAAGATCCGCTTCAGAGTCCCTTTTCGGAAATCTCGTCGACTGGTCAGTTGTGACAGTACAAACGTGCGCGCGACTAAACTACGTACGAACGGTACCCCGCGTAAGGGGTGAAGGGGTGTCCGTACCGTTCGTCCGGTAGGAATTATTAGTGTTGATCGCTGTTTTGATGATCTCCTATCCCTGGAAAACCCAGCCGGGGGTTATGAAACACATTTATAATTGTCTTTGCAACATTTTCCAGCACTCGCGCACTTAAAAGTATATAAATACTTTTTTTCTTAACTCTAATATTCTTATAGATACCTCCCGCGTGTTAACCCCGGAAAACAACGAGTTGCCGGAGAGTCTGCAGGATTTCATTCTGCAGTACTCGAACCAGTACACCAAAGAGGAAAGTGTCAAGGCTCGGCCGCCGTCTGCCGACTCGGGAGTTTCCTCCCCGATGTCCGCTCGTTCGGCACCATACAATTCACCACATGTGCCACAGGGAACTAACAGGTGAGAAATGCGTTCAAAATGTGTTTTGTTTCGATGGTCGTTCTCTTTCTTATCTGTTCCTTGCTCTACGATTCGATTCGCAACTGATTGACAATTCGCAACTTGAACAATGTTTTCTTGAAACTGGATAAATTGCAATAGCGATGATTTGATATCTACGGTTTCACAGGAAAAAAAAACGCTTTATTGAAATCATTTATGTTTTTAGTTCGGTGATGTTTAGTCATTTTGAGACATTACGAACGCCATTTTTAGAACATTAACGTTTCACAACTACTTCTCTAGTCCTCTACACCGTTTGAAACTGGACTATTGGTAACTGGAACAGATTTCGGTCACAAAAACAAGTGATATGAGTTGTTTCGATTAAAGCAAGTAAAAAATTCCGCAGGGATTGTTGGCTGCAAACAATCCCTGCGGAACGTGTACCAGTTGCAGAACGTCTAACTTTAAAGTGCTAGAAATCAATTGACTGTTTGAGGCTATCAAATTAAAACAATTAGCAACCAAAGCTACAGGCTAGTTTGTTGCGTAACGTCTTATTTAGTTGCAAAATGTCCAAGCTCAAAGCCACCAAAACCAAACTCTTTTTGAACATACTTTGAAGTCCACCTACTCGCAAACTCACGATTATGACGTATTAGTGCTAAGAAGATGAATACAGTATCCGAAGATGATATGATATCCCCGCGGAAGTACACGCTCCTAGTCGATCCCTTTCGTCTTGTGTCCAGTTGTTGTGCGAAGAAAGAGATAAGATTGAAATTAGCGGCTTGGCTTTGGTTGTCACTGTCTTCGCCAGCAAAACAGTGTGTTTCTTCTCGAGGTCGAATCAAACCGTGTTATTTCTGCACTAGGCGCCCGTGGGCGCGATTTACTTCCTGGTTGTATTCAGTTCCCTATCCGTTTCCCTTTTTCTCTGTCTACCTGAGAAAAAAATTCGAAGAAAGTGGCAGGTAGACACGTCTCATGCTGGTTCTATGATAAGTGAATGGTATCAGAAAAGGTATTTTTGTTTTGTGTTCAATTTATGATTTGTTTGCGTTCCGCACGTTTCCCATTCTACAGTATACTCTTGTCTTCAAGAAACATCTTTACCTGATAGCATAGAGACATAGAGACGTTGGGAGTGAGAACCGGTACTTGCCTTTTTCTGAAGAGAAAGAGAAAGAAAGAGAGAGAATGGTGAACACCGTAGTTTCGATACCTTATCATCGTGTCTCATAAAGGGGGGTACAAGACAGAACCATCGGTTTTATTTCCTCATCTTGATCAAAAAACTATTACATTTTTTGCAGTGGGCCCACAACGCCATCGTTCAACCAAACACGACTCAGCCCACGCGGGGAGCCAAACGCCAAGCAACGTCTATATGCAAACATCAAGGAAGCGGATTTGGCCACCGGTTTTCACTGGGCCTGTACTACTGTAATATAGAATATTTATCAGAGGAGTGAGAGGGGAAGGTTTTGGAAAGATTTAATTTACGCAGTTTCTTGCGTTGAACGAGTCGCGACAGCTCAAAATCAGGTCATTTTAGTTCCGTGTTTTTCAAGGTTACATTTTCTCAAAAGTACACATTGAGAACATCTAGAAAAACTGTCCACTCAAAACACCAAAAATCGTTCCGATGAGTAAAGACGAGGATCTTGCCCAGATTTTAAAATATTTCCGAATTTCCGGAAAAATAATTTCCCGATTTTTTCGGAAACAAAAATCGTTTCTGACATTTCCGGCTGACAATTTCCTCAGAAGCCTGGTAAGGCCCCTCTCCACTCCTTTCCTTTCTTCCATCATTCTCAACCGTTTATCTTTTCAGTGGAGAAATGTGCTCTCGAACCGCGATGCGGATGGCGACACCCCACTCCATATCGTGGCTGCTCACAATGATTTGGGAAAGATTTATGCGCTGTGCGAGACCCTTCGTAAAACAGCCGACGAGATGGATGACAACGTGTTCAGTATCAGCAACAACTTTGGCGAAACGCCGTTATATGTCGCCGTTCTGCAGAGAAACATTCCAGTAAGATCGAACCAATCGATGCGGATAATCATTCAAGTATTTAGGTGGTTGAATATCTGTTAGAGTTGGGTGCCTCGCCGAACTCTTATAGTACTCGCGCGGGCGGTGACTCGGCTCTTCACTTTGCAGCATCGCGTGGAATGATTGCAATGTGCGAGGTATATAATCTCTATAATCCTGGCCACTTTTTATTGATGTCATGCAATTCAGGTGCTTCTCGGGAAACGTGAAATCCGAGTGAATGCGACCAATGACGACGGGCTGACTCCTCTTCTCTGCGCGATAAAAATGCATGGAATGATGGATGAGCAAACCCAGCAAAAGATCGATAACACTCAAATAATTGCGATGCTCATGAAAGCTGGCGCGGATCCTTCCATTGCGGTACGGATCATTTAGTCGGAGAACAAAATAGTATTTGAAAGTTTTGCAGGAAACCTCAACTGGCAAGACGCTTGTCCATTATGCGGTCACCAAGATGGATGTGGAGTTGTATGATGTATAGTGTACTGTATCTGAACATTTTCACAGTGAATTTTTTACAGTACCTGAACACCCTTGTCAATGAGGACACTTTCACAGAGCTAGCAAATCTGTCGGACTTCAAGGGGGACACCGCCGTGGACCTTCTCAATGGCACTACTCGACCCGGGGACCCGGCGAATGCCACCCGCGAGAACCTCTACATTCGTCTCCTTGCTTCTGGGGCCATCGGGAACAAATCGAGATCTTAAACAATTTGAATCGTTTTATTTTTTGCACATTTTGACGTTGTTATGCCATACTTCTTCCTGCTCCTCCCTCCAATCCAATCAAAATGTTATTTTTTCCGACCCACTATTAGTTGTAGTTACACTTTTTCACATGGTTGATCTCGAAAGCAGTGAACGTTCTGTTCCTTTCTCTCGTCACTTTTTCTGCTAAAAAATGTATTTTTGGTCTTCCCCCTCCTCCTAAATTTGTTCTCTCATACCGAGTGGTTGTACCCGAAGAGAGTCCTACTTAGTTCCTTCTCTTACACATTCTAAATTTTACAATAGCTGCTGGTATGTTATGTCCATCTCATTCCTTCCCTTTTCAACGAAATTTCACCTGTCCATACCCTTTACCACTCAACGTCAAAAAAAGTTTCTCTTTTTGTATAATATTTATTTTCAAAACAAAACTTAATAATCTGTTACATAACTTGGAAAAAATGAATAAACCGATATTGTCGTCTTGAAAATTGCTTTTTGTAAGTTGTAAGTAGCATCAATTTGCAGAATATTGTGTGAAACCCTTGTCTCGTCTTTCATTTGACTCTCTTCTTGCGCAACATGTCTCCTTCTCGTTTCCCTCTTCTCTTTTTGCCCTCATGTGAGGAGAGGCACGAGGGGGGACAGAGGATACACTGGCCGCCGACCGTAGACGGGTCACGTGTGCACACACACATACACACGCATATGTCTGCCGTTCAAACTGTCAAAACACCAGATTATACGCGCATATTTAGTATTTAATTCTTACGAATTGTTTCTAGCCTTTTGTTCGATTAATGTTTCAGCGTCTTCAGAGGACAAGTTATTGTTAAGGACATTTTTGATGAATCACACATTTTTCCATTGAGAGAAGCGACTAAAAAACCAAAACATTTATCGATTATCACGCGCTCTTCGCTTTTTGCGGAACAAATTGCTTTCTGGTGAACGCCAGCTGTCGCACACTTGCGTACGAGCATTCACGTGACTTTTCTCCCATTTTATCACTAAAAAATGATCAAATTCTCTGGAAAACAATGGGAAATTGGATTTTTTCTTGACTTCTATCGCTCTGGCCCTATTTTCATCAAAACGTTCTTTTTTCTCCGGAAAATTCATGTGAGTTTATCGAAAAAGTAATTTTTCAGGGAAATGCTGTGCATTGACCTATCGGAGCTAGGTCTCGCGCCATTGCCCGTGCTCATAGGAATACTCTTCTTTGGTCAGTCGTGTAAGTCTCTATTTTCATTAAATTTTAACTAGAAAAATAATTTTTGCAGTCCTTGTGTACGTGATTGCCGTTATCAAACAAGATGTCGACCCAGTGCTCCCCTATCTCTCCTCCGCCGCCGATCACCGCCCTCAATCGTGTATCTTCTCGATTGGAACCAACATCAGCAGTGTTCTTCTGGCATTTCTAGTCTATGTTCGGTAAGAGCATGCACCTTTTATTTAATTTCATGGTAATCCCATTAAGATACAACCAAATCAAAGGAATACTCGAACAAGCCGGACATGATGGAATTGTTATGACCGTTAACTACCGCTCGAAATGGTTCGGATACGCGTCCGCGTTCGGAATGTTCATTGTGGCTAATGTTCAGGTCAGCCAGCGGAAACATATCCGCACATATCTAAGAAACTTGTGAAATTTCAGGAAACCGCAATTATTCCAGTGCACATGACCGCAGCTGTGGTGGCTTTCGGTGGATTTAACGTGTTCATGATCCTCCAGTGCTACGTCACCCACAGGCTCACTCCGGACATCACTCTCCATCAAGTATTGTACTACCGCCTCGTTTGCACGGGAATTGGATGCGCCTCCTTCTTGATTGGTTAGTTTTGTCTGGTCGACCTCAATCCGTTACTGTTCGGACTGTTTGGGCCTAGTCCTTCAGCTTCATTCGTGATTAGAAAATGATCAGTTTTGACAAGTGTTCCTGAATCGGCAAAAGTGCTCCGTGATCAACAAAATTATTGAAAATCGGTCAAATTCCACAGACATGACCGAGTTGCAAGCTGTCGCTTGTTTTCCGAACTTCTGTCCACAGTTTCTGTCCGTTTTCCGACCCGATTTCTTGCACGGACATTACAAAACGATTGAGCCAATTATCTGACTGACTGCCAGACGGGCCGGGACGAGGGAAACTATCATTTTTTTTGGTCGGAATGTATTGTTTGTCTCTAGTGCCTAGAATGTGACACCAATGCACGTCCCTATTATTCTTCCAGCTTTTCATTAAATATTCAGCGATCATATATGGAATTCTCGCCTCGCACACCTACCACCAGACCTATCCGGACCTCCCGACGCCGCGCCCATGGAACCGTCACTTTTATCAGCCGGTCAGTTCGGATTCCGGAAAACAAATTTCAATAACATTTTCATCTTTTAGGGTTACGGCTACCACCAGGTCTCGGCAGCTGCGGAGTGGATTTGCGCCATTTCCCAAATCTTCTTCATGCAATCGTTCGGGCCGGAATTCGAAGAAATTTTCATGGAATACGGCCTGAGATCGGAGTACATCTACCGAAATACGTACGAGTACGACTGGTTTTTCAGCAATAACCGCCGCTAACATGATGAGCTAAAAAAGTCCCCCCTCCCCCCCCTCCGGTTGAAAAAACAAAAACTTTGAGCAAATCTCGGTTATACAAAATGTATTTTCTTGTATTTTCATCTCAATCATCTCCTTTCTGTCATTTTTCTGTGAACGTACGGTAACAAACCTCTAATTGCGTAATTCTGTCAGCATTCTGTCCTAATCAACATCTATCATACATAATATTCCATAATTTGGGTCCATTTCGAGTATTTCTCACATTCTTATTTCGTTTTTTTTCTTGGAAGTCAATAAAATTGTTCATTTTTTTGTGATTGGGAACAATAACATAGAATCAGGACGGAAAGGAACAATTACATGAAATAGGGGGAAGACGCCTGGTCCAGAAAAAAACATTGCACAATGGTGAGACTATTATGGCAAAAACAGAGATTTTTTCAGGAGGGGAACCTTTTTGAACAACTGGAATTTATGGCAACTTCAATTTTCCAAAATCACAAAAGACCGACATATAGAACAGGGAATGAGATTCGAGAAAATATAAGATAATATTATTGTATAACAGCAGTATCTTTGTAGCGTGTTCCCAATCAGTAGGGCAGAGAAACAAGGGGGTTTTTGGGACGGATAATAATAAAAAAAAACATTGTTTGTGAGATCGATGACGGAATTGTAGAAACCCAGACTGGAGTTGAGAGAGATGGAAGTGAAAAATGGGGTAAATGAGGTGACAATAAACTATTTGGAACAAAAGTTGAAATAATTATGGCTTGTTGTTTTGTTGGTTTCCTGAAAAGTACAAGTTCATACATCATGTTTCCGAGGTGAATAACAAACTAACCGAAATTTCAAATGCCTTTGACATTTTCCCATCCGTGGGCACCCGGACCAAACTTGTACACCAATTTCTTCGGGTAAAGACCAGTTTTTGGAACTGGCACAAGTATTTGTTTCTCGTAATACGTTCTGAAAACGGCACACGTTTTTCGGAGGCAGTTTCTTCGGACTTCAATTACCTCATCGCTCTGCTCAACTTCTCATACGTCATTTTTTCGTTGTTTTTCCTGGCTCCCCAAAGTCTTGCCAACTTTTCCGACTCGACAATCCGGAAAACACCTTCTATTGGATCTTCCCATCTAAATATTTCGACCGTAAATTTTGTGATTACGGATAAACTTTCGACAAACCTGACAACAGATGGACACGTGGATGGATCCTTGAGAGCGTCTCTGATAAATTCCCAAAGTTTATTGCCTTTCGTGTGCTGCGACCGTTTCCGTGGCTTTCCGTCCTTGTTCTTCTTAATTTTCAAGTCGCAGCTTGCCGTTGATCGCTCTTCTGGCACTGAAAATGTAATTTGATTTTGCTCACTTTTTTACACGGCTGGTTGCTGATGTTTAAAGGACACTATTACAAAAACGAGTAATCTTTGAAAGGGCATGTCTGTCTACCAAAGCTTAAAGACATCAAGAAAATGTGCAGCGAAGCACACTAACCTTCATACTCAGACGTGATTGAGCAGGAGTACTTGAGCAATGGGGAGATCTTTGGTTGCTGTTGCTGTAGCTGATTTGACAGTAGCCCAGGAGACGTTGGGCTTAGGCCGTTATGCAAGTAGTTGTTAACATTGATCGGGCTCAGACCACTGGTTAACCCAGCCGCCAGACTTGAGGCCAGCGATTGATTCAAACTCTGCACAGCATTTGCTGTTTGTTGGGGCGTCAGAATGGAGGTGTTGAAAGACTGGGCATGAGAAAGAGCTTGGGTTAGACTGTTCAGATTATTGAGCTGATGTTGCATCACAGGAAGTTGCGGAAGTTGGGATAAGGATGGAACGGGGACCTGAGGCGCAATAGTCGATGTGATATTGCTGATCATTGGCTGAAGTCCCAGCGAAGTCATGTCCACTATGGTTTGCTGTGGCGCCGAAACCGACGGGGCAGACGCAACTGGAACTTGGACACTGACACTGGCGCAGGCGCTCGTGGTCGGAATTTCGTCATCGACAAATGTTCCAATTACGGTGTCCAACGTGGTGTCTTCTAGAAAAAATGGGGATATGTGGATAAATAACTAATGTTTTGATGTGAAGTGTGACGATCAACGTTCAGTGATCAGATCAGCCAAAAGTGCTTCTTTTGTTCTTCTGTTTCGTGCCAGTTGAAAAAGAAGAAAAATAAAAAGAGGAAGCTAAAAACACACCTGAATTCTCCAAAGTTTTGCGAAACTCCGAGAAGATCAAATTTCCGAACACAGGATCTCGCTCAATGAAGCACCGTTCACTCATTGTTAGCATTTCTTGGCCAGACAGCGTTGAGAACTGGAAAATTTGATAAACTAGTGGTGAAAAATGTTGTGAGCTTTTGCCCAACGGAAACTAGATGATCAACGAGCACGTTAATCCAGCTGATATCATTACGGCTGTGTTGGAGCCGCGACCACAAGCCAGCTGATTTTCAAAAAATAGAGAAAAAGAGAGTGGCGAGGAGAACAGAAACGTACTCGTTAGTTAGTAGCTTAATAATTATGCATCGTGTGCTCACTGGGGGTGGGCTACACCGATAACATTCAGTTCATCTTTCCGGTTGGAGCAATCTTTGTTTTTTAGATGGGCTCTCGTGTCAGTGAGCTATGAACCCGAAAAACCAAGAGCTTGAAGCTCAGAACTCACTTTATGCATATTCATCTCTTCAAAAGGAATATTATGCCTCTTTGCAACGTCCAACATCCACGCCACCACGTCATCCACTAGCCACTCGTTGGGGTCCTTCACCCGGAATCGAGCCAAGTCAACTCTGGAATTGAAAATTTAATCTATTATCAAGTGTGCTCTAAAAACTTCTAAAAATAGTGGTTTTGACTCTAATGTTTAATCTTTCCGATGTTTTCAGGATGTTCTAACTCATCTCAATAAAAAACGGAAGGAAACTAAAAATTATGTGTAAAATCTGTGAGTGTCATTCGATTTAGCAGTTCTGGTGACCAGAAATAAAAAAGGCATTCGTTGACCAAATGCCATTAAACTATCCATCATTTCTGAACTATCGACACTAAAAGCTGTCTCCATGTGATTTTGGACTGTTGTTTATAACAATCCGAGCAATTCTGGTACGCAATGCTCTAAAAAAATGCCAGTGTTCCTCACTTTTCATTGTTGGGAATAGGTTTGAAAGATGTGGCATTCATGTGTTGGCGTAGGACGTTATTGTTCGAGATTTCCTGTAGCAATCGGGGTAGGCTGATCAGTTGATCGTAAATAGTGGCCGTCGAGGTCGTGAGTGCGTTGACCGAATGTGCCGGTGACACCGCGTAGAATGCTGACGGTCCGGATGAGGTGAACCCACTGAAATTACTAATATTGATATGATTTCGGGAAGGGGGAGAGTGGTTGAAAGCCAAGAAGAATGACGTACCCGGTGAATGTTGTCTGATGAGGTGGGGCCAGGGCGGCTTTCCAGTGGGAAGCGCGCTGTGGCGCAGGAGCGAAGATCGGCGCGGGACACGCCAGTGCCGGGCTATCCTAAAAAGATAAAAGATTGTGAATGTACAACAAAAGGGCGAAACAGTGAAAAGCATGAAGAGGAGCATGCAAAGAGAGAGGGAGAGTGAGAGAGGGAACAAATTGATGCTAATTATTTATGGTCTTGTGTGTTCCACTATACAAGACCAAACACCCCGCACTGCTTGGCTTGGCTGGACACATATTTTTCAAGAAAACGGAAAAGGGCTGAGGAAAAGAAGGGGCAGCTGAGCTTCGAGCTAGACGAACAAAAAAAGTACTTTTCTTGCTGTCCTAGCACAAAATTCAACGTGTTTTGTTGTGAAAATGAACAGGACCGCAAATGATAGAACGTGGAGGGAGACAGAACAATCGAATGTCATGTTCGATGGGAAAGAAGAGAAAAGAAGAGACGTTTATTTTGATCAATATTTTTTTCCATTGTTACATAGTGACATTACATTGTGGCAGCGTCAGAATCGAAAGAAGAACTAACGAGGCTGGGCATTGATAAGAAGAACACAATTTGTGTTGTTTGGTTAAAGTTTACTCATAGTTACGGTCTTCTTGCCATCAAAATATTCTATTTTTAATTAGTTTGTTGATATCTAGTTATGTCGGGCGGTTTTAATAGACTAGTATGACATCTTGAGCCCCCTCCTTCTTCGTACGCGGCGGAAAAGAGAATATACACGTCGAGAGACATTTATGCATTCAAACATTGATAGAAAACGACGAAAAGGCAGACGAAAGAGTACATGCGAGAGATACTGGCCAGAGCATTTGTGTGGCGCCGGAAGAAGCATGCATTCTGAGACGTGCTTCAAGAATTCTTCGCCTAGCGTGTACATGCATTTTATTTTATTCTGTGGCGCAAGAGAGATGAGCGAGAAGATACATTTAGGTACTTGCTCATTATTTTACTTTTAATTCAAGTAGGTTGGTCGGAGCATCGCGCTTTTTTCAATTGTTCTAGAGTGTGAAAATGATGTTTAGCAAAAATATGACCAAAATCTTGATTTCTCAATTTTCAAATATTCAGAAAATACCAACCAGATCCGATAATCCTGCCATATTGTTCAAAACAGCGAAAATCACTAAGCTTATCAAAAATGATCGGTTCCGATGCAATTCGCAACACACTATTGACTTCTGCCGTTAATTTTTCCTCGTCACGTTTGCAACAACAGGGGCGACGGATGTACACTGCCCCCGAACAGGAAACAGATTTTCAATGAAGAAATGAAAGGGAAGAGAGGAGGTATATCAAGACTGATAGGAGATAGGCGATCTTCTCCATTTTTTCCGCAACACCTTTGTCATTTTTGTCCTGTTGATCTCATGCATTTCCTAATCTATGAAAGTTCCCTGTTTCCTCACATATCATAGCATTTCAGCAAAAGTTTTGATCTACCTGCCCGGTATAACCTAATCAGATCAAAAAAGACAATGTCAGCAGAGAGAAAACTGGAAAAATTTGTTGAAGGTATTCCATATGAGAAAAAATCGCGTGAAACAAACTTGAAACCGGAATTTTTTCAATGTCGGTCGTGTGTTTTGAAGGGGGTAAGAAGAGAGGAATACTCGCGCTCACCGGGTCTCCTTCCTCTGCCGATAATTCATGCCCCGTTTTCGCGGAAGGCGCGCAGCACTTATCGACTGATCGCATATCTGCACCCCACTGATTGGGCGGCAAAGATAACGATTTGATGGCCGAAAAGAGGAGGAGAAGGTGGAGAAGAAGAAGAAGAAGAAGAAGAAGAAGAAGAAGAAGAAGACTTCCTTGTTATTTGAGTTGTGTAACAGTAGCGGTACGGTAAATATGCAGCATTGTCTCTTGACTAACTAAAAGTTTGTTGAATATTTATGATCGGAGAAAGAGAAGGAAGAAGAACAAGAATAAAAATAAGAAAGCAGCGAGAATCAAGCAGGTTACGGAGATGTGAACAAAACTTTTCAATGTCAAGTTCATTTCATTGCTCAGTTTCAATACAATTAGTCAGGCGGAAAGGATTTGAGCAGAATATAAGATTAGCGTTGAGAATAGGAATCGTGTACTTTTTGTGACACAGACAAATTTGAAGTACATTGCTCGAAAAAGTGAACAAAATATTCATAGTCGTTCTCAGAGGTACTTGTTTTTGAAGATGTCTAAAAAGTTCAGAATTTTGAAGCATAGTTTTAAGTTCACTTGAAGAAAAATCACTAAGAACAAAAAAGATCAACACCAAAACGGTTCTCGCTTTTATTTTTCGTTTGACTGTTTCTTCGCGTTAAAAAAATTCTATTAGAAAGAAAAGAATACGACTTGCAGCGATGACGGTGAAAGTAAATAAGAAAAGTCGCGCAGGACGGGCCCAACTGACTGGTAACCGTGCGTTTTGAGGAGAGAGCCAAAGACGCAAACAGTCAAAAAGAGCACTGTCGGCTCGGTGGGGACGTGGTGGCCGTGAGGAAACAAACGGGAGAAATGATGGCAGACTCCTCTAGAGGCAGTCAGAACCAACCAAGAAAGTCAATATGGTCTTATGTTCTGTTTTCAATGAACTGATTTTGTGTTTTAGCTTGTTCTTTGCTGGATTCAAATCTTTCATAATCTCAAAATTGGCAACTCTGGTGAATCTCAACATACACAAAGTTGTAAAATTGCAGTTTAGTGCAGCTAGGATTCATTATCAGGAAGTGACCGGTAGAAGTTCAGGTTGAAACATCAAACAACGTTCGTCGTACCCCTATCAACAGCTGATTTTGAACCAGTTTTGCAAAAAATTAAATGCTAAACCAGAGACATTCATGAATTTATAAGCCCGTATGCAAACGAGACAGTTTTTTCAGTATTCAGTGAACAAACATCATGTAAGTGTAAGTGAAGAGCATGCCGACTCACTGATTTCGTTTGTTGCTGTGAATTCAAAGTATCCTCCAGCCCGTCGTCTTCTTTTTGTTTGATGTCGATCCGAGCTTCGTACTTTCGCATTACTTGATTTTTGTGGAAACGTTTATGGAGTTTAGATTAGTTTATTCTTCAAGTTCGTTGTGTTCATATCACGGGAAAACTGCTTCTGAAAGTGATATGAAAATTTCTGGCGATTAGCAAAGAAAAAGTGGAAAAGATTATTTTCTAGAGGAAGACAAGCGGGCGAGTGTTGAGCGAGTAAAATATAAGAAAAAAGATGAAGATGAAGCTGAAGTGAACTTTGTAATTATTCATGCTAATCTGCTGATCAGAAATCATCAAGACGAGTTGATGTATAAGGGATAGGACTAGGATATAGGAGGGACACGTCATCAGAAAAGGAAAACTCACGCACACATACTCGTTTTTCACCGAAAAACATTTTTTTGAGAACACATTTAGATCTGGAAAAACTTTCAAGAGATAATTGTCTAATATTTTGTTCACAAAAATCCATTTAGACAATTATGTACTAAAAAAATAACAAAAAAAGGTGGGGGGAAGTGACATGAATATGCATATGGAAATGCCGGAATATAATGAAGTTGGTGGGTTGGTGGTTGAGCCCCCCACCTAACAAAAAAATAACGGATTGTGTGTAGGTGGAAAGAGGAAAAGACTCATTTCTATTGTGCTCAACTCTCCGTTTCTCTCAAAATTGGCAACAATTTTTGATCGAATGGGAGAATGGATTGTAGGAGAGGGGGGAGGACAAGTGGAACTGCTCACCAAAAAACGTTGTGTAAAAAGGAAGGAGTCGGGAGTGTGACCGGCCACTGGAGTAACTTCTAGTTTTCTAATAAATAGAATCAGCTGCTGTTGTTGCTCGGGGGATAGGCAAGGGAGAAAGAAAAAAGAAGCGAGAAAGAGAGATGAAAAAAAGAGAGAAAAAGAGGAAGCGCTCGCACTTTCTTTCTCTCTCCCCAACTTCCTCTTTGCCCCCCGAGAGCTCGAGTCTGAGTCAGAAGGGGTTTGAGAGAAAGTACGTGAGGAGGCAGAAAAAAACGGAGAAACCTTTGGCTGGTCAGTCTTGCTGTAGCCTAGCTCTGGGAGCCATTCCTCAATTGGTTTGTCATTTCTGTTAATCTAGTCTTAGACTATTGCTCTCTGTGGAGTTGGTTGAAAGTTGAAAATTCTAGACTTTTTTGCTTAATGCTCAATGCTCAAAACCAAGTAACGCTTCTGGCTTAGGCCTAGACAGTTACATTGCCCAACAATCATCATTAGTTGGAAAGATGAACAGGAAGTAATCTTTGAAACGCTTGAACTTGAACTTTCCCGCCTCACAAAACGTGAATTGAATTGAACTAGACAACAAACAGACCCCCACTACTGGAAATTGGCCCTCGTCAGCAGGAGTGAGAGCGGGGGGGAAGAGGAAAGAAAAGGGAAGCGAAGGGCAAACCGATTCAATACCCGTTTGACATCAATTTTACACGCACTTTCACGCAACGCCCTCTCTCTCTCTCTCTCTCTGTGAAAGCGACGGGCAAGGTGGAATCCGTCGCGTCTCGATCCGACTCTCCGAAAGTTCGTGATCTAGGTGAAGAAGTGTTAGAGAGAAAAAGAAAGTGACCGACCAGACAATGCTTATCAACCCACATACCTCATGCTTAACAGGAATTATAATATGAAAATATTTGATACGGATCCTATACCGTTTTTGTAGAGATAAACTTCAAAAAAACGTTTTAGACAGAGAGCATGTTAATTGAATGCTGATGTTGTTTAATTGATGTAATCAAATCTTCTTTGTTTTATTCCCATCAGGTAACAGTTCGAGAAACATGTATAAATTATACAAACCGATATCACCTCTAAACATCTCATCAGTTCATTTTTGAAAAACAAAGTCACCTGAAACGGCTCTTCTGAGAAAAGTTATAGAGAACATGAGAGTGATTCATAGTTGCTCATGAAGTTTTAAGTCATGCGGAAAACTTATTAAGCCAAAGCTCAGACCACATCTGAAAAATTTCAGAGCAAATTGAGAGCTTTGGGTCTCGCATTCCATACTAAAAACGTGGAAATGGTATTGGAAGCTTTTTAGCCAAGAATTTTCTCTCTCGTACCAAACGGAAGAAAAACTGAGAAAAAAGTGAAAGCACTCAAATACTTTCTAAGAAGTTTGTCAGCTCCAGAGGTTATTCAGAGAACACAGATGGAGAAGTGGTGGTATCCTGAGGACAACGACAAAAAAAAAGAAAAAAGTGCTCACTCACGGAAATGCCCTGGTTCGATTTTTTATAGGCTTTTTCTGCGCATGTTCATGCATTCTATGGTGAGCAAGCATTCCGACGCAAGTACATAATAGCTATGAGGATAGGGACCGTCGCAATGTTCATTGAACTAGCTAATCTCCTAATAAGGATATTTTCAGAGGGAAAACAAAGCAATTCCATGGCAACTTATGTACTTGGAATTATTAAATTAGTCGTGTTTTGTCCGTTCATTCACCAGCTTTTTGGCTCGAAAACTGCCCAAATGTTTCAAATGTGCTCACTAATCTACTTCGCAAGTGTCCTGAGCAATCCTGGTCATCGCAGGAAGTTGCTTTGACGCAACTCTGCCATCTTCAATTTTCCTTGCTCTCAGCTCTTGGCTCTTGGCACTTGGCCCTCGGCTCTTGTCACTCAGATTCAGTTCAAAAATACGATGAAACCCGTAAACATGTATATATAATCTGCACATTATGATTTTTGATCAAGTCTGCATCAGATTAGACGAAAATTTCTCATACACCCCCCTTCCCCCTATCCTCATCCACCTCCGCTCGCGCGCGCGCAGTTTGATCGGACTGGATTTGATTTGTAATCCTGATATTCAGATTCGGACAAACACAATTCATAGAAATAATGATAATGATAGAAATGAAATCTTGTCGGAGACTTGGAAATGGGATTAAATTTGACATGCAATATCAATTTTTGTTTTGCAAAATAACGCAGTGACGTGAAAAAGTGGTTTTTTGCACCTGGCTCTCCAGGTAGAAAAATAAAAATGCTGGAAAGCACCAGAAATTAGTTTTGCAGGGCAGAAATAAGTGTTGCGGAAAAAAGTAGAGAGCAGCAGGAAGTGAGAACGAGATAAGAGAAAGTGATCTTCTTTTTTACGCAACACACTCTTCGCCCCTCGCACGCTTCCACTGATATGCGTAGCCCCAAGACCAACTCACTTGTGTAATGATGATGAGTGTGAAAACGAAATGAACGAATTTCTTCTTCGATTTTTGTCTGACTATATGAATGAATGAATCAATTAAACAAAGATCGAGTTCAAGATGTTTTCTCTTCCTATTTTTTCCGAAAATTTCGTAAATGTCTCCACAGCATCCCATTTTGGATGGGGATTATACACCGGACACGCAGACAGATTGGATGGATTCGGGAGGACTTTTTGCTAATATTGTATGCATAAATGTGATGCTATGATATCATTTTACAATAAGTCGGGCAAACTGCGAGGGAAAACGAGAAGAAAGACGCAAACGGCTCAAAAACAAGGAAGAGGAAGAGGAAGAAAGTGTTGCGCACTGACCCTTTAAAGCGACTGGTCCCTGGGGATTAACAAAGAGAAGGGAGTATCGGACTTTCAAAATGTTCAATGAATGCGTAGGAGGGGGAAATGAGAGGAAGCGTACTTTTCAAAGGGCGTCTTGTTATCTATGAACTGAAAATAAATAGAATTCATAGTAGAAAATTGTGTGCGTCTCGCCGATTGAGACTGAACAAAACGGACCGTAGATAAGGTTTGATGGGCTTTTAGAACATAAATTGGGCTCTTAATGGTGTACAACGCAGCATATGTGTCTAGGTCATGATTCAATAGACAACTCGGTAAAGCATCGCCATTTCTTCGGGGTGCCTATTATGAACTGACCCAACAAGACGTATAAAATGTTCTGAACACCTTTATGGGTCTTTGGAAACACCTAGGGCATCAAAAATTAAGTGACCGTATAATGAACCTGTGAAGTCTAGGTTTCCGCATCATACAAAACTTGAAGCAATATAAAAATGGTGTTCAAGATGCTTAGATGTCTTTCAAAAGCCTTGGCAGATTTTAGTGACCCTAAGACATACCTCTGGTGTACACGTCTGCATCAGAATTTATCAATATGCTCTCTAAAACGAAATAGCGAACAAAAATAGCTTGAAATAGATCATCTTCCACTAGTTTCGCTCTTTTTTGAGCTTCTAGGATTCCTCGAACTAATTTTCCAAGCATTCCATAATAAAAAAGTAATTTTTGAGATGAGGAGTGTGGTCCTTGTTGACGAATACATAATATGAAGAAGGGAAAGAAAGAAATGGAAGGGAAGGGATAGAGGAAAGCGGAAGGGAACCACTTTTTGGTGAGTGGTCCGTAGAAGGAAGAGACGTGGGGGGGGTCAATACAAAAAAAGAAGAAGAAGAAGTTTATGCTCGCTTAGAGGAAACGAAAGAAAAGAAGAGAGAAAAAGAGGAAGGAGGCCAGTGAACTTTTACATTGAGCTATGCTCGTTGATGACGTCGTTTCACTTGAATAAGTTGGCAGAGCGAGAGAGATGGATGAATGAAGGCGGAAAAGGAAAAAGAAGTAGGCGTGACGGATGAGGAAAAGCAAGGGAGGACTGGAAAAAAGAGGGGAAACGGAAAGGAAGTGGTAGGGACTTATCAAAGATGAGTCGGGTGACCAACCGATCAAGATCGAGAGCAAGAATCTTTGACGCTTTGTGAGATAGAAGGGACTGCTTTGAAATTGCTAATGCTGCTATGTTTTCCTCTTTTTTTTTGTGACATCGGTCTCGACTGGTTGAAAACAAGACAGAAAGGTTATTTCGAAAAAAAACGGACAGGGGGGGGGGGCAGGAAAAAAGAGAAGAGGAACACATTCCTGTTTACGGCTAAAAGTACACCTTCACTTATCCACTGCTTTCATGAACGCAAGTCTAGGGAACCCACTTTTCAACAACTGAAAATAATTTTCGTCGAAAAAGACATTTCCCAAGAATAGGGTTCAAAAGCGATCTACATATGACC